GGTCTATAGTCAAGAGAAGCTGTGAGAGCCAACGTTTGGAAATGATCTTCTCAGAAAAGGAGAAAAGCTCCTTCTGGGTTACTTTCCGGGAATTGAGATCCGATGGGACTCCTGCTCGGTCACGCACCTGCTGCGGGCGGCGGGGCCCTCGCGCCCCTGGACCAGAGCCTGGACGCTGCTGCCGCCGCTGCTGCCGCTGCTGCCGGCTTCCCCCGCCCGGCCTGGCGCGGGCTCCGGCCTCCCGCTCATCCGGGCAGGCGGCGAGGGGAGCGTCCGCCCTGTCTGTCCTATCGCATGGAAGCCGGGCGGCTGCACGGGTGGGCAGGGCCGGCTCTCTGTCTGGCTTCGCAGTGTTTCTCCGCTGAGGGGGAGACTGGAGTGAGGGCCCTGAGGGCCCGGGCCTCTGTTGTGTCACCTCTGTGAGGCGTCACAATGGCTGGCGGGTGCAGGGCCTCTCCATTCTCTGCCACGCCCTGGCGACCTTGAAGGGGGGTGGGGGGGGGGCGGTTACCGCAGCCCTGCCCGACCTGCCACGTCCTGTGAAGGCCCAGAACCTGACGGGTACAGGCTGAAATAAAAATGGGATTTTTATAATTTCTCTTCCTGCCCAGCCGGGGCAACTCAGTGGTTAAGTGTTGACTATGAACCGAGAGGTCCCAGTTCAAATCTCGGTCAGGGCACAGGCTGATCACATGATTCTCTCTCATCAGTGATATTTCTCTCTCTCCCTCCCCTTCCTCTCTGAAATCTATAAAAATATATTTGAAATAAGAAATAAAAACCTCCGTCTGGAAGCCATTCCCTTCCATGGCAGGGTCCTAGGCAGCCTGCCGGGTTGAACGGCAGGGTGGCTGCGATGGGGTCTCCCAGTTTCACTGCCCCTCATGGTTATCGCTGCCCTTAGCTTCTTACATTTCCCGTAGACGGTGTTGGCAGGGACGTAAAGAAACCCGCCCCTCGGTGCCTGGTTTTCCCAACGAGGCGGAAAACCCAAAGGCTGCGGAACACCATCCATAGCCATTTCTCCCCCGGACGCCTGTCCTCAGTCATTTCAGGTTATCTCAAAGAGTAGACGCCACCTTTTGAAGTCCCTTGGGTGCCGGAATCTGATCATTGTCAACAACCCCCATTGCTCTGGAAGGTCAGAGCTAGGTCGCTCGCTGCTTAGTGGAAACACTGTCAGCTGCAGCAGCCTCCACCTCTGCTGTCTTATATGAATTTGTTATTGGAGATTCCTGCCCCAGGGCTATGGGTGTACCTGAGTCTCAATAAAAGGATGGTAAGGCCAGAGCAGGGAGTAGTCCTCCCCCTAGAGGTGGATTCCCGCCTGGCGCCCAATATTCCCAAATTAATACTTACCTCGTCTTTTTTCCTTTGTGTGCGGCCTTCTCCAGAACCCGAGCCCCGAACTGGAACCCTGAACCACGCGGACGTGAAAGGGGTTCCCACACTTGGGTTTGTGAGAGCCGGGTCTAAGGAGCGTGGCTCTGTGGTTGAGTGTTGACCTATGAACCAGGAGGTCAGGGTTTGGTTCAGTCGGGACATATGCCTGGGTTGCGGGCTCCGTGCCCAGTCGGGGAAGGAGTGGGCCGGGGTGATGGCCTCTTGGCTGCTTGGGGTTGGCATGTGTCACAGGGTGAGTAGAGCAGAAAGTGACGGTGTCAGTCAACAACAGGGCCAAGGAGAGATTAGGCCGCAGGAAGGGTTGAGGGCTCTGAAAAATCAAATTTTATTCAGAAACATTTTTTCTCTTCTCAAAATAGTCACAAACAGGAGACATCCACATAAGATACACTGAGTGGCCAGGTTATTATGACCACCCCATCAGTTCTTCATTGGGCCACCTTTAGCCTTCAACACCGCCATGATTCTTGTTGGCATTGACTCCACGTGATGCTGAAAGGTGATGTGAGGAATCTGACACGTGCCTGATGGATAGCACCATCCAATTCTGTGAGATCTGATGGTTGTGGAACCAGCTGCCTGATGGCTCTTTTAACTTCATTCCTAAGGCTAATTTGCCTACAAACATCAGGTGGTCATAATAATTGGATGGAGATCTGGTGATTGTGGGGTCACCTAAGCAAGGTAAAGGCTCCCTCATGTTCTGGAAACCACTCCTGCACAATACGAGCACCGGGGCATGGCGCACCGTCTTGTTGGAAGAAGCCATCTCCATTGGGATTCGCCATCAATGTGATAGGATGAACTTGATCAGCAACGATACTTAGGCATGTTGTGCTATTCAGACGTTGTTCCACACGAATTAAAGGGCCCAAATCATGCCAGGAAAACATGTCCCCACCAGCTTGAAGGGTTGTACTCATGCATGTGAAGTGCATGCTTTCATGCTGTTTCTGCAAAGTTCTCACTCTGCCATCTGCATGATACAACTGGAAACGTGATTCATCCGACCACATGACTTTTTTTCAATGCTCAACTGTCCAATCCTTGTGTTCCTGTGCAAATTGGAGATGCTTTATCTTGGTGACTGCAGACAGCAAAGGGGTTCGAACAGGCCTTCGGCGTCCATATCCCATAGGATGCAGTGTACGGCTAATGTGCCTACAAACGTCAGGTGGCCATAATAATCTGGCCATATCTCTATATAGCAACATCTTATAGATATAGCAGATGTTGTATAAAACACACACAGTATATATAGACACCTATACATAGGTAGTCGTATAAGACATTTCCATTTATAATATGTTTTATCGAAACATCTGCAAACAAAACTGAATAAAATTGTGCACAAACTGAGGTCAGACACGAGGAGACGTTGGATCCTTCTAAACACGGAGAACCGTCTCGCGACAGGAAGACCACGTGTGGCAACGTGTAGGCAATAAAGACACGGAGCTGTTCTCGTTCTAAATAGCGTGTTCTTGTTCACCTTCCCACTGACTGGCACCTTCCCTGGGGTCTGATGTGATCTGCCATCCGCAAATGTTTGGCATTTCAGTCGTACCCAAAGGTCAGCACGTCCTTTCCCCTAAGGGCGGGGCCTCTTACTGTAACTGGAATTCGACTTTGATTGGCAAGGGGGGTTGTCAGCGCGGCTTCGCTCTGTGCTCTCCTGTGAACCCGTTCAGGACAGAGAGACTCTGTGGCCGGGGCTCGGTTCCTGTGACCGACTATTTCTAAAGACCTTCCCTCCCTGTGCTGGCCTGACTACCTCTGCACACAGCGGGACAAGCGTGGACATGGCCATGGGAAGTGTTGACTGCCCACGCGAGGGGCCAGCTGTAGACCCTGACAGTTCCTGGCATCGTTCTGGGAGAGCTGTAAGGACCATGTCATTATGGCGAGTTCCCAGCACGCGTTCTCGCTCCTCACCCGCTCCTAGGTCCCTGCCTTCTGCTTCACTTCCAGGCGCTCCTGGGTTAATGAAAGCAGCACCTGTTTCAAATTGAGGGCCCTTAAATGATGTTGATTTAAAATCCATTTTCAGCCGAGACCGTGGATAGAGCATTAGCCTGCAGATTGAAAGGTCCCAGGTTCAATCCTGGTCAAGGGCATGTACCTTGGCTGCGGGCACATCCCCCTGCAGGAGGCAGCTAATCGATGTTTCTCTCTCATCGATGTTTCTAACTCTCTATCCCTCTCTCTTCCTCTCTGTATAAAATCAATAAAATATATATTTTAAAAAATCCATTTTCAGCAAGACTGAAGCTCTTCCTGTGCTTCTCCAAGGGCTCCCAGCGCTCACCTGCTCTGCTCCCACCAGGCCCACTGGGTCTCTCTGGGCCAGCGAGGCAGGCAGCTTTCCGGTAACAAAACGGCAGTGGCTGCGGCGGCCGCTGGGGGCGCTGAGCCATGTGCAGAGAGAAGGTCCAGGCTGGGGAGCGGGATGCACGCCCAGCCCTCTCTCTCCCTGTGCGGACCCCGTCCAGCCCTGCCAGGCCTTCGCGCTCGCTCCGTAGAAACGCGACCACTGACCAAGGTTTTTTGTTTGTTTTAAATATATTTTATTGATTTATTACAGAGAGGCAAGGAGAGGGATAGAAAGTTAGAATCAATGATGAGAGAGAAACATCGACCGGCTGCCTCCTGCACACCTCCCGCTGGAGATGTGCCCGCAACCAAGGCACATGTCCCTGACCGGAATCGAACCCGGGTCCCCCCAGCCTGCAGGCCGACGCTCTATCCACAGAGCCAAACCGATTTCGGCCAAAGGTTTTTTTAGTGTCTCAGCTCACGGACCAGAAATAGTGAGCGATGAAGGTTGGAGAAAAGACAGTCACAGGGTAATTTTACAGCTGGTAGGCAGCCTGTCTGCTGAGGCACTGTGGTCGCCCCCTTTTCCAAATGCACTAGGTAAAGAGGAGAATTTTCGGGGCGCTTTGGGGAAACTCGGGGAGGGCAGGCAGGGGTGGGAGGAGGACTCAGAGACCGGCCCCGCCCCGCCCCTTCCGCGGCCCCGCCCCTCCAGAGGCCCCCGCCCCTTTATGAGCCCCCGCCCACTCGGGTTCGGGGCGGTTGACTGGCAGGGCCCGCGCTCCGCCCCCTGCCCCTGATTGGCCTATGAAGTCCCACAGGCTACTCCGATTGGCTGTCGGAACTCCAGCCGCGCCCGCCGGTTGGCCGCCCGGCCGTTGCCCCGGCGACGCACGTTGTTGTGGTTGCGCGCGGCGCGGGGAGCTGGTGATTGGCCGCCGCCCGCCCGGCGGACTGTGGCCTTTGGCGCCGGGAGGCACCGCCGAGACCGGGGCGGGCGGGGGGCGGCGGCCAGGGGTCCGGGCGGGGCGGGGCCGGACCTGTCCTCCCTCCGCGGCGCCTGTGGGACCTGCACGCCCGGCTGAGCGGCGACGCCCGCGGGTGGGCCGGACGGAGGCGGACGGACCGGCGGAGGCGGACGGACCGGCCTCTGCAGCTCCGCCGGCGGTGCGCGCCTCCGGATCTCCGCGGACACCGGCCGGCGGTGCGCTGCCCCCGCTCACCGCCATCACCGCCGGCGCGTCCCCCGGTCCCGCGCCCGTCCCGCCGGCACCCGCGGCATGAGGAACGCCAGCAAGGAGCTGCCCGGCGCCGGCAGCCGCTACGCCCCCTGCGGTGAGTGCCCGGCCCGAGGGCGGCCGCTGCTGGACAGCTCCCGCCCGGCGTCGCGGTGCGTGTGGACAGGCGGACGGGACCCCCCAAAGCCAGGGCCAGGGATGCCCCTGCGCCCCGTCACAGCGAGGCAGCAGGGAGATGTGGGGGCCGGGCGGGCGGTCCTTTTTTTCATTTTTAGAAACACAACCGAGCTCACTCTGTCCCTGCGGGAGTGGCGGGACCCAGGCCCGGGTCCCCGCAGGTTGTGGTCTGCACGGAGCAGTTTGCCGCCGGCGGGGGGCCGAGGCCGGAGCCCGGGCTCCCGTCAGGGAAGGTCTGGAGGGGCCGAGGCCCCAGGCGCCGCTGCCAGCGGCAGGGCGGGCGGCCGCCGCCCCAGCCTCTCGCTCGGAAGTGGTCAGAGCTTGGCCTTCGTGTGACCGATAACCTTCCAGCCGGAGCTCTGCCTGTGCCCCCTGGGGTGGCAGGGGTTCTCTGCCACCGGCTCTCAGCCTCTGGCTGACCCTGGGCCCCGCGAGCAGCCTCGCCCCTGGGAAGAAGCGCTGAAATAAGCACCTTCGTACTCTGGCATCCAACCTCCCAACAGCACGCCGAGGCCGCATTAACCTGGCCTGCGGGTGAGGACACCGAGGCCCGCGTCTGAGGATGCTGCCGAGACAGAGGATGCTCACGGGGGTCCCGCCCCTCACCATGGCCCCTCTGCCCGGCCTGACCCTGTCCTTTAGGCCTCCGTGGCCAAAACAAGGACCAGGGTGTCTCTGGGCGCCCTTGTGGGTGTGGCTGTGCCATGCAGCTCTGCACTTGGCGACAGGAGCTGCCGGCGTGGGTCCTCTCTCTCTCTCTCGCTCTCTCTCGCTCTCTCTCGCTCTCGCTCTCACTGTCACTCTCGTTCTCTCGCTCTCGGCTGTCTCCTCACTGGTACAGGAGGGTGGTCACAGAAACCCACCTGGGAGTCAGTGACCTGGGGCCATACACATACACATAACTTTTGAGTGACAGAAGCTGCAAGACGATGCCTGTCCCCTGTGGCCGTGTGCGGTGGTGACCGTGGTGTCCAGTGGGTAGGGACCCGTCCCTCTGAGCTCCTTTGCACTCGGTTACAAATGGTGGACCCAGGGCTTCCAGTAATGAGAAGAATGGGACTCTGTGTTCCCTGTGGATTAATTAGTAATCAAAACACAGAGAGAGAGAATACAGCTAGGACTGGGCGCCTTCCCTCTGAGAGAAACGACTCGGCCGGAGTGCGAGCCGCATGCGTGTGGCGCCCCTGAACGCGGGCTCTCAGTGTGACTCCCAGGGACCTTTCCGCGGCTCCTCCCGCCTCCCCCGGCCCCCCCTCCACAGCTGCGGTGGGTGCTGCTCATTACTGCCCCTCGGCCCCGGGCAGACGCCGTGTGGATGTTCACGCAGGCGATGAGCGGGCTCTGGTTCTAAGGGGAAATCGCGTGTCTAAGCCTTTCGCTTAGAGGGCCATGCTGCTTGCTCATGGGGTCCGTCTGCGGGTGCCCATCGGTCAGTTCAGACCGTTTTCCTGTGTGCCTCCTGCATAGGCAGGGCTCTCCAGAGCCCAGAACCAGCAGAGTGTGTGTGTGTGTGTGTGTGTGTGTGTGTGTGTCGAGAGAGAGAGAGAGAGAGAGAGAGAGAGAGAGAGAGAGAGAGAAAGAGAGAGAGAGAGAGAGAAGGTTTAAGAATGGGCTTGCACAGTTGTGGAGCAGGCAGGTCCGATGCCTGCAGGTGGGCAGCAGCTGGGGCAGCAGAGCCGGTGCTGCAGTCCTGGTCTGAAGGGAGCTGGGGCTGAATTCCGTCCTCCTGGGACCCCAGCTTTCCTCCTACATCCTCGCCCCTGATTAGGTGTGGCCCACAGGGTGGAGGGCGACCTGTTTTTCTGAGTCTGGAGATCTAGGTGTCACTCACCTTCCCAGCACGCCCGTTCCGGCACAGCCCTCCTCCAGGCAGGGACCAAACCCTGCCCTCCCTGGCCGCTCTCTCCCCAGACTGGTATTACCACCTTCCCATGCAGCGGTCTGAGAAGGCTGTGGACGCCCCGCCCATGTCCCAGATCCCAGGGCTCAGCGAGCGCCGGGACACCCCCAGCAGGCACCTGCTGGGGCCCCGGCGGTACTGGATCAAAGACACGGACTCCGAGTACGTGAAGCTGGCCAAGCAGGGCGGCCAGCCCGGTAAGCTCCGGCCGGGCTCGGGTCCCGGGGCAGCGGGGGCGCCTGCCATCGTCCCTTTTAATGCAGTCTCCCCACCGAAGTGGTTGGGCCCAGGCCATTGGTGATGGAGGTTATGGGGGAGGTGGGGGGAGATGAGGTTATGGGGCAGGTGGGGGGAGATGAGGTTATGGGGCAGGTGGGGGTGATGGAGCTTATGGGGCAGGTGGGATGTCTCTCCCCAGGGACAGGCTGTGTTTATGAGAAGTTAGGCTCCAGGCGGGATTTGGCCTTGGCCCTGGGGGACTGGCTGCAGAGCCTCAGGAAACCGCTCCGGGCTGTTCCCTGGCCTCGCAGACCGGCCTGCGGAGCCGGCCCCGGGTGGCTCCTGTCCGGGCCTCGCTGGGCTGAACCTCGCTGGGCTGAGTGGGGCCGGGAGCCCCGCTGGGACCGACAGGGAGAGCACGGCCTGGGGCTAACAGGTCGCTGGCCAGGCGAGGGGCTGCACGGCGTCCACACCGGCGGCCCTGAGGGCGCTGACCTGTCTTCTGGCTGCCATGACCCCCGGAGGCTGTCATGGGAATTTAACCAGAGGGACAGCGTCTGGGCTGCGGTGTTACAGGGCCGGAGCCGGCACTCAGGTCCACCGGCAGGGGCACCGGCGCAGGCGCCTCGCTCGGCCGGGTTAGAGGACCAGATTGAGGTCTGAGATTAGATAGAGGATGTGTCCGCCTTCATCCCAGCAATGGCGGTGAGCGAACTGACGGGGACAGAGAGGAGCTAGAGCAAGGCAGACAGGCCGGCGTGGGCTGGGGAGGGGTGCAGGGGGGGCAGGGGAGGTGATGCTGGGAACCAGGGGAGGGAGAAGCAGTGGAGGGTGCAGGGGAGCCTGGGATAGGCTGAGGCCACAGCAGAATTGATCCTATTCCTGCAGCTGTCCTCAGAGTCAGAAATTCTTAAACCACAAGCTACACTTTCCGTACGGATGGTGAGAAGTCAGTCAGTGTTGGCTGCCGCCATTGTTCCAGGTTCTTTCATCCCTTTGCTGTCTGAACCCACCCTTGACACCCACCCCCTGGCCCCTAGCTGTGGGACAGGGGTGGGGTGGGGAGGACGGACAGCGAGGCCAGAGCAGCCGAGAGGAGGCAGGGATGGCACTGGCCTGGCCTGCCCGACGTCTCCCTGGCCTGCTGTGGGGTCAGGGTCAGCCCTCCGGCCGCAGGCGGCGGGGAGGCAGCCGGGAGACCTGAGGAGCCCTGCCCCTCGGATGTCCGCCTGGAGCGGGAAGGGGTGGGAGCTGGGGGGCGGATGCCTGCTTAAGTGTGGGGTGGGGGGGGAGGAGGGAAGGGGTGAGCATGGGGCGTCCCTCCTCAGCACCAGGCAGCCCCTCAGCACCGGCTCCTGTAGCCTGGAGCAGTCAGCCCTGCACTCGGTGCTGCCCGCTGGCCGTGGCTGGCCGTGGCTGGCCGTGGCTGGCCGTGGAGGCCGTGGTGGCCGTGGAGGCGTGGAGGCCGGGCAGAGCCTCACGTGCCCTCTGGTTTAAGATCTGCTGATGCACCTGGCGCCCGGGTCCAGGAAAAGCTCCAGGAAGGGCTCGCCCGTGCCCGTCGCCTACTCCCTGCCGGACTGGTACGTCCACCACAGCCAGCCGCCCGCGGGCAGCCAGAGGCGGTGAGTGCCCCAGCCCTGCTGCTGTGTCCTCCGGGGAGGGGCTGGGCTGAGTTTTAGAAACACCTGTGGTTTCCGCCTGCCCTGGGGTTCTGGGAGGCCGGCCCTGGAGAAGGCCGTGTGTTCATCCACAGAACCTGGGGAAGGCTGGAGGGGGAGAGAAAGGGCAGTGCTGCCTGAGGACAGGCAGGGGGAGGGGGAGGGGGAGGAGCTGGAGGGGGAGGGGGAGAGAGGAGCTAGAGGGAGAGGGGGAGGAAGAGGGAGGCTGGGGGAAAAAGAGAGAGGGGGGGGAAGTGGAGGGGCAGAAGGAGGAGGAGGGAGAGGGGAGAAAGAGGGAGGGGGAGGAAGAGGGAGAGGGAAGGGGAGGGGAAGTGGAGGGGCAGAAGGAGGTGGGAGGGAGTGAAAGGTAAGAGGGGAGCTCAGGAAGCAGCGGGCAGCTAGGATTGACTGGGGTCTCCCTCGGCCTCCGCAGGGGCCTTGCTGCCTACATGCCGGATTACATGGTTCACAAGGAGTTCAGCCCCGGCCTGGCCAGCGGGAACTACGAGTTCCGAAGGGGGCCCTTCGACTTCGACGTGAAGACCATCTGGCAGCGGGAGGCGGAGGAGCTGGACCAGAGGAAGAAGGTGACGCCCGCAGAGCCTGCCGCGTGGTGGCCCCGGGGGTGGGCTGTCGCCGCTGGTGCGTCCCCACGGCCCCTGACGTCACAGGCTCTGAACGTGACCCTGGGACCTCTGGGAAGTCAGCTTCGTACCCGCGCCCCTGGGCCCCACCTGACTCCCCCGAGGCACAGGCAGCGAGAGCCAGGGTGCGGTGCAGACCCTGGTCACTCACGGCTTGTCTGACCTCTGTGTGGACAGGCCGTGTGGACACGGACAGCCCATGTGGACAGGCAGGTTGTGTGGATGCAGGCAGGCTGTATGGACAGGCCATGTGGACAGGCCATGTGGATGCGGGCAGGCTGTATGGACAGGCAGCTTGTGTGGACACAGGCAGGCCTTGTAGATGGGCAGGCCGTATGGGTGCAGACGGGCCGTGTGGAGGCAGGTTTTCATGCATGTCAGTCGGTAAACACGGACCAGCTGGGTCACGGCCTGGGCATGTTGACCTTCACGAGAAGTCGCCTCCCCAGTGGCCGCACCATGTTCCGGGGCCGCTCCACCCTCACGCCCTGACCTTGTCGGGGTTTGACCGTTCCGGCGGGTCCTCCCCTGGTGGTTAAGTGGCGTCTCCTGGCCCTGGTGATGCTCCTGCATCCTCTCACGTGCTCCCCTCCCCCAGCACCTTCGTCAGGAAAGCACCCGCTTCAACTTTTATTAATTAATTAAATTACTGATTAATTTAAAAATTGATTTCGGAGAGGAAGGGAGAGGGAGAGAGAGGTTGAAACATCAACGATGAGAGAGAATTATGGATTGTTTGCCTCCTGCATGCACCCCCACTGGGGATCAAGCCCGCAACCCGGGCCTGTGCCCGGACCCGGAATCTAACCGTGACCTCCTGGCTCACAGGTCGGTGCTTCACGCTGAGGCATCCGGCCGGCGTGGCCGGTTTAAAATCAGGAGGCTGAGCCCTGTGTGTGGTCTGGAGACTCCTTTTCCCACACTGAGCCCGGCCTGCGTCTTGTCCCCTGTGAGCACCGTGGCCTCATGGGCCGTGTGTGTGTGTGTGTGTGTGTGTGTGTGTGTGTGTGTGTGTGTGTGTGAGAGAGAGAGAGAGAGAGAGAGAGAGACAGACAGACAGACAGACAGACACGCTGTGCCTGCTGGGACCGTCCACCTTCTCCCTCGGCCCCAGGCTGCTGAGCGCCTTTCTCTGACCAGGCTTGTGTTTCTCTCCCAGGTGCGGCTCCCCGCCATCACCTCCAGGTCCCCCAGCAAAGCGGGGACCCCACCGGGCCCCCGAGATCCTGCAGGAAGGCTCTCCTTCCCTCCCATGTAAGTGCTGGGGCGGCGCCCGCGCTGGCTTGGTGGGGTTTGGCCCACGCAGCTCCTGTGGCCACCACGCAGGAAACATGGCTGAGGCTGCAGCTCCCCAGCCTGGCTGCTGCCTGCTCTCCGCTTCCCTCTCACAGGAAGTGCCTCTTCACTCCCCTCAAATGGTGCTGCAACTGATGGGTTATCTGTCTAATGAGAGAGAGAGAGAGAGAGAGAGAGAGAGAGAGAGAGACTGAGACTGACTCCGTGACACTTTAAGGAACAATAAGCATGTAATTTATTGTCGGGATGTTTGCTGAGAACTCAGAATTGCATTAACCTGGGTGCTTCTGCTTGTCGTCAATTTCTCCCACGCCCAGGCCTGGCCACAAAGCCAGTTCCCCCACCAACTTCTCCAAACTCATCAGCTACGGGTACAGGGATGAGTGGCTGCAGCAGCGAGCTGGTGCGGACAGGAGCCCCCCGCAGCCGCCCCCAGCGCCCGAGGCCCCCAAGGACCTCCAGGGGCAGGACGCCGAGCAGCTTCCGGACCCTGAGGCTCCGGAAGGCTCCGCAGAGGCCCAAGGTAAGGTGCACGCAGCCAGCCCTGTGCTCGGGGCCGCCCCGGTGGAAGGGGTGTTGTCCTGGCGCCCGCCGGCCCTGGCCCCACGGGACCCCACGTGGCCCGCCAGTTCTGCCGCCCACACTCCCTCTCTCCACGGCCTGGCCGACACGTGAGCAGTTCCACCAGCTGCTGTGAAAAGTGCACTCTGAGCTTTACAGTGGCGTTGTCCTGTGACGTGTTGTCAGGAAGACAGCCTTTGGCAGGTCTTTAAAGTCACTTTTAGAAGCTGGTCCTTCTTCATGACACTGAGCAACGAACGTGCTTGTTCTTTATTCCAGAGTCTTCGCCAGCAAGTGAGTGCTCTTAGGCCGAGTTTGCACTGAAATACAGCAGCCGCTGGGCACAGAAACCAAGGAGCTTCTCCGCCTGCAGCCGAGGCCGCCGGGGCCCCTCCCCAACCCGCACGCACGCCCGGGTGACGCCGGCCAGACCTCACGCCCTGCACACGTGGCGTGGGGCCGCGAGAGGAGAGCCACGTGCACTGCTACAACAAGCACATTTTGTTTTGTGTTTATGCACATCATACACATAAAACCCAGTTCAGTTCAGAGATGTGCACCGTGTCCACGCCACGTGAGGCGTGAGGGCTGCAGTAGCGGAATGGCAGGGCCAGGCCTCACCTGCATGGGTGGTCAGGGGTTTAGCATCGTTTTTGTGCAGCTTCACAGAGAGAATTCCTTCGTCACTGACAAAACATAGGACCTTGTCAAGATCTATCATTAAACATCGCATAAGCTTACACACTTTAAGATAATGTTTTCATTGATGACCAATGGAGAGAGGGAGGGAGGGGGAGAGAGAGAAACATCAATGGTGAGAGAGAATCATGGATCGGCTGCCTCCTGCACACCCCACACTGGGGATGGAGCCTGCCATCTGCGCGGGGCATGTGCTCTGAGTGGGAATCGAACCCTGACCTCCTGGTTCATAGGTCGATGCTCAACCACTGAGCCCCCAGCTGGGCTGGCTTTCCTTAAAACTAAAGGTTGGGGGGTCCCCACAGCCCAGCCTGCACCCTCTCCAATCTGGGACCCCTGGAGGGAGTCCAACTGCCGCTTTAGGCCTGATCCTGGGGATGGGACCTAAACCAGCATTCAGACATCCCTCTCACAATCCTGGACCACTGGCTCCCAATCACTCACCTGCCTGCCTGCCTGATCGCCCTTCAATGCCTCTATGTGCCAGCCTGATTGCCCCAATGCCCCCCTGCCAGCCTAATTGTCCCAGCTGCACCCCCCTTCCCCGCCCCACCTGGTCACTCCTAACTGCCCCTCCCTGCCCACTGACGGCCTGGTCGCCCCACACAACCTGCTTGTTCAGTTCTTTGGTCGTCTCTCACTAACTCCCCCTGCTGGCCAGCCATCTTGTGAGGGTAGTTTGCACATGACCTCTTTTATTCAGGATTATCGGCTACATGTTCCACTTCCCGTCGGCTCACCGCTGTGCTCTCTGTTGCAGATCCAGGCTCCCCTTTGGCCGCAGGGACGCCCCCAGAGCTCAAGTAACAAGCCCAGGATGTGGGGGATCACGCGCCGAAGGCTGGATGTGAGCTAACGGGTCACGGCTGTGTTTATAAGGCTTCGCTCTACGTTACCATATAGATTCCGTGAAATACCTTGTTAAGGCAGATCTGACGTCACTGTTGTGCAGGCGGCGTGAGGGGGGGGGGGTGTTTCTCCATGCATTTCTCTGGGATGCTGAGGAGGTGGCCTTTGGGGCACCATGCTTCTCCCCCTCCCCCCCCAAGTCCCAGTGTCTGGGACTCACTTCCTCCCCATCCAGCTGACATCGCTGCCGCCGTGGGGACTGTGGCGTGCCATTGCCATGGAAGGCTGTGCTCAGACGTTAGCTAGAAACTCAGACCCCCCTAGATTGTTCCTGTAATCTCTGCAGAGGTCACTTTTCTGTTAAAAAAGTTAATTCCAGAATATTGGGATGTACTTTGTATTGAGAAAAGGGTTAATTTATTAGACCGGAAAGTTTTAAACATTTAATGTAGAAGCACTGGAGCATTTGCAAGTTTTAAATGTTTGTAATTTTTCAATAAACTGAAATCTATTCTATTAAACATACATTTTGTCCTTCAAGTAAAAATGTCTTTAATTTCAATATCTAACTTAGTAGTCTTTGCAAAAAATTCTTTTGCAGACTGGCTTCTCTTGTTTTATGAGTGTTGCTGCTGTTTGTATGTAATGAGCATTTTTTATATTTTGTACATTTCATTAGTAAAATTATTTCCTAATGAAAGACTGCCAGGAAGACAAATAAGGTCACAAATATTTTAGCTCCCTTCCTGGAGTAACGTATCATGCCCTCGCTCACCTGATTAGAAGTTTCAAATTAGTTTTTTAAATGCAATATTAAGTGAGCTCATGTGTCCATATTGTTTGATCAAACCAATATCCCTGGGGAATGTATGCACGTGATAAAGTGCGGGTGGCTGTGCGACTGAATAGAAAGAATGTACATTATAATACACTCCTATTTTCCCTCTTTTCTTCCTCTCCTCTTCTTCCCCCCTCTCCCTCAGTTCCAACCTCATCCTTTAACATCCCCACCAGAAGAAAAAAAGAAAAATACTGGGAACAGTTATTGATAACATACTGCTGTCTTTTTTTTTTTTTTTTTAATAATAGTCAACCTCATACCCATATGCAGACATAAAGTTCATACGTAGGGGCTTTTTTTTTTTTTTTTTTAATGTTTTCACTGTGTTTTTTAAAAAAATATATTTTATTGATTTTTTACAGAGAGGAAGGGAGAAAGATAGAGAGCTAGAAACGTCAATGAGAGAGCAACATCAACCAGCCGCCTCCTGCACACCCCCCACTGAGGATGTGCCCGCAACCAACGCACATGCCCTTGAACCCGGGACCTTTCAGTCCGCAGACCGACGCTCTACCACTGAGCTACACCGGTTTCGGCTTTTTTTTTTCTTTTAATGAGAGGAAGGAGAGGGGCGAGATACAGAAACATCAATGAGAGAGCATCATTGATGGGCTGCCCCCTGCAGGCCCTCCTGGGGATCGGAGCAGCGCCGGGCCCTTCAGTCCGATGCGCTCCCCACTGAGCCACACCGGCCAGGGCCACGCTGACCGCTCCCACCTGACAAGTGCGTCCTCAGTGTCCGGTTTTCCGTTCCTGGCGGTCTCCGTCCCCTCCCTCCCCGCCCCCGCCGCCGCCGGGGGGGACGTGCGGGGAGCAGGCGGCGGGCCGGGCGGGCGGGCGGGCGGGCGGGGAGCAGGCGGCGGGCCGGGCGGACGTGCGGGGAGCAGGCGGCGGGCCGGGCGGGGAGCAGGCGGCGGGCCGGGCGGGCGGGCGGGCGGGCGGGGAGCAGGCGGCGGGACGTGCGGGGAGCAGGCGGCGGGCCGGGCGGGACGTGCGGGGAGCAGGCGGCGGGCGGGGAGCAGGCGGCGGGCCGGGCGGGCGGGCGGGCGGGCGGGGAGCAGGCGGCGGGACGTGCGGGGAGCAGGCGGCGGGCGGGGAGCAGGCGGCGGGCCGGGCGGGCGGGCGGGCGGGCGGGGAGCAGGCGGCGGGACGTGCGGGGAGCAGGCGGCGGGCCGGGCGGGACGTGCGGGGAGCAGGCGGCGGGCCGGACGGGACGTGCGGGGAGCAGGCGGCGGGCCGGGCGGGACGTGCGGGGAGCAGGCGGCGGGCCGGGCGGGACGTGCGGGGAGCAGGCGGCGGGCCGGGCGGGACGTGCGGGGAGCAGGCGGCGGGCCGGGCGGGACGTGCGGGGAGCAGGCGGCGGGCCGGGCGGGACGTGCGGGGAGCAGGCGGCGGGACGTGCGGGCGGGGAGCAGGCGGCGGGCCGGGCGGGCGGGCGGGACGTGCCGGGGAGCAGGCGGCGGGCCGGGCGGGCGGGGAGCAGGCGGCGGGCCGGGCGGGCGGCGGGACGTGCCGGGGAGCAGGCGGCGGGCCGGGCGGGCGGCGGGACGTGCCGGGGAGCAGGCGGCGGCGGCGTCCGCTCCGGCGGCTCCGCGGCGGCTGAGTCACTTCCTCCGCGCCCGCCGCCGGCTGTGCCCGCGGCCCCGGCGGGCGGCTCAGGCCGGGCGGCTCCGGGTCCGCAGGCGGGAGGGGGCGGCCGGTCCACCCTCCGGCGCTGCGGGAGGCCGGGCGGAAGGGCGGGCGGGGCGCGGGGCGCGGGGCGCGGCCCGGGGCGGGGCGGGCGGGCCGCGGACTCGGATCCGAATCCCCTTCGCCACGGTCACCGCCGGCTCCCCTCCCGGTCCGGCTCCCCTCCCGGTCCGGCTCCCCTCCGGCGCCCCCGGCTCCCCCGGCTCCGGCTCCCCCGGCTCCTCCCGGTCCGGCTCCCCCCGGTCCGGCTCCGGCTCCGGCGCCCGGTGTCCCGGCCCCGCGCGCGGCCGGCGCAGAGCTCGGCGCGGTGAGTGTCCGGCCCGTCCGCCTGCCCGGCGGCCCGGGGCGCCCGCACTCCGTTCGCGGGGGAGGGGGGCGCGGGCGGAGGGGCTGCGGGCGGAGGGGGGCGCCGGGAAGGGTCCCGGGGAGGGGGCCCCGCGGAGGGGGTGTCCGCGGGGAGGGGGGTGTCCGCGGGGGGGGGTGTCCTGGGGGAGGGGGGCGCTGGAAAGGGTCCCGGAGGAGGGGGTCCCGGGGAGGGTGTCCGCGGGGGGGGGGTCCCGCGGAGGGGGGTTCGGGGGTCCCCGGGGAGGGGGTCCGCGGGGGGGTCCCGGGGGAGAGGAGCGCGGGGAGGGGCTGCGGAGAGGGGGCGCTCGGGGTCGGGGGGCGCGGGAGGGCGGCTTCCTCGGGTCCGCCCACAGCGGCCTCTCCGGCCTCGGCACTCGGGGCGCAGGGGTGTGGGTCCCGGGGTTCACCTGCGGGGCGGAGGGGCCGGTGGCCGCAGAGCCCCCTCCCCGGCCGCCGCCCCTGGCCCTGCCCCGGGGGCGCACGGAGAACCCTGGCGATGTCCCTGCCCCCGTTCCCTGGAGGCACCGGGACTCGGCGGCCTTGACCACCCGGCCCTCCCCGCCCTCCCCGCCCGGCCGCACCCGCGGATGCTCCTCGCTCCGCCTGCGGTCCCGGGACCTTTGGTTCATTCAGGCCGGAGCGGGCGCCAGGAGATGGCCATTTCCTCGAAGGGAAACAATGCCCTGCGTCCTCCCGGCCGCTCTCAGGGCCCCGGCCTGGGCAGCCTCAGGGGTTTCCTCCGAGGCTGAGGCGGGACACTCCCTTCTCCCGTGGTTCCCTCCTGCAGCGCATGGGGCAGAGTGCAGCCTGGGTTCCCGCACCCGGAGCGCATTTCCCTTAAAACGGATACGTTAACTTTTCTTGTCTGGTCTCTGTCCAAGAGGACTGTTTGCCTTTCCTGGTTGTGAAGTTAATGCTCATTGCAAAAGCAAAAGTAAATAACAAAGTGACCCTCCAGCTTCTTCCTCCTAAGGCGAACACTCGCCGCCCGCACAGTGGATGTGTAACCGTGTTGTGCAGAATGCTGTGCACATCTGGGGGGGGGGGGCTGCTGCCCTGACAAGCTGGGGGGCCTGCCTGGCAACACGACAAGCCCAGCGGCCTCGCCACCACAGCGGCCGGCGTGAAGCAATCCTGAGGAAGCTGGGCCTCTACAGAAGGCGCTGGGAGCTGCTGCGGAGCCTCTCCCAGGCCTCGGGCCCTGCTTCGGGGCAGTGGTCCTTCCTTGAGCTCCTAGGCAGCTTGTTCTGGGCCGGACATTCCCCCTGGGCAGTGGTGAGCTCCTTACCCACAGGAGCACGCCTGTGTGCTTATACTTTATGTACTTTATGGCGACATTACACAACAGATGTTAACTCCCTTTTATTTATTTATCTTTAAATTTATCTTTATTGCTTTCAGAGGGGAAGGGAGAGGGAGGGAGAGAGAAGCATCAGTGATGAGAGAGAGTCACTGATTGGCTGCCTCCTGCACCCCCACACTGGGATGAAGCCGGCATCCCGGTCTTGTGACCTCCTGGTTTAACCGCCCCTTTTAACATAAAGGGTATATGACGCCATCGCTAGCAAAAAAGGGAGGTTACGAGGTATCCGGGTATTCCAGAGCGGTGTGCCCAGAGATGCAAGAGCGCAGCAGGCTCGGTGAAGATACAGTGCATTGGTGCCAGGGAGGGAGCCGGCCCAGGATGTGACTGCCCGCCACATGTTAACGTCTGACCTCTGTGGTCACTCAGGCCTCTGAGGGATCAGGTTGTCCACAGGTCAGAGCAGAGGCTGGCCCGCCGCGTCCTGGCTGGGAGTCCGGGACCCCCTCCTGTCGCCGGGAGTGCCCAGCCCGGTCGGAGGGCAGGCCAGGCTCAGGACTCGGGCGATCCCGCCTGCGGGGAGGAGTCTGAGCATTGTGCACGGTGTTAGGAGGCACGTTCCCTAAAACTGCTGCAGCCAGCACTGCCCTCGGTGCCAGGGTCCAGCCTCGCCTGCTGAGCAGGAGGCTGGGCCGGGCCAAGCCGGAAAGGTGTCTCAGGACAAAGGGCACATGCAATGTCCCACCCCTGGCTACTCTCAGAGCAGACTTGACAAAAATTTTCATTGACTTCAGAGAGGAGAGGAGAGAGAAACATCAGTGCTGGAGAGAACTGGGGATCGGTGGCCTCCTGCACACCCCGCACTGGGGACCGAGCCCACAGGAGCTGGAGAGCATAGTGCTCAGTGAAATAAGCCAGTCAGAGAAAGATAAATCTCACCTGGTCTCACTCAGGTGTGGAATATAATGAACAACATACACTGATGGACAAAAACAGACAGGGAAGCATCAATCAGACCCTCAAACCTCAGAGGGAAGGCAGGGGAGGGGGAGGAGAGATCAGCCAGAGGACTCTGTGCATGCATATAGGCCTGACCAATGGACACAGACTCCAGGGGGGTGAGTGTGGGAACCCCTCTCACGTCCGGGTGGTTCAGGGTTCCGGGTCAGGGTTCGGGTTCTGGAGAAGGCCGCACACAAGTGATAAAAACTAGAAAAGCATTAATTTGGGAATCCTGGGGGCCAGGCGGAGCCCACCTCTGGGAGAACTACAGGCTGCTCTGGCCCTGCCATCCCTTTACTGAGACTCAGGAACATCCATCGCCCTTGGGCAGGAAAGGCCAGTAACAGAAAATTACATGAGAGGTGGAGGCTGCTGCAGCTGACAGTGTTCCCACCAAGCAGTGAGCGGCCTGGCTCTGACCTTCCAGAGCAAGGGGGGTTGTTGACGATGACCAGTTTCTGGCAGGTGAGGCCATGAGTGGAGGGGCAGTGGGGGTATAAGGACACATAATGTGGAACCTTGATCCAGTGGTCGGCAAACTGCGGCTTCCGAGCCACCTGCGGCTCTTTGGCCCGTTGAGCGTGGCTCTTCCACAAAATCTGTGCGGGCGCGCACGTACAGTGCGATTGAAACCGCACCAGCTCGGCCCTCCTCCGGGCGGCGCAGGCCGGGGAGGACGGGGAGCGCTGGACGCCCAGGCCGCGGTCTGCTGGGCCCAGGCCGCCTGTCAGTGTCTGCAGGCGACACGGCCCCGTGACCTTGGACCCTACCAGGGGTCACTGTGGTTCGATCAGCTCAACAGATCTGAGGGGCTCTGTTCAACGCCCTCACAGGCCGAGCCGGGCCGGGCCTCCAGCCCCCCATGAGCCCACGAAGGTCAGCCAGTCTTCAGCGGCCTCCTCCTGTCCCCTCTCCTCCCCTCCCTCCCCCCCAGGCTCCCGGGCTGGACTGGCACCACGTCCCGTTGACCTGATCTGTGCTCAGACACCCTCAGCGTTCTTGTGGCTCTGTTGTCCCCTTTACACGGTCCCCTGTTGCCCTCAGGTTCCTGCCATGGCTGCCAGCGTGGCCCTCCTGGGGGGCGGCACAGAGGAGCCTGAGCCTCACAGGTGAGCCCCGGCGGGTTGGGTGGTGCTGACTCGAACCCGTGCGAGTGGACGGCGGGACGGGCTGGGGACCGGGATGTGGGCACAGAGCTGGGGGAGCCTCTTTTAAAATTTCGTTAATGCTCACCCAAGGGTGTTTTCCCCACTGATTTTCAGAGACTGTGGGAGGGAGAGGAGGAAGGAGAGAGAGACGGAGAGAGAGACATCGATGTGGGAGAGACGCATGGGTCGGTTGTCTCCCACACCCTCCCAGCTGGGGCCAGGGACCGAACCTGCACCTCAGGGACGTGCCCTCGACTGGGAATCACCCACGTTCTGGGCCTGGGCCGAGGCTCCCCGGCTGAGACGCACTGGCCAGGCCTGTGATCGAGCCTTTTGATATTTGAGAGAGATTCACCAATGGGCCACCTCCTGCACGCCCCCTACTGGTTAAGGAGCCCACCACCCGGGCATTGCCCTGCCCGGGAATGGAACCAATTGAACGTGACCTCCTGGTTGGTGGGTCGGTGCTCCACCCCTGAGCCGAGCTGGCTGGGCAGGCCTTTGGATCTTGGCCATCTTAGGTTCCTGGCGTGCTTTCCAGTCCTCTCTCCAGACTGGGGCCTGGGCATGGGGAGGGGGGGAGGGGAGAGGGTAGACAGGCCGGAGGGGGTCCCGGGGGAGGGGGTCCCGGAGGAAGGGGGGTGCAGGGAGGGGGGTCCCGGGGGAGGGGGTCCTGGAGGAAGGGGGGTGCAGAGAGGGGGTCCCGGGGGAGGGGGTCCTGCGTGGCGTGGGGCTGTCCTACCCACCTCGGGCCACACGCCAGCCCGGGCACCTCATTGCCTTGCGGCTGCGGGACCCGGCGCCCGGCTGACCGCTCTCCCGCGGGGCAGCGAGCGCCCCCTCCAGCTCTGCAACCCGAACATCGCCGCCATGAAGGAGGACATTCTCTACCACTTCAGCCTCAGCACCAGCTCGCATGACCTGCCCGCCATGTTCGGGGACGTGAAGGTGAGGGCGGGGCTCCCCGGTCCGCCCCCCCAGCCGCCTGCCGGCCCGAGTCCACGCCCACAGATCCACGGGCTGTCAGACTGCCCGGGATTGTGTGCCAGCCAGCGGGCGGGAGCAGAAACTGTTGGGGCTGCCCCTTGGTCCTCCGGCTGTGCCGGGCCACACGGGGCAGGGCAGGGGACGGCGTCTCGGGGCAGGGGACACGGCAACGTCAGGGGCGGGACAGGCAGAGGCCTGCGGGCGTGCGGTCCGCACGGACACGCTCACCCAGCGCTGCCCCCGCTCAGTGGCTTTTCGTCTTCAGAGACTTGGTTCTTTGACCGTTAACTCCCGGAAGCTGGCATCTTCCTGGCTTTCCCTGTGTAAACAAGACGAAAAGGGAGTTCTCACCCACAGTGACGGCCTGTAGTTTTCCGAGTCCACCCTCCACGGCCACTTCCATGCCCCACGCCCCACACTGGCCGTGTGCTGCTTGGGTGGTGGTGAGAGAGAGTCGACAGGGCCGTTTTATTTTATTTTACTTTTTAACTTTTATTTTTTTTAATGTTTTTATTGATTTTAGAGAGGAAGGGAGAGGGAGAGAGAGAGAAACATCCATGGTGAGAGAAAATCACGGATCGGCTGCCTCCTGCACGCCCCCACTGGGGATCGAGCCTGCAATCTGGGCCTCTGCCCTGACCGGGAATCGAACCCTGACCTCCTGGTTCATAGGTCAGTGCCTAACCACTGAGCCACACCAGCTGGGGCCACTTTACAGGCAAGGAGCCGGCCGTCCTGGTCCACCCCGGCTTCCGGACTGAGCGCTGTCCGTGTGCTGGGCCAGGGAGCGGCATTGCCAGCAGGTTCCAGAGGTGCCGGGCCGCAGGCAGGCAGGAACCTCCCCCCACCCCTCGGGAAGCAGGCCTGGGCCCCTCCGTGAGCTGGGGCTCTGCTGAGTGTGCCCCCCCAGCCAGGCCCCGGAATCGCCAGGAGGCACCCGGGCAGTGTGTGCGGGGCCAGGGAGCGGCATTCCAGCAGGTTCCAGGAGGCACCCGTGTCGCCGGGCGGGGGGGGCTCGCCGACGCTGTCTCTGCCCGCAGTTCGTGTGCGTGGGGGGCAGCCCCTCCCGGATGAGTGCCTTCATCCAGTACGCGGCCGCGGAGCTGGGCCTGGGCCGGCCGGGCGAGGAGTACCCCAACATCTGCGCGGGCACCGACCGCTACGCCATGTTCAAAGCGGGGCCCGTGCTGTCCGTCAGCGTGAGTGCCGCCCGGAGCTGGGCTCTGCAGGCCCGTCCTCCGTCCTCCGCACAGGCCTGGGGGCCGGGAGGCACCGGGGCTGGGCCAGCAGACAGGAGCGGGGAGCAGGGGGAGCCAGGGGAGCCGGGCGGGGCGCGGGAGGGCCGCCAGCGGTGGGGCACGGCTGTGTGGGTCCCGGGACGGCCCTGTGCTGCCTCCGCCGCCCGAGTTGCACAGCTTTTGGTTTCTGTGCTGAGGCTGGTGCTCTGTGGCCGCCGGGGGTGGGGGCGGGGGTGGGGGTGGGGGTGGAGGTGGGGGTCGGGGTGGGGGTGCAGCAGCGCACGGGCCACGGGCCTGACGCCCTCTCTCCCGCCAGCATGGCATGGGCATCCCCTCCATCGCCATCATGCTGCACGAGCTGCTCAAGCTGCTGTACCACGCCCGCTGCTCCGGCGTCACCGCCATCCGCATCGGCACGTCGGGCGGCATAGGTGAGTGGCCGGGCCGGGCCTTACCTGTGAGAACGCTGCTGCTGAGCCCGCTGGTGTGGCCCAGTGGTGAGCGTCTCGCCCTACGAACCAGGAGGTCAGAGTTCAATTCCGGTCGGGCACATGCCCAGGTTGTGGGCTCCATCCCCACTAGGGGGCGTGCAGGAGGCAGCCGGGCTGTGATCCTCTCTCTACCTCCCTCTCCCGTTCTCTGAAATCGATAAAGACACATATTTAAGGGAACGTTGAGGGTCAGCAGGCTTCAGTGTGCGGTGTGCGGATGGGCCGGTCTCCTGCGTGTGCTGGGCCGCGCCCTCCGCCCCCCCCCAGCGGCGGTGACCCGGCCCCTGCCCCCAGGTCTGGAGCCCGGCTCCGTGGTGATCACCCGGCAGGCGGTGGACGCCTGCTTCAAGCCCGAGTTGGAGCAGCTGGTGCTGGGGCGGCGGGTGGTCCGCAGCTCCGAGCTGGACGCGCGGCTGGTGCGGGAGCTGGCGCAGTGCGCCGCCGACCTGGACCAGTTCCCCACGGTCGTGGGCAACACCATGTGCACGCTGGACTTCTACGAAGGTGTGGGCCGGCCCGGGGGGCGGGGGGCGGGGGGCCGTCTCCGGTCTCGCCGGCCTGTCCACGGCGGCCTCGCCTGCCGGAGGCGTGTGGGCTCAGGGCGGGCGGGCCGGACAGAGCATCCCTGCGCCCTGCGGAGCCCCCCTCGCCCGCCGTCCCCAGCATGGCCTCTCCTCGCGCCCGCAGGGCAGGGCCGGCTGGACGGGGCGCTGTGCTCCTACACGGAGCAGGACAAGCAGGAGTACCTGCGGGCGGCCCATGCGGCCGGCGTCCGCAACATCGAGATGGAGTCGTCTGTGTTCGCCGCCATGTGCAGCGCCTGCGGCCTCCCAGGTAGGTGGGCCCGGGCCGCCCCCTCCCTCCTCCCGCCCGGCCCGCCCTCCCGCTGCCCGCCCTCCCGGTGCCCGCCCCGCGTCTGCCTCTGGCCGCCCGCCCCGGAGGCCTGCGCTGGACGGGGGCCGCCTGCGATGGTCACAGGGCCGAGGGCCGGGCTCTCAGTGTCTGAGTCCCTCAGGTCTCCCGGGCCATGGCCACCACCAGCCCCGCGCTGGGTCTGGCTTTCAGACTGGGATTTGCATCGGGGTGTGTCCCCCCACGGTCCGGCTCCCAGTCCGGGATGTGCCTGGGACTCGGTGGGGAGTGAAGGCGGAAGGAGCAGGAGAGGGCGGGGTGGGGCAGGAGAGGGCGGGGCGGGGCAGGTGGGGGCAGGAGGCAGCCCCAGGCCCTCTGTGCTGTCAACATGCCTGTGGGTCCCCAGGGGCCTGTCTCCAGAGGGATGACAGGTGGCACCTTGTCTCTTAGGACAGTGGTCGGCAAACTCATTAGTCCACAGAGCCAAACGTCAACAGGACAATGAAATTTCTCTTGAGAGCCAATTTAAAAAATATATATATATTTTATTGATTTTTTACAGAGAGGAAGGAAGAGAGATAGAGAGTTAGAAACATCGATGAGAGAGAGTCATCGACCAGCTGCCTCTTGCACACCCCCTTCTGGGGATGTGCCACAACCAAGGTACATGCCCTTGACCGGAATCGAACCCGGGGCCCTTCAGTCCGCAGGCTGATGCTCTATCCACTGAGCCACACCGGTTTCAGCAACAGCCAAATTTTTTAAACGTAAACTTCTCTTAACGCCACTTCTTCAAAATAGACTGGCCCAGGCCTGGTATTCTGTGGAAGAGCCACACTCAGGGGCCAAAGAGCCGCCTGTGGCTCGCGAGCCGCCGTTTGCCGACCCCGGGCCTAGGCTGAGCTGGAAGCCCCGCCTTCCCTCTGACTGACCTTTGCCCCCGCAGCGGCCGTGGTGTGCGTCACCCTCCTGGACCGCCTGCAGGGGGACCAGATCGGCAGCCCCCACGACGTGCTGGCCGAGTACCAGCAGCGGCCGCAGCGGCTGGTCAGCCACTTCATCAAGAAGAGCCTGGCAGGGGCCGCGGCCCCCGCATCCCGGAGCGGCTGCCAGTGAGAGGCTGCCCAGCCGGCCTGCTCCCCTCCCCTGGCCCCGGGGCACTCATGCCGATCGGCCTGGTTTGGGTTTTCTGTACGAATGTTCCCCTGAAAATGGAAATGTTTTGGGGAAATGTCAGACTTAAACGCTGGTGGTTGTCTGATTTCTCATCGCTGAGCACGGAGTCTGAGCCACGGCTGCAACAGTCACTTCCAGGTAACTCCAGCCCGCAGGCAGCGAGCCCCAGGCAGCTCCGGGAGGCCGGGGGGAAGTGCCGGGAGCACACGGACACGCGTGTCAGGCGGGCCCTGAGCAACATGGCTGTGAGCTGCACAGGTCCACTCAGACACGGATTTTCCTTTTTCAGATGGTATTTCTAAAAACTGATTTTTAGGGAGAGAAACACCGGTTTGTTGTTTCGCTTATTTGCGCATTCCTTGGGTGCTTCCTGTTTTGAAATCCTCACCTGAGCGTGTTTTTGTTTTTAATGGGTTTTAGAGAGAGAGAGAGAGAGAGAGAGAAATAACAAAATATGTTGCCTCCAGTACACTCCCTGACTGGGGATCGAACCTGCCCCCTTGGGGTGTTGGGGTGACGCTCGAACCAGCTGAGCAGCTGGCCAGGCCAGACTCGGCCTTTCTCTAGACCCACAGCCCAAGAGGTTATACCCACGTTGTCCTGGGTGACTGGCGGCTGGACTGTGCGGAGACACGGGGACTGTCAGCTGGGCAGGAGGTGGTAGCCCCTAACCATTGTGCTTCCCAGCCACCCCCTGCACACACAGCTGGCTCCTCGCCCACAGCCACGTTTCCGGCGGAAACCGGCGTGCCTGCCTAACACGCTGCCACAGGGGTCTGCTCCCCACACACCAGCTGAGGGAGCTGGGTCCAAGGGGCTGTGGGTGGGACTGGTCCCCTCGGGGGAGTCGGCCGTGGCTCGTGGAATCCACGGCGGGTGGCCACTCTGGCCCTGGGTCCTGTTGTGAGCGCGGAGGAGGGTGGTTCCTGGCTGTGCCCGAGGCCCTCGCCCCACCCTCCGGCTCCCCCGGCTAGTCCGGCCCGCTCTGCGGGCAGCCGTGTGGCCGGGGGCCGGGGGCCGGGGGCCGGGGGGTGGGGAGGGGAGAGCAGGGCAGTATCAGACCCATGGGGGTTGCTGTGGGTGTGGTCCCTACATTCTATAGAAGGCCCTTCCCTGGAGCTCAGAGTCACTCCAAGCCAAGGGTCAGAGGTCAGGTTCGAGGGTCAGAGGTCAGGTTCGCCCGCCTGGACGCTCCGAGGAGGAGGCTGCTGTGGAGAAGCTGCGGACTCTCCCTCGCCTCCCGTGGTGGCTGCTGCTCCACCAGGAGGCTGAGCGGGAGGATGAGCCCTGAGGGCGGGCCGTCCGGAGCCCGGCCCCAGGCGCAGGGCGGACTCTGTCCTCTCGGCCCCATCCTCCATCTGCCCCATTCCCAGGCGCCCACACTCAGCTGGGTGTGCCCGTCAGGCCTCAGCCCGCCGAGGGCCCTGGAGCCGTGCCCTGGACCGGGCTCCATCTGGGCGGCTGTCTTGCCTGGGAGGGGTGGGGGGCTCACTGGCCTGGGGGCCCCTCCCTCCCTGCCCAGGCACCTGTGGCCGAGGGACTGGCCACTTCCCGGGAGCTCCCGGCCCACCTGTGGCCGGCAGAGGGGGCACAGGCACTGGGCAGCTGCTCCCGGCCCGAGGCTGGGTCTCAGGTGCCTCCGCCCAGAACCCGGAGCTAAGGCCCCCGAGGGGTGGGCCCGGGGACCAGGGCTCCCAGGGAGGACCTGCAGCTCGAAGCCCGGCCTGCACCGCCCTCTGTTGGCCACGGGTGGGACGGCATGTCACCCCACAGGTGCTGCTGCTGTCATGGGGGTGGGGGAGGGGTGAGGCTTAGAGATGACCTCATGGGGCCGGCCGTGCCCAGCGCAGGGAGCACCTCGGAACCAAGGAGCTTGTTCTGATGGGACCGTGACACCTCTCTCCTGACACCTGGACTCAGAACTCAGTGTGGTTACTAAGGTGACTCCAGGTGACCTTGAGAACGCCCTCAAACACGTGTTACCTGGGTTCCTCCCCGCACAGTGTCCTGGCCGGTCCCGCCTCCCTCCCTCCCCAGTGCTGAGAGGCCCGCTGAGAGGGTCAGGTGACAAGGACTGACCTCTCGCTGCCTGGCCGGTCAGAGAGGACAGGGGACGGTTTTGGGTTTGTTCTGATGAACTAGTCAGGCCGGGTCTGGGGAGCTGAGTGGTGTCTCAGGCACCTTGTCCTCCGTCTGTCCTCGGCGAAGGCAGTGCCAGGACGCCCCCCCCCCCCACGGTGTCTCCCACCTTGTAATTGGGGGATTGGTGGGGGGGGGGGTCCCGGGGGCGAGGTGTCCAGGTGTTTCCACCCAGAGAAAAACAGCGCGGCTCAGATGGAAGGTGGGAGTGATTGGGGCTCGTTGTGCAGAGGGACAGAGGGAACCCTCCTCACTGCCCTCCTGCCTCCCGCTCTGCTGTGGGTGTCCTTCCTCTCCACGTTCCCAATGGGGGTCTGCGGTTCCTTTCATTTTCTTAGCTCCGAGGGCACCAGATAGCATGAGAAGATAAAGCCTCGTGTTTCTGTCCATTTGTTGTCTTTGGAACAAATACGCTTTCGCTACGAGTTGGAATTATGGTTTTCTATTAGAACGAGGAGACAGGCTAATTCAGGTTCATGAGAAGTGATTGAAATTAGCTGGGTGGAATTTCAGTGTCAGAGGAAATGAGTTATTTAAATCACCCAAGGTTATTTATTTTTTTCAGGATTTATAAATTACAATTAAATAAGAAACATTTGGGTCATGCAAGTTCTTTCAGCTCTAAAACTTCTAATTGCTTTTGCCCATAATTTTAATAAAGCTTTTACATAGAGACAAAGAGACCATTTTACCTGAAATTGCTGAATAATTTACATTTTAATTTTTAAACTACATTAGCATAACCTTTCAGAGGGACCAGCCGAATGTGTGTATGTTAATCTCCTACATCCAAGTTTGGGGCATGCTCATGAGGGAGCTAGTCAGCTCTGACCCAGCACGTTGGGTCCGAACTGTGCGTCCAGGCAGGGATAGATGAGTGTGGAGGGAGGGTCTCGGCCCTTCCTGTTCTTTTTAAGATTGATTTCAGGGAGAGGAGGGAGACAGAAACATTGATGAGGAAGAAATATCTATGGGCTGCCTCCCGCACGCCCCCTACTGGGCATGTGCCCTGACTGGGAAGTGAACTGGCCACTTCTCCTGATGGGACCCCCTTCAGCCACTGAGCGACACCGTCGGGCAGGTCTTATTGTCCTGGATTTAGCCGGTTCTCTCTGCTGTGTGCCGACCTGGCCACCTCCCCTCGGACTCCAACCTCAATGGAAGGATCTAGTGGATGGCAGGAGAGAAGGGATGGGGTGGCAGGGCAGCAAGGACGGATAAGGGGCTGGTCCTGTGGTCCCTGTAAGCCCACAGGGGTGTCCTGGTGCCCAGGCCGGCACAGGGCACCGGGGACCAGCTCTCCTTGGGGGCGGGTCCCAGGAAGTTCCATCCTCAGGACCTTTCCGGCCACGCCTGCCTGCTGCTCCGTGTCCTCCGAGCCTGGGGAAGGGGCAGCCAGCGCAGACACCCCGTCGGCCTCCCTGCAGGTGTACTCGGCCAGCTGGGCAGCGGGGCCCCTTTGTCAGCCGTGAGACCCGGTCCCAGGGGCGGGCGTGGCCAGCCCTGCTGCAGGCGGAGGCCAACAGACGCCTCAGCTCCCTCAGTCCTGCAGCTGGTGCTGGTGGGGCAATCACGTACAGACCTGAGATGGGAGCACCACGGCGGGGCTTTTCCTAATCCTGGATTTTAGAAAAAATGACAGTCCCCGTGGAGGGAAGTGCTGTTCCTGTTACCCGCGAAGGACCGGGTGTGTTACCCACAAAGGGAACCGGGTAGCAACACTCAGAGGGCAGGACGGGCCTGGAGGAGGTGAGGCCAGGGAGACCGGGCGCAGGCGGGCAACAGCAAAACCCAAGCCCAGGTCTGTGCGTGCCTGGCTGTGCGGGCCAGCCCCCCCCCTCCCCCCCGGCCGTGGCCCTCTGGCGAGCAGGGATGTGGGCCGCAGTGGAGCAGCAGGTGAGCCGGGAGCGGCCGGGAGCCGGCGGCCGGGCAGCGGGCCTGCAGGACAGGCCTTCCCTCTGAGGCCCGGGCCTGTGCGGGGGCAGAGCCCTGGCGGGACCTCAGGCGGGGAAGCCTGTGAGGAGGTGGGTGACCACACACTCCCGTTGCTCCGGATCCTCCTACCCCAGTGGGGCCCAGGCGCCGGCTCGGACGCGGTGCCCTCGCTGATGCACAGGCAGGAACGGCCGGGTTCACTACCCCTTTCCCCAGGGGCTGCAGAGGAGCGGCCCGGCTGCACCCCTCGGGGCCTGCCCCGCCTGCGTCCCCGTTGCACAGGCCCAGCCTTGGGGACCGGGTAGACGGGCTGTGGGGGCTGCACGGGCCCAGCCTTGGGGACCGGGTAGACGGGCTGTGGGGGCTGCACGGGCCCAGCCTTGGGGACGGGAGGACGGGGTGCGGGGGCTGCACGGGCCCAGCCTTGGGGACGGGAGGACGGGGTGCGGGGGCTGCACGGGCCCAGCCTTGGGGACGGGAGGACGGGGTGCGGGGGCTGCACGGGCCCAGCCTTGGGGACGGGAGGACGGGGTGTGAGGGCTGCGGCCAGCGCCTCTGACGTTGAACCGTCGCCCTGTGTTCTCCAGGGCCAGCGTCCTCCTCTCCTAGGAGGAGTCCTCCCTCCGGGAGCCCCCGGGCGGGGCTGGGCCCGGTGAACCTGCTTCCCAAGAGGAGAGGCCGGGGCTGCCCCCGCTCTCGGCCTCTGCCCGGGCGGGAAGGTGAGGAGGTTTCTCACGGACGCCCAGCAGGACACCCGATGCCAGCACCGGGGGCGGGGGCGGGGCAGGGAGGGGCAGTAATCCGCTGCATCACCCCCTTCGCTGGCACTGGCTCACGTGACGGATGGGCCCGCCTGGGCCGGGCCGCGGGTATAAGCCGGGCTGCGGGCTCCCTGCCCAGAGGACGGAGCTTCGCCCAGACGACGGCATGTGGCCGGCCGGGCGCCAGCTGGGGGCCCTGGTCTGGAAGAACTGGCTGGTCAGGTGCCGGCACCGGGTGAGTGGGGCCGCTCCGGCCGGGCCCGGGGGCCGGGGGGCTGGGGCCGGGGGCGGCCCCTCCCTGCAGGGGACCCGAGCTCGGTCAGTGCCCGTGGGGAGCTGCCCTCGGGCCACAGTGGCCGGACCCAGGGCCAAGGCAACATGGCATCCTGTCAGGAAAGGGTGGCGCGGAAAAACTCTAAAATTATACAAAAGCAAATGCAGCGTCGCCTGTGGCTTTGCTTCTTGCAAACGCCAAGCGGTGAGTCCGCTGGCCGGGGGACCAGGTGGGCATGAGTGCAGGAATAGCACTTCCTGCTCCCCTCTCCCCTGGGGCTCTGTGCGACCCGTCCCGGGAGGGGCGCCAGCGCCCGGGGCTGCCGCTCCAGCCGGTCCTGAGAGTGGACCCCTCCTTTGGGGCGGGATCCAGGTGATGGGATCGCTCAGACGTGCACTATTTCCCCTCCTCGGGTTTTAGACATGGAAGGGAGGAGGAGAGACAGAGACACATCGATAGGTTCCTCCCGCACCGGCCCCAACAGGGAGCCTGCAAATGAGGCCCCGCCCTCAAACCTGAGACCCTCCGTGGGCTGACACTAACCATCGAGCTGCACCAGCCAGGGTGAACCCAGCATTCAGCAGGTGCCCGTGGCCGGCCTGGAGGCCCGCCCATCAGGGACCGTGCGTGGTCCACACAGCCTTGCTCAGGCCGCCTGCGGCCCTCCCTGGCCCCACTGCGGTGACCCCGCCCAGGGGAGTGGGCTTCCTGGAGCTGGGTGCCCGGCGGCAGGTGAGGACGCTGCGTGGGCAGGCCGGTGCCGCTGAGAGGCCCCAGAGTGTCCGCGTGGCAGTGTCCGAGCACCTCATCGCATTGGCAGGGTTTGCGGGGGGCGGGCGGGGGCAGGGGCCGCCCTCCATCCACAGGAACTTGTAGCCTATCCCCTTGGTATTGCAGTCTGAGGCCTTCTTTCTCATTGGAACAATTCAATGACAACAACAAAAAGAAAAAATGTGAGAGAAAAAATAAAATGTATGTTTTTAAATTTAACAAGTTAATAACAAGAAATAGCACAAAACAAACGATAAAGTAACGCCGGCTGCTCAGAGCCTCCTAGTTCTCAGTCCTGGGGTTTGATGTGGAAACGAAGCCAACCCACTGCGGCTGCACAGCCCCCGCTGCCGTCCCGGCAGAGCAGGGACGGTCTCGGGCGCGGGGGCCTCTGACAGGTGCCTCCAGGCTGCGCTGCGGCTGGCCCCACCCGTCAGAGGCTCCGGCTCCTTCTCCCACACGAGACTGGAGCGCCTTTGGGCCGGTGCAGGGGCCGGAGCCGAGTTCAAGGCAGGACGTCTTGTCCTAAAAACGCTGGTCCTCTTCCCGCTGTGGGTCCCCCGGGCTGACAAACACTAAACTGCTGGCCCGTCTGACCAGGACACACTGCTCACCTCGTCCCTCTCCGTGCGAACCACCGATTCCTGCGGCCAGGGCTGCCACCTCTTAGACACGGCTGCAAGGGATGGTACCTCCCCGGGCTTCCCTCTGCTCCCCAGGCTTCTAGTCCCCCAGGCTTCCCCTTCCCCCCTTAGCTTACCCCCCTCCCCTCAGGCTTCCCCTTTCCCCCTTAGCTTACCCCCCTCCCCCCAGGCTCCCCCTTTCCCACAAGGTTCTAACTCTGGATTCTCCCCTGGGCTTCTTCCCTGGCTCCCAGGGAGATCTACTCAGCACAAAGCCAAGTTCAAGCCGCACCCCCTCCTGTTAGAGAATCAGGAAAGGCTTTGCATCTGCCTCCCGCCTCCCAGCACGACTGGGAAGCCACTTGTTTTCTCCAAAATCCTCAGCCTAAGCTCCAAGGACCTCCCACCTCAGAGCGTGGGAGTATGTGTGTGTGTGTGTGTATGTGTGTCCTTTTATAAAACAAACCCTCACATTCTTTGAGGTTTTGTCCACCCCTGAAGTCAGGTGCTGAAAGCAAACCTTGATGTTAAAGAAGTTTCCTTTGGGGGCAGTTACCACGTTGCTCACAGTTTCTGTATTTTCTGAAATTGCAGATGACATCCAGCCCAGGAAGTTAAGTAACTTTAAAAAAAATGGTTTAGTGTGGGAGCCCCTTTCACGTCCGCGTGGTTCCGGGTTCCGGGTCGGGGCTCGGGTTCTGGGGAAGGCCGCACACAAAGGAAAAGAGACGAGAAAAGCATTAATTAGGGAATATTGGGCGCCAGGCGGGAGCCCACTCTGTGGGAGGAATACTCCCTGCTCTGGCCCTGCATCCCTTTACTGAGACTCTGGGATCACCCATATCCTTTAGGCAGGAGTCTCCAATAACAAATTCACATAAGACAGCGGAGGTGGAGGCTGCTGCAGCTGTGAGAGACTATCCAGCTCTGACCAGAAAGCAGCAATGGGGGTTGTTGACAATGATCAGCTTCCGGCAGTTTAGGGCTCAGAGGTAGATTCTGGCTGGTTTTGTATCACAGGTCATCAACTACTTGATCTGCTGGAAAGGTCCAGGGGTGTGGGGGGGCCCGGGGGTCAGAGGGCAGGAGCCTGGCCTCTGATAGGCAGGTTGGAAAAAAGATGGAAGGAGTTTTCTGATGAGATGCTGTGATTGTGTGTGTATGGTTTTTTGTTTGTTTTTGTTTTGTTTTTTTTTGGAAAGCAAAGCTCCATCACAGAGAAGCTCCAGCTGCGGGAGGACCAAGCAGGCAGTAGTTGTGCTTTTTTAAAAAGAAGCAGAGCAGCCTCATCTGAGGGAAAAACAGGAAGTCTAGGCAGTGACTGATTGGGGTTGGACATGTGGGGGAAGGGTTAAAGGAATGATGACCTGTCAGTGGTTTTATACTAAAAATGGTTAAAAAGGAAGTCGCTGACATGGACTCTGGTGCTGAAAGGGGTGACAGGCTCGTTCGCCAAAACCTTTCACCGGGAGTCCCGGTGAGCCAACATGTGGCTCTCCACGGCCCGGCAAGGGCAGCCCCGGGGAGAGTATATCAGTCAGCGCAGCGGTAACAAACACCGAGGCCGCCTTCAGCAATGCTCACAGCTCCTCCTGAGCTTCCGAGCTGTTCTCACGGTCTTCCCTCTGTGCCTGTCTGTGTCCTAATTTCTCATCTTCTTTCTGACACTCAGTTTTACTCGACTGTTTAGGGAAAATGCAGTCTTTTTAAATCTTCACCCAAGAATATTTTTTACATTTTTTTTTTTAAAAGGGAGAGTGGAGGGAGAGGGAGAGACAGGGAGAGAAGCATCGATGTGAGAGACACATCGATTAATTGCCTCCTGTTCACATCCCGACTGGAAACGGGGATTGAGCCCGCAACCAAGGTGCCTGCCCTTGACTGGGAATTGAACCCGCAACCCTGCAGTCCGTGGGCCAGAGCCTAACAACGGAGCCAACAGAATTCCTTCCATGTGAAAGCAGGTGGTTCCAGCGGCAGGTGGGGCTCGGTGCTTTTAAAGGGCCAGGCAGGCATCGGTTCCTCCTCTTACGGGCCACCTGCTGCCGGGACCTCATCCTCACTCAGCACGTGAGCCTGTGTCCAGGTCAGGTGGTGCTCTGAGGTCAGGGGTCAGGCTTCAGCGTGGAGTTTGGGGGCACAATCAGCCATGGCGGAATGCTGGCTCTGCCCGCTGGGCCCTGTCCTGTGAGCCCAGGGAGACGCATGCTCGCCCCACCGCTTGGGATGTGTAAATGGGAGAGCATGCCCCGGCGGCGTGGACCTCAGGCCTCCCCCCCCCGGAGGAAGATGCTGCTGAGCCCAGAGGGTCCAGCGAAGGGAGACTCTCCTCATCGTGGTCCTCCCTGCCGCCCGTCCCTTCGGTGCTCAGCACGGCGTGACGAGGACCCACCGCACCCCGTCCTCCTGGTGGGGGGGGGGGCGTTAGTGGGAGGGCTGAGCTGCAGGTTCGGGCTCTCCGGTCGGACTCTTGTTAGTGTGAAGAGTTCCTTGCCATATTTTACAAATGGCAGTCCCTTCGCTGTCCCCTAAACCTAACACTCTGGGAAAGGTCCTCTTCAGAGAGACGGGAAGGTGCCGCCCCCAGGGCACAAAGGGACTCCCCGCCCAGTGCACAGCCCTTTGTCTCCAAGGACAGGGCCTCGGCTAATTACAGGCTCCCGCCTCCTGGATATTCTAGCCTGTGAGGCCTTCCACCAGCTCCTTCCTCCTTCCTTCCTTTACAGTTTTGTTTTTTGCACCAAATGTTTTATTCTTTGTGGTTTTCAGTTGCAACCAAAACCACCAGCTCCCTGAGCAACTTGGAGGATTTAGAAATGGGCTTGCCCTGGCCGGTTTGCCCAGTGGATAGAGCATCGGCCTGCGGATAAAAGGGTCCTGGGTTCGGTTCCCGTCAAGGGCCTGGTCAGGGTGTGTGCAAAGGCAGCCAACCGATGTGTCTCTCACATCGGTGTTTCTGTCTTGTCTGCTCTCTCCACTCTCCCTAACACTCAATGGAAAAAATCCTTGTGTGAAGATTACCAAACAACAACAAATGGGTTTGAACTCGGTCCCTATGAAGCTTTGTCCCAGCGGAAGGAGAGTGACTTGGTCTGCAGGCCTGAGAGTCAGCTGGGGCGCGTGTGCTGGGTGTGCAGCGTGCAGAGCGGCTCGCACTGCTGCGGGGGTGAGGGTGCTGCGGGCTGGAGCGCTGCAGGGCGTGAGGGAGGAGGCGGCCTCCTTGACCTCGGCCTCCGCGTCCTTCCCGGTCTCCGGTGACCTCAGGGCCTGGTCTCCAGCCCTTGTTCCCAGAGACCACGGCGGGGGCGGCGGGGGCGCTTCAGTGTGCCATTTACAAAGAATGCTTGCTTTGGTCTCAGAGAGGAAGAGAGGGAGAGAGAAACATCCATGAGGAGAGAGAATCACGGATCGGCTGCCTCCTGCACGCCCCACCCTGAGGATGGAGCCCACAACCCCGGCCTGTGCCCTGACCGGGAATCGCACCCTGACCTCCTGGTCCCTCGGTTGATGCTCAGCCCCTGAGCCTCCGGGACGGCCAGGTGCCATTTTTTAAGAGCTGGAGATACCGGCACGCTTCGCAGTTCACCCGGCGGGAAGTATTTTATTTAAAAACAACTTGTGCAGGTCCTCTGCCTGGCGGAGTTCCTCTGGCCGTGCGTGCTGTTCATCATCCTGACGGCTCTCCGTTTCCAAGAGCCACCCCGGCGCCGGGACACCTGTAAGTGCCGCGTGGCTGCAGGCCGCCTTCCCGCTCCTGGGAACGGCTCTGAGCCGATGCACGAGTGGCCCCATCGCGGTGGCTGCAGTTCCGGGGTGTCAGCACCTCCCTCTTCCCCTCTTGGGAATGGCAGCCACTGTTGGTTCGCTTGGCAGATTTATTCTTCAGCTAAGCTCACCCACCTGGGCTCGTGGGCAGCTGCCCACCAGGTTCTGTGGATGAGTGGCTTCCAGATTCCCTGTGTGAGTGTGTGTGTATGTGTGTGTGTGAGTGTGTGTGTGTGTGTGTGTGAGTGTGTGTGTGTGTGTGTGTGTGTGAGAGTGAGTGTGTGTATGTGTGTGTGTGAGTGTGTGTGTGTCTGTGTGTGTGAGTGTGTGTGTGTCTCTGTGTGTGTGTGTATGTGTGTGTGAATGTGTGTGTGTCTGTGTGTGAGTGTGTGTGTGTGTCTGTGTGTGTGTCTCTGTGTGTGAGTGTGTGAGAGTGTGTATGTGTGTGTCTGTGTGTGTGTCTGTGTGTATGTGTGTGTGAGTGTGTGTGTGAATGTGTGTGTGTCTGTGTGTGAGTGTGTGTGTGTGTCTGTGTGTGTGTGTGAGTGTGTGTGTGTGTATGTGTGCCTGTGTATGTGTGTGTCTGTGTGAATGTGTGAGAGTGTGTGTGTGTCTGTGTGTGTGTCTGTGTGTGTCTATGTGTATGTGTGTGTGAGTGTGTGTGTGAATGTGTGTGTGTCTGTGTGTGAGTGTGTGTGTCTATGTGTGTGTGTGTGTGTGTGTGAGTGTGTGTGTGTGTGTGTAAAGGGCAGGGGCAGAGTGTACCAAGGGGGGGGGGTGTGAGCAGAACTTGACTAAGGGAGGTGGCTTATTGGGGCCACATTAGTCCTGATCTTTTAACAGCTGCACTTAACATTTAAGAATACAAGGGGTGTTAGATTTCAAAATTTTGCCCAAATTAAAGACCCCTCCCTTCCCCTCCCCTCCCCCCTCCCTCCCCTCCCCTCCCCTCTGTTCCCCTTCCCCCTCCCTCCCCTCCCCTCCTTCTTCCCCTCCCCTCCCTTCTCCTTCCCCCCTCCCCCCTCTCTTCCCTCCCCTTCCCTCTCCTCCCCTCCCCACCCTTCCCCTCTCCCCTCTCCCCCCATTTCTCCCCTCCCCTCCTCCTTCCCCTTCCCTCTGTTCCCCTTCCCCCCCCTCCCCTCCCCTCCCCTCCCCTCCCCTCCCCTCCCCTCCCCTCCCCTCCCCTCCCCTCCCCTCCCCTCCCCTCCCCTCCCCAGAGTGTGCAGTCCCCGTTGCGGGAACAGCAGCAGTAATTCGGCGATGGCAGGACGTGACGGTTGCTCTTCTGATCCTGGCTCGGCACGTTGTGTTGCTGCTGCCAGTGGCCTGTCGTCTCCTTGCCCCCCTGCAGGTTACCTGCAGCCCCGGGACCTGCCCAGCCGGGGCGTCCTCCCTTTCGTGCGGGGCCTCCTCTGCAACACGGGGGCGCGGTGCCGGAACACGAGCGGCCCGCCCAGCCAGCGCCATCTCCGGTAAGACCAGCCCCTTGGGGGCCCTGGGAGGTGGGGTCTTCTGTGGTTCCTGGCATTGCTAACCTGACATTTAAGGTGAGGCATCTTAGTTACAAGAAGAAAATGAGACGTTTCCAGGTGACTTTGGACAACTTTAAGTTGTCAGATCAGTGTCATATATAAAAGCACTGTGCAAAGAACATCATTTGGAAATAGTCTGCAAGCATAACCCCAAGACAGCTGAGGGTCTTCTTGTGTGTAGAGGAGGAAGTGTTAATGTAAAAACATTCAAACGTGTGAAGAATGTCTGTGAGTTAATTAGAGCCAAACTGTCAACAATTGCTGGGAAGTAGTATCTCAAGGGGTTGGGATGGTGCTCCGGAGAATGGCGGGTTTTCATCCAGCTTTACACATTGCAATCAAAGGAGAGGACTTAGTGAGTTCCAGGAAATCCACTGGTGATTAATTAGGAAGGCGGGAGAAACCTCTGGGATTGGATAAGAAGTAAAATGATGGACACGCACTCAGGTGGGTGCAGGGACAATTAACATAACAATGAAGGGATTTGTGGTATCTGGAGCCCAGGCACATCAGGTTGTGCCCAATGGGGTTGGGAAGGGAAATTACAAGTTACCCAGACGTGAAGGGTGTGTTATCCCAGATGCAAAAAGACAAATAGGTTCAGATAAGGTAAAGGTGACCTTGTCAGGGAAGATCCCAGCCTAGGATGTAACTGCCCACCATCACTGCTTTTAGTGAAAGTTTAATTCCAGACCATCCTTGTGGTGACTGTAGGTCTGAGTCTGCAAGACCGCCACCCAGGCCTCCCGAGCTGTCAGGTCAGCATGGGGCCCCTTCGTCACCGCAACGCAGATTCCTCTGGGGCCGAGGCTCTCCGGCTTTTCTCTCGGGTCTGCTGGGATCCCTCCTCACTCCGAACAGGAAACCTAAATGCTGTTCGAGGGTGACCGGGGCTTCCCACCCCGACAAGACTGGCCCTGTCACCTTCAGTTCTCTGAATCCCTGCCCCGTTTCACTTGTTTCTCAGGTACCCACTTCCAGCGTCATGAGTGTTAAAGGCAAAATAATTAGAAAATAGTTTTATTGATGTCAGAGAGGGAGGGAGGGAGTGAGAGAAACATCCATGATGAGAGAGAACTGTTGATCAGCTGCCTCCTGCATGCCCCACACAGGGGATGGAGCCCACAACCTGGGCAGGTGCCCTCACCGGGGATCAAAACGCTGATAGGTCAACACTCAACCACTGAGCCACAGCGGCCGGGCAAAGGCCAAACAATTAATACAGCAAGCCTGGCGCAGGGGGAGTTACTGGTAGCTAGTCTGAGTCCCTCTGGCTGATAGTAACCTTCCTCCACGCCAGGGAGTCACTGTCCTTTTCCTCCGAGTCCCCGCACTGCAGCCTCAGGTCAGCGTGCTGGACGCAGGACAGCGGGAGCTCGGCACAGTGCTCCCGGCCTGCGGAGAGGCCTGGGCTTCACCGCACGGCATCCCAGGCTTTGACTGGCAGCCGGGGGGAAGGGCCTCGTCTCCCGGTGCCTGAGGCCCAGGTGTGAGCAGTGAGGGTGCAGCAGAGAAAGACACGAGCAAAGAGGCAGCAGGAAGAAGCCCATACACGGTCAAGCTCACCTCTGGCTTCACACCCTGCCCCTGACGGCCTTTCTCATCCGTTCATCTATGAACTCAGTTGACCTTTGTGGCCATCAACATCCACTTTGTCTGTTTGCAGACGATCTTCAGGCCAGTTCCGTTCTGGGAGACGGAAACAGGATCTGGGCTGATTGAGCCTGTGAATTTCCAGGCCTTTAATCCCTCGGGAAAGTTCCTTGGGCGGAAGTCCCAGGGTTCCTCCCACCTGGAGGGGAGGGTTCTGCAAATCCCCTTCCCCTTCCTGGTTTTGCTGGCCCAGGAGGGGTTTGGGCTCAGGCCAGGTCATCCGGGGTTTGGAGGAGAGTGGCGGGAGGCAGGGCGGGAGGGGGCAGCTGGCTGGGGAGCAGAATTGCTTCCTCAGACCTCAGCCGACTTGATTTATTTTAGCTTGACTACGATGGCCATTTTGTTTTTCACTTTATCTCTCAGCCTCTGTTTCATAATTTCCCTTTTCCAGGGCCCTGCTTCTTTACATGTAGCAGGATCCTCTTTCTCCACTCAGAGAGGCTAAGAATTTATCCTTAAAAAAAAAAAATTGATTTCAGAGAGGAAGCGTTCCGAGCCACAGCTGCCCCTAACAAGATCCATGACCTGGTCTTCTTACAAGAGATGCAGGACCTGGCCGATGGCGTGCGTGAAGTGATGGCCGAGGCAACAAACTTAAAACAGCTCTGGGCAGAACGAGGCAAGTCCATCTCACCATCAGATCTCACCTGGCGGTGGGCTTGAGCGGGGCCGCCAAGTCCCGGTCACATGACAGCCCTGCTGCCCAGGCGGCTGTTCGTCTTGGAGTAGACACCCCACCATGGTGAGGCCCCGCACCCCCAGACGCTTGTGGAGGGCGAGCGACAGGCCCCCCACCTTCCCAGGATGGCTCGGGGGCACAGCCTTCAGAGTGGCTGCAGCTCATCTTGCTCGTCTCTGCGCATTCCCACTCCACTCTCTGTCCTCTCTTTCTTCTGAAACAGAAACATTAATGTGGGAGAGACATCAATTGGTTGTCTCCCGCATGTACCCAGACCAGGGCCGAGGACTGAGCCCGAGCCAAGGTACATGCCTTTGACTGGAATCTAACCTTCAGTCCACAGGCCAACACTTTATCCACGGAGCCAGCGGGGTCCCTTTGTTCTTTTAAGTGATTCCCCCTCTCCCTCCTTTATAGAGTAATACCAGGAAGTGAGATAAAAAGTTTGGCAGAAAGCCGGAACCGGAGTGGCTCAGTGGTAGAGTGTCGGTCTGCGGACTGAAAGGTCCCAGGTTCAATTCCAGTCAAGGGCATGTATCTTGGTTGCGGGCACATCCCCTGTAGAGGGTGTGCAGGAGGCAGCTGGTCGATGTTTCTCTCTCATCGACGTTTCTAGCTCTCTATCCCTCTCTCCTCCTCTCTGTAAAAAATCAATAAAATTTATTTAAAAAAAAGTTTGGCAGAAAAACGAAGTGGGTGGTATTATATGTTATTTCTAAGAGAGACCAGCACCTCACAGCAGGTGCAGTGAGGCTTGGGGGTGGGACAGCAGGTGCAGTGAGGCCTGGGGGCAGAGCTCTGATCTGTGACACAGGTTAGCTGTGACACAGGGGCAGACTTCACTGTGGACCAAATGCTTACCAACGACCAGAATAGCTTCAGACACACAAGATGGAGTCTTTCTTAATACTTTTTCCTCCCCTGTTTCCCCAAAAATAAGACAGTGTCTTATATTAATTTTTTTCTCCCAAAGTTGCGCTAGGTCTTATTTTTGGAGGATGATTTATTTTCAGGGAAACATGGGTAGTAGGGTCATTCTACTTTAATAAAATGTGTTTTTCAAATGAGCTTTTCTACATTCTATTAAAGAGAGAACTAATGTCTTTGAGAGGCGGTCTCTGGTTGATTTTTCAGTTTGCACTATTTGAACCATTTCTCATGATAAAGGAAAATCTCCACTCACAACACAACACATATCTGGCTTTCTACACCAAGTGATCCTTCAGTTTTTGTGGACACTCACTGGGTCTGAAAAATCACAATTTCTCGCCTTTCCTCTTCAACGTTTTCTTTGCTTTCTTTTCCTTCATGTTCTCTGCCCTGTCTTGACTGGCTATAATGCCTGTGGAATGAGAGATTGATAAAATTGTACTTTTTATGCAAATTAGTGAAATCTGGCTTACCATTTCCCTCAGGATCTTTCATATCCATGTGTTTTAGAAATTGGAAGTGGCTGTTCATCCTTCATTCAGGCATGTAATCATATTGGGGCCCACATTCTGTGGTGAGCCCTTGATTTTAGAACTAAAATGGCCACTCAGCAAGTGCGTTCTGACTGCTGCTGGTGGGACTAACATTTCTGAAATCCCTCTATTGTAGGTTCTTATGGCTCCACCTTCTTAACAGTAAGTATTGTGCCAGAAGTTTGGAACATGGTCTTCAGAGACATAATGGTTAGGCTGAAACATGGCTTCAGTCTCCTGGTTTTATCTTCAGCAACAGCATGGGACTGGTTTGGGGCAGGCACAATCCCTGAGGAGATGGGCTGGAAGAGGAACTTGGTCTGGGTCCAGGACAGCAGGTGCAGTGAGGCCTGGGGGCGGGGCAGCAAATGCAGTGAGGCCTGGGGGCGGGGCAGCAGGTGCAGTGAGGACCAGGACAGCAGGTGCAGTGAGGCCTGGGGGCGGGACAGCAGGTGCAGTGAGGCCTGGGGAGGGGAGGAAGCAGGTACAGTGAGGCCTGGGGGCGGTGCAGCAGGTGCAGTGAGGCCTGGAGGTGGGGCAGCAGGTGCAATGAGGACCAGGACAGCAATGCAGTGAGGCCTGGGGGCGGGGCAGCAGGTGCAGTGAGGCCTGAGGGCGGGGCAGCAGGTGCAGTGAGGCCTGGGGGCGGGGCAGCAGGTGCAGTGAGGCCTGGGGGCGGGGCAGCAGGTGCAGTGAGGCCTGGAGGTGGGGCAGCAGGTGCAGTGAGGACCAGGACAGCAGTGCAGCGAGGCCTGGGGGCAGAGCTCTGATCTGTGACACAGGTTAGCTAGCGCTGAATCCCGCCCCTAGATCCCTCTAACTCTCCCTGGGCCCTCCCTGGGCACCACTCCCGCTGGGGCCCAGGCGTCACCACTTGGGTCTTGCGCCCGGGATGGACCAGAACCATGAGGGCAGGCGGAACCAGAGGGCCCAGAGGAGGGTCGAGCACATTTACAGGACGGAGGTAGGGCTGTCGGATCCGCTAGTTCTAATGAGGGTCTGACTGGGTAACCTGGCTTGGAGTCACTGGAGAGGAAACCGCAGGAAGAGGGCCCCGGTTCCTTCCGTCCAGGCTGCAGCTCCAGGCACTGAGCGCTTTGAAACGGGTCCGCGGGGCCCGGGGCTCCGCACGTTGGTTCCGCCCTGAGGGCTCCGCGCAGCTCTGGGCGGGGACTGCGCCTGCGCCGCGGGCTGAGGGGCGCCCTCCCCGGAGGAACTGAGGAGACACGGAACCTGCGGAGACACGGAACCTGCGGAGACACGGAACCTGCGGAGACACGGGACCTGCGGAGACACGGAACCTGAGGAGCCGGGAAAGGGCGGGAAGTGGCGGTTTCCGGAGGACTGACCATGTGGATCACGTGGCGGTACCGTCCCCGCAGGCGCCCGGCGAGGCACGCCCTGGGCCTGCGAGGCCTCGGACACCTGCCCCGCGTGTCGCCCTCGGGGCGGGACCCCGGAGGGCGCCCCTTCCCGGGACGTGGACGTGGCGGCGGGCCGGGCTGCGGGCTGGCGCCTCGGCCCGAGGACCAGGCGCCCCGCCGGGGCGGTGCGGGACGCGGAAGGCGGGGCCGGGTTAAGCCGGGAGCACCCGGCCCATCAGCAAGAGCTTCCGCTCCCGCCTCATCGCCATTTCTGTTGGCAAAGCGTCCTGTCAGCCATAACGGTTCATCTTCACTGGGTATTTTCCCTTTAGTTTCGAGAGAGAGCGGGAGGGGGAGAGGCAGACTTCTGTGAGCCGCAGCCATGGCCCTCCACCCAGACTCGAACCCGTGACACTCTGGTCAACCACCGAGCACTCGGCTAAGCTAGAATGATTTTTTATCTGCCTTCCTCCACACTGACCCGTCAGGGGCCGCGCCACCAAACCCGCCTTTGGTGTGGAGGGGAGTGGGGTGTTGTGTGAGGAAGAACTCCGTTTTGACCACTGGGTTGGCTGCTGTGACAGAAAACCCAGTTACAGCGGGGTCCGTCCTTCCACATACCTGAACACATGTACTTCCAGGTCCACCTCACGGTCATAGAAATGGCTACCAGAGCGGACCTCTCCCTCTCCTGTCCGCTCGGCACCGCATTGAAAAGCCAGCCTCACAGGATCACTCTACGTCTTCCCTGCCCAAAGCACCTGGGCGCATCAGGCCTGGTCTCCGCCACCAGAGGCTCTAGTTTCTTACGCTTTGCCCTGTCATTTAATTGATGATGTTAACGAAAAAAAACAAAAAACAAAAAAACCCATTGAAACCTGTAAAGAATTTTAGTGAGTTTATTTGAGCCAAACTGTCGGCATACGCCGGGAAACAGAACCTCAATGGATTGAGATAATGCCCCGAAGAATGGGGGGTTACATTTCTCTATTTATACACTGAAATCAAAGGAGGGACATAGGTGGGTTACATGAAACTCATTGGTTTAAGGAGGCAGGAGAAAGCAAATCGGTGGGAAACGCCTAGGATTGGGTAAAAAGTAAAATGATGGGGCTTGGGAAAAAGGGAAGTTACAATTTAACCAGACATCTCACAGATACATTATCTTAGAACGGTGTTTCCCAAACTTCTCTCATGATGAGGATCACCTGGTGGAGTTGCTAAAATACAGATTTCCGAATCCCAACTAAGAAGTGCTAAACTAGAATTTTTGGGAACATATAGGTAAAATTGTATACTTAACTAGTGCTCTAGAGCTGTGTTAGAGGAAAAAAGGCAAATTGCTCAGTATAGAAGATATAAGTAGATCTTTGTCAGGAAAAATATCAGCCTATGACATGACTACCCACTATAACCTGTTTGTAGTTTAAATATTTAATTTTCAAACCATCTTTTGTGGTGACTGTAGGTCTCCGAGTTTGCAAGACTGCCACGCAGCCCTCCCCTGCGCTTGTCAGGTTAGCATGTGGCTCCTTTCGTTCACAATGAACAAAAATAAAGAGGAAAACACGTGGTATCTTTTTCTCTCAGGTGGATCTCAATAAGACCGAGGAGGTGATCTTGGCACTGGAAAGCCTTCAGCAGCAGCCCCAAGTCTGGGACTTCCTGCTTTTACTGCCCAGACTGTTCGCAGGCCACATCCCCGCTGACGATGGCCTCCGCGGTGCGGCACGCCCCCTGCAGGCTGTCTTGAAGTAAGATACAAAGAAAGTAAAAACGAATTACAGGTGTGCGGGTGTCTCCTCCTCACTTTTAAAGGGAAATACACGTATCCCTGAGTATTTTTAAGTCCTCTACCAAGGGCATTTTCCCCATTGGTTTTTAGATTTAGAATAGAATGGAGGGATTGAGGAAAGATGGGAGAGAGAGACACACATTGATGTGAGGCACATTGATTGATTGCCTCCTGACGAACTCTGACCAGGGCTGGGAATCGAACCTGGATGTGTGGAGCCCATGCACTTGTGCCAGCCACCGGCTCACGGTGCTTTGCTTTTGTTTGGTTCCAGTTCCTTAACGGCTCTGGAAGAGCTAGATCAGCTGCCACTCAACCCTGCCACCTCCAGGGTTTCCAAAATGGTGCTGAAGGCGACCATTTCCGCGCTGGCGTTCCCGCAGGATCATGGAGTAGCAGCTGCTGGTGCGGGTGGGTATCTAAGCGGTTACGGTATTTCAAGTGGTTCACTCGTTAAATTTATTGACAACCAACGAAGCTTAAGTGCCGTTCAAATCACTTAAAATATAAAGGCAACAAGGAACAGCTGTTTCTGTTCCGAAGCGGGAGCAGGCTGCGGATTGGCACCTCTGACCTGCACCGGAGGCGCTCACACAGAGATGTCTGTGCTCCTTCAGGTTTCCCGCCCGTGGCGCAGCCTCGCAGGGCACCCTCCATCACCCCGGCCCCAGCTCGCGTTGCCTGTGGCTCAGTGGCGGGAGGACCCTAGACAGGAAGGGTGTCTGTTGGCCCTGCCCAAGGGAAGCCAGGTGGCCAGTGTTTACTTGCTCCTCCTGAGGGCTAATCGCAGCAGGAGCCACAGGTTCTCAGTACAGAGCCCAGCGGAGTGGGGGACACAGACCACCTCGCTGCATCCTTCCCTCGACCTCAGTTAACAAACGCATTATCATTAGGAAGCTCAGCTCTGCATCATCCAAATTACAACGATTCTCTTACCTTACAATTGGAAACATAATTAGTTACGAATGCAATTAAAATTAGTGATGTTCTATTAACTTTCAGGGAGTGAGAGCTAAGAACTATCACAGAACAGCTTCTGGAGGCAGCTACAAATTGTCTTCATTTATTGTCTCCAAAGGCGAGCAGAGGACAGTGTGTGAGGGCGGGAAGGCCCCTCAGTGGCTCCAGCTCTGGGCCAGCCATGCTCTGTTTGGGAGTTGTGCATCCGTGTGCTCTGAGCTGTCTTTTAGCCTGACTACCAGAATCCAAATTGTCTTTCCGGTTTCAGACTGCTCTGACATTTTATACCCACTCACGGGCTGTTGTGCCTATTTCCCTCCTTTCCCAAATTCTGGGACCAGTTCCAAGTACTCTGAGCCTAGAGGTCCGTGGTTACAGCACAGGCCGGAGTCAGACCTCTGGGTTTGAGTGGGACCTCAGCTGGAGGCAGGACCTCCCGTGGCTGTGGGCCTGCGTCCTCCCGGGAACGGCCTGTCATGTTGCCGGAGGGAAATGCCTGGCCCAGAGCCTCCTGCCACACGGCGCCGCTTAAACCTCAGACCAGCCTCTCCCGCTGACGCCACAGAGACGAACAGCAAGGAAGCAGGGAGCCTGGGGCCTGGCCCACCCCAGTGCCCTCAGGAGCTCCGATATCAATGGCGCAGGAATCACTCAGCTGGAGACCATGTGGGTGGGTGGAGGGGGCTTTGGGTGCCCAGAGCAGACACTGGGCAGGTGGCTGAAGAATCAGGATCTGCAACCACCTTGTCGCTGGTTTTCAGATGAAAATTGACAGAATTTTTTAAAAAATTTATTTATTTATTTTTAAGGGGAGCAAAGTTTATTGGAGAAGCCAGTCCTGGAAAAGGTGCAGCTGGGGTTCCAGGAGCAGCCAGAGTCCAGACTTCCTTTCTGTGCCCCATTCGGGAGTAGTTTACCATTCACACTAATTAAAGCCTCACAGGCCACGTGCGGAGGCCCCGTGGCCATAGCCACGTGGGCGCAGGGACGTGTTCCCCCGCCACAGGGGGGACGTCCAGCCCAATGCGTGCCGGGGAGAGGAGACCGTGATGTTGGAATCTACATGCTGTTTTGTTTGCAGTTGACAGAGATTTTGTGAAACCTTGGGGGGTGTTTTGGATTTAAGTTTTGGGTGTGTCATTCTGGGTGGCAATGGGGCAGCTTATGAGTTTTATACCTTAACTCGGATAGAGGAGGAACTTTTTTCCTGTGAGTGTCAGTAATTTCTGGCAGGACAGTGTGAAGACTCCTTAGCATTTTATGCTGTGAACATGCTGTAATTTATTCCCCCCATGCTAGATGCTCAGCTGGTTTCCATATTTAATAGTAAAACCAATGCAGAGACCGCTGTACATTCTTGTACTTCACGGACATGGCAGGCTTCTGGAGGTAGATGCTTGGAAGGGAAATTATCGGGTCCTGTGGTTTGGATTTCACCAAGTTCTTGAGCTATGCTGTCAGATCGCCCTTAGAGGTCTGCAGTCACTCCGCAGGGAGCGGGCCCCCTCCCCGCGCTGCAGCGCCCAGGGCCAGCTTCCGTTTGCTCTCCTGCTGGATGGTCCCAAGGGCATTCGGTCCTTTGAAAGTGAAGGTGCTGTTCTCTGAGCTGCTGCAGACACGCCACCTGCCTGGGTGAGGAACTGACCTGTCACCCCTGGCTGTCTCGCAGAGGCGGGGCGCAGCCTGTCCCTGCGCAGCCTGCTGCGGGCCCCGCAGGAGGTCCGGGCGGACCTGCAGTCCCGATTTGGATTTGATGACCTTCATGCGGAACAAATCCTGAATCACTCAGCCGAGCTGAAAGAGGTACTCACGCTTCCTGCTTCCCTCGCTCTTGGGAATCTCTTGGGCAGGCTGGGCGGCGCAAGGACATTTTAAGCGACACTTTATCAACCCGTTACCTCTTCGTGAAGCCGATGCCAGCCTTGCCTTCGGCGAGACTGCGGTGATATTTTTAGAAGAGGAACATCCTAGAAAAAGAAAATGTGACGCTACATATTATTCATGTCGTTGCCAGATTCCCACAGACAGCTCACTGGAGCGGATGGTGTGCTCAGCCTTGTCCCAGGCCTCCGCGGACGAAGCTGACGGAGAGGGTCACCCTGGAGACTGTCACGCCCGCTGGGCAGCAGCCAAAACCTACCTGGTCCACGCGGTCAGCTGGCTGCAGGTCTACAAACAGGTGCTGTGCCCATCGAAGCGCCCCTGTGTGCTGGCACGGGTTCAAGTGCGTCATCTCCCTCCCGCTCCTCCCACATCTTCCCCTGGTTGATGTTTGATTTTATTGTGGCGGGAACACTTCACAGAGCGCTACCCCTGCACGAAGGGTCAAGTGTCCAGAGCAGCACTGACTGCGGGCACAGCGCTGGGCAGCAGGCTTAGCTATTCACCTTGGCCATTCCCATCCCCACCTCTCAGCGCCCCCGTGTCCTTCCAGGAAACACTGGGCTCTACGTCCTGGCCATGTGTACCCTCCTTCCTGTGCCCACGGCCTGGGCTCGCTGCCCCTCAGCACAGATGCTCCCGGGAAGTCTGTCTTGGACTTCATGCAGCTTCAAGAGCCATGGTCTGTTTTTGTCATCACAGCCTCCACCACACGCTTTCCTCCAAGGACACACGTCTTTAACTTTTCTTCCTCATACATGCCATGAATAAAGATCAAAACCTCCAATAGTAGAGCAGACATTTTAAAGCTGCAGATGGGATTGTCCACTTGGTGGCACTAAGTTTGTCTGGCAGTAAAATGATCAGGGGACAGAGCCGTCTGCCCAGCATCAGCGTGGTCAGGTGGAGCTTTGCTCACTGCATTATCTGGGTACCGATGGTAGTCAGGGTTACCTCGCACACAGACCTTTGTCACGTGCCCCCTGCCTTCCATCATTGCGCGTGAACGATCTTTTTTGATGCCGCATGGAGCCACAGCACTGACTGCCTTTGGCTCAATCGTCCCGAGGCCTGTGATGTCCAGTGCCTTTGTGATTGGGTGTAATTATGACCCAATTTAAAGACAGGGCTGTATTTATTCTGTCTCCAACATGTCAACGTAGTGTGGGGCATATTTCACTGGTTTAGAATGTACCTACTGCTTTCTCTGCTGCGGATGGGAGCGGGGAGAAAAGAAAGAAATGGGGCCTGATGAACAGTTACACCCACTCATTGTTGCAATTTGTAGTCTTTAATTCCTGAGAAATTCGGCCACAATGCAATTGTCACCCAGCCTTGCAGTCTCCCAACCCTGTAAAACGGGCTGTGTGTCATCCTGACCAGATGCTGTATCTCTGTTCCTGTGGTAACGGCCCCGTTTCTGACTGTGCAGGTGCTCCATCGGTGGCCGGCGGGCGGCCTGCTGCAGCAGGTGCTCATAGGGGCGGGCCTCGGCCGGGAGGCGCCCAGGAGCCCGCCGGGGGGAGAAGGCACCCTGCAAGAGGTGGCGGAAGCTTTGCAGATGGGGCTGCTCCTGCTGACAAGCAGCGAGACAACAGAGGAACTCGGCAGCCACGCACCTCCAGAGGCGTAAGGCACACTCCCGGTTCAGGGCTTCTTAGCCCAGAGCTCACTGAGGGTGAAAGAGTGAAGCTGTTAGAAATGAATTCTTAAAACTGCATGGATTCTGAATTCCCATCTCTAGTGAGCATGTGCAAGGAGGCCACCTGATGGGTAGGGTGTTTGAGAAGGGCCAGCATTTTGGATTTTAGATTTTACATCCTTGACATCTGTTTAGAGACAAACAATAACAGTTGTTTCCTATTCAATGAATTTCTCCTCCTAGCTTTATTATTCCCTCCTACTAAATGCGGTTTTATCGTTTTCCAGCTTCTTGATGTTCAGGTTTTCTTTCTTTGTGACAGATGCTCCAAGGCCTCTCCTCACAGAGCTCTGCTACATTCCGCACAGTTGGATGAGCAGGGCTCTCCATCACTTTCTAATATTTCCCATTTAAAATCTCATATTTATTGTGATTTCCTCTCTGACTCATAGTTATTTAGAAGCAGATCGCTTAATTTCCATGGACATATGGGGCTTTTCAAATTACTTTTAAAGATTGATTTCTAGTTTCATTTTAGTGGGAAGACATACTCTGAATGTTTCAGTCTTTGGAATTGATGAGATGGGCTTTATGCTCACATGATCGATTTTGGTAAATATATGTGCTCTTCCAAAGAATGTGATTTCTGTCGTCAGGTGCAGGGGTTTATGCATATTAATTAGGTCAAGTATGTTCCTTGTGTGGTCCAAGTTGCCCCAGCTCATCTGTTTCCATCTGTCTGTCTTCATGGCTCGATGGCCAGTGGCCCTTCATCTTGGCCAGAGGGGAAATCGAATCAGAGGATTCCGAGTCCTCTTTTGTTAGGTTCCACCAGAACCAAGAAACCACTGTGGCCTTTACTAGACCTGATGTTCCACCCTCCTGAAGTCACCGTGCGAAGGGTGTGAGGGACACGGTGGGTCAGCTCTGCATTAGGCAGGGCTCACAGACTGGGAGTGGAGCAGACCTTCTGTGAAGTTTGCTGACAGCAGGAAGGCCTGGACCTGCGCAGAAATGCTGACTCCCTGTGTGCAGGCCCAGGTTCTGTAGATGAATGAGCTCTGCAGGTGGTTTGGGCACCCAGCACTTAGGAGCACCTGCAGCACCTCCAGGCCTGGACTCATCAATCCCGCCAGGAGGAGGAGGAGGAGGGGAAGGAGAATCAGTGCCTTGCCTTACTTTCCCGAAAGTTTAAATGTTCAATAGTTCTGGAGAGACAGCAACAGTGGCGTCTACGCTCCCAGGGCACGTTCAGGGTTGTGCTTGTGTTTGATCAGCCACACGGTCCCTTCGTGAGGGAGGCCAGATGGTGGGTGGGTAAATGAGTTGGTAAGAAGGACAGGATGCACACCCGTGTAAGATAGTGGAGCTGAAATGAGAACACGGGGGCCACGTGCTGTCCGTTCCTGCCCGGTAATCAGTGTGAGTCTGCCAGTTAGAAAACCGTTCTGAAACGTTTCTTTCCCACGGGATGGAAATGACGATGTACCTCAGAAGGCCGTGGAGGAGTGACTAGGGTTGGGGCTGTGGATGTGCTGACACATTGTAAAGGGACACAGAAGCCATGGGGCCACATTCCTACTCATGGCTCTGGCTCTGTACCATGTGTTCCTCATACACAGTCACCTCTTCCTCCTCCCCACCCCGTGACCATACAGATCTACCGTGTTTCCCCCAAAATAAGACATCCTCCGAAAATAAGACCTAGCGCATGGAAAGATAAGACATCCCCTGAAAATAAGACCTAGCACAACTTTAGGAGAAAAAATTAATATAAGACACTGTCTTATTTTCAGGGAAACAGGGTAGCACTGTCTGCATGGGTGACATGCCCCGTGTGTGTGCAGGCATTGCTCTGAGGGCCGGCAGATCAAGGTATGGGTCCCTAACTGTGGAGCTTTTTCATTCCAATGGGAATGTTCTCTGTGTTCCATGGGCCAAAGTAGCCACTCTCTGTCCTGCAAACACCAGGCTGGATTGAGCCTGTTTTTTCTCTTCTCCGGGACCCCAGGTGTTAGAGAGCAACACAGTTCCTGTGTTTGATCGTCCTGTGTCTCCTGTGCCCGAGTCACACAGCAGAATAGACTTACAGAAGTTGAGAAAGGCTTACCCTTTAAGGCCTTAATAGTCAAATCTCTTACCTACAATTCTGAAATCTTAGAAAGTCTGAAAAGCATTTCATAGACACTTTTGTGTTAACGTGTCTGTTGACCCTCCACACATGGTCTGAGTCCATGCCTTGGTTTCTCAGTGGACAGACTGGACAGACACCTCAATGGGTTGAGAAGGGGCTGTGCAGGCCCTGTGGATGAAGGGGGCGTGGTCACATATCTGTGCAACAAGCAGACTTTTAGCTAAATATGGGCAACTGCATTGAGGAGTTCTAAATATGTTCAGATGCTCACATTCATTTAATTCCTACTGGGAAAACACATTGTCTAGTAAATATTTCATCTATCTTTAACAAAAAATCTGATTATTGGAAATTTGATAGGTCGGATTATCTTTATTTATTTTTCTGATACCAATAAAGTTTTATTACTATTGTAGGGTCTTAAATTTCAGCAGGAAACATCTCATGAAGAAAAAGAAGTTGTATGCCCTTACGGATGAACAACTGAACTTTCTTTTGTCCTTGGTGGAATTTTTGGAGAAATTGTTGTTGCCTAACCTTTTGGACTCATCCAGCAGTCCCACGAAGACTATTCTAAATGCAACTCATTCCTGGATAAATCACTTAAAGGATTTAGGAAGAGAACCATCTGGTATTGATACTCAGAAACTTTTGGAATTTGGCCAAGAGGTGATTGAAAAAGTGCACACTCTTGAAAAGATGGAATCAAGCTATGTTTTGAGATTTATGGAAGCAGTACTTTCTGAAATTAACCCCAAAGTCCTGGAATTGTGGGCATTCGGCATTTCCAAAGGAAAGAGAACTAAATTCAAAAACTTGTCTACACTTTCAAATTTTTCTGTTTTAGGAAATGAGAGGATTCTTAGTAAAAGCTTTAATTTTTCCAAGTTGTTTCGCTCGGATTGGCCTGAATCATCAGCTGTGAAAATGGATTTTGTTCATCTAAGTGAATCTATAATCCACCGTCTCTATGAACTTGGATTCCTGAGGCAGGAGCAAGTCTCAGATGTCTACGACTTCATAGTCCTTCAGGGCATAGGCATTCCTCATGTCACCAAGGAAGACTTTATGTTTATGATGAAAACTCTCCTGGACACCATTGAATTAGTATCAGATAAGCCAGGGGTTCTTGCCAAGGTTGTAACTTGCCTTCCTGTGGTTTGGTGCTGGAATCACACAATATCTGGATTTCAGCAGAATCCAGAGTTAGAAGCCTGTAATGGCCACTTCTACAGCAAAATGGCTAGTATACTTGACCACTTCCAACTGTCTCCCCCAGGTGAAGTGTCACAATGTTCAAATGAAAGCTCCCGGATGGAAATTACCAAGAAAATGGTCTGCGTAATCCATGAGCTAGTGGACTGGAGCTCCATTCTTCTAGACCTGTCTGAAGTCTTCCACGTTAACGCCTCGCTTATGAAAACTGTGCAAGAATTTAGGCAGAAGGTGTTTCCATTTGTCCTATCTGGAAACCAGAGCAAAGATAGCACTTCTGCACTCTGTCCCCCTGGTCTCATGAAGCAAGTTGCTTTACAAATCATAGAAACATTTAGAAACGTCAGCTTTACCAAAGCCTCATCAGATGAAAACATTCTTGATAAATTAGCTCTTTTAAACAGGATCCTTAACAATGAAGGTTCAGAGGCATCTCTTGGGAATCTTTCCTTAAGTTTGGGAAGGATGATAAAATCACTTTCTGGGGATGAGAGCCTAGAAAATAGAACTCGCGCTGTAGTCTCTCTATTCATGATGTTTTTGGATGCAAACCTCCTAGGAGGGAATTTTGAAGCGCTATCAAGTTTTATTAAAAGGAGTAAAACAGCTTACAACTTTGTAGATCTGTGGCTTGAGTCTGAGCAAGCCATGAAAGATCCAAACTTGAAGAGACGAGCCCTGTTCTCTAAAATTAATGAAGAGATTCCAATGATTAACTCAATGGCTCTTCAAAAAATGACTGTGAAACTTGTCCATATTTTGGAAAGCCTGAATTCATCATTGTTGCAGTTGTCAGAAATGACCGGAGATTTTCCATCTGTCACAAAAATCTGGCTTCGTAAATATGCAAGTGAAGAATACTCCAGAATAATACAAATATTCTTTTTCCTTATGGCCAATGAGAATTCAACATTGACTAAAGATATTAATACCTTTTTGTATTATCTCAAAAACATTTCCAGAGGAGGTGGTTCTCACGTTGACCTTTTTGCTCAACTGGTAAACCAAGAACAGTCAACAAATTTCTCTGTTGCTAATAGGTTGCTTTTGAAAAGCTTCCTAGTTAATTCAATCAATAACTTAGCTGCAGACTCTCAACAAGCAGCCTGGAACTTAAGTGACACTGACCTTCAGGTCCTGAATCTCATTAACCTCACCTTGAACCAGACACCGTTAGAGAAGGGTGAGAGAATACTCCCTCCGGGAGGCATGGTGGAGTTCATGGGACAGCTTTTGAAAACATTCTTTACCTTTGCTGAAAAGGAAAATTCTGAGAACAAAACATCTCTTTTGTTGAAAGACCTCTGCAACATGTTTGCAGAGATAAGGTGAGTCTACTTCTGTGCAGGACATGTCGTTACTCATTCAACCTGCTTTCCTTCCCGGAGTGCAGCATTGTACCTGGCCCTGTGGAAGCTCTTTGAAGTGAATTGTGGCTTAGCGAACATCTCATTGAAATGTTGAAGTAAAATAACTGATGACTTGTTTACTAAACATACACTGAGTGGCCAGATTATGATGATCTCTGAATGCATAATAATCTGGCCTCTTGTGTGTATCCTATACAATAAAAAGCTAATATGAAAATTGTCCCCTTGACCAGGTGTTCAACCAGCAGGCCGGCCAGTCAACCGCCCATGCCCATATCCTCTCCCCCTGGTCAGGCTGGCTGGATTCCATCCATACATGAATTCATGCACTGGGCCTCTAATGTGTGTGTGTGTGTATACTGAGTGGCCAGATTATTGTGTGTTCAGAGATCATAATAATCTGGTCACTCAGTGTATATAGAAACTGCTTAGTCCCTGGCAATTAGTCACTTACAATACTTTCTTGTCTTTTTTGCTTTTGAATATAATTATGAAATTCTATATTACATGAAATTAAAATTAGTTTTAAATATTTATGCATATATATATCATGGTCATAATTCAAATTATTGTAATAACTGTAATCGCAACTGAGGAATTTAAATATTTTCAGTTTACCTACTGTAATGTTTATATTTGTGAATTAACAAAATTCAAAAATTTTAAAACGAAGTCACATTATGTTTTTTCCATATATCCTTTCCCATTCCTTTGAAGCTTGCCAGCCAGCTTAATATTTTGTTTAGAATAAATATTAATTTTCATTGGTGATGTATTTTAGCATCAGCAGCCAGTCAGTATTATCCCCCCATAATGCTTGTATAAAACAAAAAAATTAACTATATGTTTTAATTTTTCCATTGCTAAACATGAAATTAAAAAGTATATATATATATATGTACTTACAGCTTTGTCCCAAAGGATAAAGTTTTAGAAATTCTGAAAGTAGACCAATTTCTTACCTCCATGAAAGAAAAGAAATTGATGAGCATTTTTTCAAGGTTAAAGGAGACCATAAATCACCTAATCAAAGGATGGTTTATGCCAGATCACACAGACTTTTATTTTGATAATTACCGAGGATGGAAGTTCCTGCGAGATTTCTTTAATGCTCTTCTAAGTAAAACTTCTGTGAAAAATAAGACTGAAAATAACTTGGAGATTCTTACCCAGGTAAGTCAGTTGTTTTTCCACATGAATAGTTCTGCAAACCTGTCCCAGCTCAGCCACCAGCTCCGGGCAGCTCTCCGCCTCATGCGAGAAGCCTCAGCAGAAATGGCAGCCGTTATGGATTCTCTTTTCAACTCTCCCAGGGAGAACTTCCGAGCCTCGTGTCCTTCACTCCGAGAGGCCATATTTGCTAACCTAACCGACCTGCTTTCCTTCATGAGCCATTCATTCCCTCTAAGAAACAGAGCAGCATTAGACATCACTAAGAGACTGCTTGGTATTATCTCAAGAGCTGGCAGAGGAAGTCCCGTCCGGGAACCTCTCTTGGAAATGTCTGGGACTCTAGGCCTGCTGGTGAGCGCAACTGTGGAAATGCAGGATCTGGCCGCGTCTGTGAACTCCACGGTGGAGCTGCTCCAGCTTGCCAAGAAAGTTTCGAGGAAGATGGCCACTGTTTTTGAAACTCACCATGTCTCGGGTACCAATGGCACTATGAAATTCTTTGACACTCTGTATTCCATTTTGCAACAGAATGTTGGAAATGTTGTGAATGAAATAACTGCTTTGAAAAAAGGGGATCAGTTAGAATTTGAAAATATCAATGACTTGTTGATGCCACTCCTGGACTTGGCCTTTGGGATGATTGGCATCAAACCTAACATTTCCCAAGACTCTGGTATTTTCAGTATGTCATCCAGCATACTATCCTATGTGAACCAGTCCAGGGAGTTTTCTGATATTTCAGAAGAAATTGCTGAATTTTTAACTTCTGGGGAAATCAATTTGGGAGACATGGAACATCTTCTGGTAGCAATTAATAATGGAACTCAAATATTTTCCCTGGATTCTGTCAGCGTATGGGAAGAAATCCTAGATTGCTTAATTTCTATAAATAACATCACTAAGCAGATAGACTTCCTACGTCCGAATCCAGTTTCCACTCATGGTTTCCCTCAGGATGCTCGAGAAATGGCGCTGGTTTTGGATGAAATGCTGTCACGAGACCGCACAGAGGTAGGGCCCTACTGGAGAATGGTGACTGACCTGGCCGTCGCTCTTTGGAGTCCCTTAGAGAAGGATGACTTGAATGTTTCTAATCTGTGGCTGACGCTGGCTCCGCACGCAGACGCCCTTTTGGAAGCCGCGGGGACAGTTGCGGAGTCCGCCCATGGAGGCGACGGGCGTGGAGCCCCGGCTCTCCGCTCCCCTCTGATGAGGGCGGCCACTCAGCTCCTGGAGGAAGCCGCCCGGAGCGCGCTCAGTGGGGCAGCTCTCCTGAGGAAAGGGCTTCTCTTGAATAACCCTCAGGGGGTAAGTTCCACCAGAACGGTGCTCCAGGCCGTCTTGGAGATGTTCCTTCATGCAGCCGCTGGAAAGAACGTCCCCTCAGGAAGAGGAGAGAAGGCCGAGGGAGAGAGGATGGCCGTTCCTGACAGCCTCACCCCATCACCCTGGTTTGAGAACTGCGTGAAGGGGTTGATTGCATTGACTGAGTCCTGGCAGGAAGTCCTGGCAGATGAGAGGTATTTACCACTAACTCACTGTTTTCCTACTCAGCAGCTGTACAGGGGAGCAGGCCGGAGCACACTGAGCAGGGCACGAGTCCTCAACTTCAGTTTTATTACTTCCGAAGCTGGCTTCCCTGGAGCGGGTCCAGTCTTGTTCCCCTGTCTGACTCATTTATTTGCAAATACAATTTGAATTTATCAAAAATTTTCCAAAAGTAAATTATTTTATTTTCAACAGTAAAAACCTCTTAACTTTGTTCACTTGTCCCAAGATTAGGTCTATACACAGCTTTTCTGTCACGTGCTTGAGCAGCCACTGGTCCATGTGTGTCAGACAGGTGAGACAGGCCACATGCTTCCCACCGGAAATGGTGCTTCTAGCTGTGACTGCCGGGCCACAGCGAGGGCCAGGCAGCGGTTGGCTTCCTCCCTCATTAGAGTCAGAGTCAACCTAACACTCCATGGCTGACCCACTCCACGCACCACCCCCACCCCGAACCTGCTCTGAGGAGCTTCAGCCCTGCAGGTGTCAGGCTCGGAGTTGTCTGCTGCCTGCGGTTGCAGGACTTGCTCCATGTCTCAGAGGTGCTGTGGCCCTCCCAGGCCACCCTTTCTTCTTTTTTAAAATCCTCACATGAGGATAAACTTTTATTGATTTTTTAGAGGGAGGGGGGGGAGAGAGAGAGATGTGGACCAGTTGCTCTGGTCAGGGCCCCAACCAGAGATCAAACCCGCAACCTAGGTGTGCGCCCTGACTGGGAAGGGGCCTGCAGCCTTTTGTGCAAGGAGACCCGAGCACTTGTCTCCACAGCGTCGGCTCGCAGGCCCAGCAGCCTCCCCGGGAGCGGGTTGGGACCTGCCCATCGAAGCCATTTGTGATGAGCCAGGCCGCGGTGCTCTGCAGCCATGCTGTCGTCTGGCATCCTGGCCTCGAGCTCACTCAGAGGCTGGGGCCCTGAGACAGGGACAGGGCGTTGTCATGCTCAGAGCAGCACGCCTGCTGAGCAAGAATGGAGGCCACCCTCATGCTGGGCAGAGACTGTGAATGGGGACCCTGTGGCACAGTTGAAATATAATAATTAAAGCCTCACGATTGACCAGAATATGTCACCCTGATGGTGACAGGTAAATGGCTCTACATCCCGTCACGTGTTTTTTTTTCCTGGCCAGAAAGATAAATTACATGTTTGACCTTCTGTGTCTAAAACATAGTTCAGTAACAACTAGGCTCTGCCCCCTTTCTCTTCTGGTTCATCTATGTTTTGGTAGCTGAGAAATAGACCTTTATCTGTGGGTATCGGAGCAATGCTCGGCTCTCCCGTCCGGCTTCCCTGGGGCTGGCCTTCAGAGGGGTCAGGTGACTTCAGACTGTCACCGGCAGGGCTCTCCTGGAACTCGGCAGAAACCGGTGCCAGCAGCTCAGGGACCGCAGCGGCCTGTCCCAGGGCTTTTACATCACTAGCTCCCTCTGTCCTGGCGAGGCAGCACCGGGCTGAGAGGTGCCTGGCGGGGTCAGGAGTCCCCACGCAGGTGCTGCACCTGTTCCCGGCAGGGAGGATGTGTGCCCACACTCGCACCTTCAATGGCATTTCTTTCTTTCCGGAGTGTTGCCAGGATGTGTCGGGACTCCCAGCAGCCTTCGGAGCCCCCGGCAGCCGCGGAGAGCCCGCAGAGAGCGAGGACGCTGCTGCAGCGTGTGCTGCTCACGCTCACAGGTGGGCCTCCCGGAGGGCGCTGCTCAGCCCCGGACTCGGGGCTGCTGCCAGCGAGACTGGGTGCCTCTGCGTTTCTCTGAGAGAAACACAGCTTCCGGCCTGGCTGCCGGGCCCTGAGGGCTCGGAGCTGGGGCAGCTCTTCCAGGAGCTTGCCTCCCCCCACTCGCTGGCGTGGCCTTGCGCAAACCTCTGTCAAAGGCAATGCCCATGTGCTTACTTGTACAGCCCCCTCCTCTGCCACAGCTTCCTGAAGGCAGCAGCCACGTCTGCACCTTGTGCACCTCCTCTGCCTGGCACCGGGGAGCGCTTTCCTCCCCTCCCCCGTGTGTGCCGAGGGACCCCCGCGGCCCCTGAAAGCAGGGCACTCAGTGCTGTGTTTCAGGCTTTCCTGCTTCCCTCTGACCTCCCTGAGGGCGGGCTCTGCCGCTTACTCCCTCCGCCTCCCCCCTCCCAGCACCTGTCTGCAGCGGATGACTGAATATTTGGTTGTAAATGAAGTAATGCGTGGACTGAGGTCCTGCTTGCCAGTCCTTCCCTGCGGATTTCGGTGACTGTCCCCTTTGTGCGGCTGCTGAAGGAAGCGCAGGGCTGTCTCCCAGGAAAAGCGCTCGTCACTGGGGGTCTGTCTTCAGAAAGGGAGCCTGTGTCCGGTGGAGGTGTCAGCGCCGGCAGCGCCGGCAGGGCCAGGGCCGAGCACTGGCGCCGGACGCACCCGGAGCGCAGCGTGCTCCCCGGAGGCAGCTCGGGAACGGCTGTGGCTCCTCCGTCTGCTTGTCTGGCGCTAGGAGCCCAGCACGCTGGCGGCGGGATTACTCTGACATCTCAGTCAGCTGGCGGGATGGCATTTAAAGGAACGTAACACTCATTATACCTAAATTTGTCATTCTGCACTGCAGCTGCTAAATTAATATAGCATACTTGAAATTACATTAGTAACAGCAAATTAATTTTGAATTTTTACATTTCACAACAAGAAAACTTAAGTATGTCATCTGCAAGCCTGCCTGAAAAACACCCAGTCACTCTGCTTTCCGTACCCAACTGCCGCTTCATCCTGCCGAGCAGAGACGGCACCCATAGGATTGGGCTGGAATGGGCCCAGGGGGCATGGTGCTCCTCCGGCACCTGGGGAGCGCAGCAGCCAGTTTCTCTCCTGCTGGGAATAAAATAGCTAAGTGCACGCCGCTGAGTTAAGTTTGAACCAGGAGAACTATCTTTTCCTCCTCCGATCCAATACTTGAATCATGTGGGAAATGACTGCGTCCGAACAGTGACCTGACAAGATGTGAGCGCAGCCCTGCAGTCTGGCCCCGCGTGTGCGCGCAGGGGGTCTGTGCAGCATGTGTGTGCAGGAGGTCTGTGCAGCTCGGATGAGCCCCGGCAGGTCCGCAGAGTCCGGGCAGGAGTGCGAGGCCCTGTGCCAGGGCACAGGTGTTCTGAGGCCGAGCCCTGAAGGCGGGTCGGAGAGGAGGCAGCACAGAGGGTGCAGGAGGTGCAGGGGCTGAGGGGAGACGGAGCATGGGGAGTGAGCGGGGGGAGGTGGCTCGGGCGGCCCTAGATGTGACCTGAGCCTTCGGAGGACCCAGAGCAGCACCTCCCTTTAGGAAGAGCCCCATCAGGGAGGAAGGCGGTGCAGGGTGCCAGGGAGGAGACCAGCGGGTGCTGTCAGGAGGAGAGATGGCTGTGAGGATGAGGTGGGGGAGGTTTTTGGATGTGACCTGTGAGCATGCAGGCTGGGTGCCCTAACCTTGGCCAGTGTGTCACTGTCCTTCCCTTTGAGACTGAAAGGGCACTGCCATCTCTGCTCAGGGAAGCAGGTGAGAACTTTATCCCTAACCCTAAACCCTAGCCCCTTGCACTAGTCCTAAATCCTAAACCCAAGCCCTAACCCTAAGCTCTAACACTGACCCTAAACCCTAACCCTGATCCTAAAATCCTGACTCTAAACCCTAACCCTAACTCTAACTATAATCCTAATCCCCTAACCCTAGCCCCAACCCATGGTATCGATTTCTGCCGACTCATGGTTTTGACTTTTTGCTGAGTCATGGTTTTGAATTTTTGCTGAGTGAATTGAATGGGAGAAAAGCTAGATGTCAGAGAAAATGGAAAGAATGAGGTAAGAAGAGAAAGATCAGGTGTTAGCATCACATCTGGTTTTCAGTAACAGCCCAGCATTCGTTATTGTGTTGCTTCTCCCACTGCTGTCTCTCAGATGTGAAGATAAAAGACCTGGTGAAGAACATCACCGCCTTCACCGAGGAGCTCCGATCTGCCCACCTCTCACCTGAAGCCATCAGCAGTATTTTGGAAGCAAATATTTCCTGCTCACAGGTACAGTGTGGTCGCTTCCGCCCTCGGGCACCCGGGCTGCTGGCCTGCCCTCTCCCCCTCCCCCACTGGGCTGCTCTGATCCAGGTCACTCGGAGGGGCACCTGGGCTGCTGGCCTGCACTCCTCCCACTCCCCACCATGGATCAGGGCTGGGCTGCTCTGATCCATGTCGCCCTGAGGCAGAGGGAACTGAGGTGCCCTTGTCTGACGCCACAACCTCAGGGCCCTAGTCTCAGTGTTGCCTCCCTGGGTTGGGAAGGATGAAATTGGTACAAAGTTCACTCAGGGGATTCTCAGCCCCGAAGCACAGCCCCCACATATCTCAAACTGTCTAAAGGAACTATGGCCTCCTCTAGGTACAGAGTCGCTGAGTATGGTGGCTGTGGTGACGGGCTGGGCACCGCTGGGTGGCTGAGATGCATGGCTGAACTGGGGAGTGAGGACAGGGACAGGCGAACGAACGTCCTGCTGCAGTGGGAAGCTCCTGGGTCTCAGAGGTGTCCTAGCTGCCCTTCCAGCACTTCGGCCCGTGGAGGCTTTCCTTTCCCTACAGAGAACCTTCCAGAACAGTCATCATGAAGATGGCCTTCTGCGGGGGCCGGACATGGCGGGGATCTCCCTTTTCCCCGTCCCACACGGAAAGAGAGATGAACGAACCGGTTCTAAGTGGAGGCTGCCAAGGATTGAGAAATATTAGAAATAAAGAGAGAAGACACAGAGATAGACTTTAAGCTGGGAGCTGGATGGGCACCATCCTGTCTGCTGGAGAGGCAGGAGGAAGATGACGACCCCTCCCAGCCCATTTATTTTATAGCCCAATTCCAGGAAGTAGCCCTAGCATGCCTGGATTTACATATCTAGTTCCGCCCCTGCCAACACCTGGGCTGATCGGAAGGCCAAGCTGACATGTTCCCAAGGTGTGGCTCTGCCAACGTCTTGAATTCAGCTGACGATAATTAAGGAAAATTGCCCATGTGTCTCCCAGGCAGCCCTCTACATCTCACCCTTTTTTGTTTTTTAAGCTACTATAATAAAGTAAAATTTAAACATTAAGAACAAAACTCTAAATTAAAACAATTTCAAACAGTGCCAATGCAAAAACTAAACTACATACATGTTATCATTTTCAAAACTTGAATGTCAAGAGCAAAACTCTGGCTATTAAATAATAATAAAACAATGCCAATGCAAAACAACAATATGAGAAATCAGAACTAGGACATATTAACATTTTTAGCTACCAAATGAAAGAAAGTCTCTTTTGCTGCTGGTGTATATTTACTCAGAGTCCTTGGACTTGGCTGCACAAGACTTTGCAGAAGACGGGCAGCTTACAGACGCTAGCATGAGCAGGAACATGGCTGAAGAAGTAGCTTCAACTTCTTGCTTTTCCACAACTTCAGTCGTTTTCTTCAGATGACTCCGTGTTGGCACCTCAGTCCCTTGTGTATCTTTGTTTTCTTCTTCTCCCCCTTTGCTGTCATTGGGCAACTCTCAGTCCTTTTGAGCGAAGGGACACGGGAGCTTCTGTGGGTACGTGTGACGGCCATAATGCTCTGGCACCCGAATTGGCTGCTTTGCTCCTTCTGGAAAGATATAAAACACAACCTCTTCCCCACGTTATTACTGAGTTTCCTTCCATCTAGCTGACTTGGTGGAGGCTACTGTTCAGGAGGCCTGGTACTTTTCACCTGCTGTACGATCCTCTGCATCACAATTCAAATATTTTAAAGTATAAAGAGTGTAACGGAGCCTCTCTTGAGGTGACACATAACTTCTGTCTCCCCCTTTTTGTTTTAGTAAGTGATTTTAAGAGTACGATTGGCTCTTTCCACTATTGAGTGACATCCATTTTGTCAGGTTTGATTACGTTTAAGTCCTCGGGGGTTTACATACAGAGAGGGGATAACACGCTGAGGACTTTGCTTTCAATAAAACATGGAAATTGTCCTTCTCTAACATTTTAAAGGCTGAAAATTATATGAAAAGTTCCTCTGAATTAGTGTGTCCTATTTCAATAGCTGTTTCAATAATTTTTTGCCATACTTACCACATAAGCACTATTTCTATAGGTTGATGGGCTCCATAGCAAAATCTGTTAAGGCATAAATGAAAGCTTGTATTTCTACTGAAATATAAGAAGTTTGAAGGATCTTTGCTCCCCTGCTGCAGTAGATCCAGCCTTTCCAGAACTGGATCCATCTGTAAAAATGGCTAATGACTGAGGTATGACATTTCTTTTAATGTGGCAGTTAATACCATTCCCTGTGTTAGAAAAAAGGCAAGCCTCCAAGTCAGGGGTCCTGGTAAAAACAGAACAGAAGGGTCACACACATGATCTGGAAGCACGTGCACACTGACCTTCCTTGCCCTTGGACGTGGGCAACCTGCAGTAATGCACAGGTGCTGACTGCTAGCATCTTCACTATCTTTATCTCTGGACTATTTCGCCTCTGTTCTTGTGGGCCACTGCTTATTGTGTGGCTGTAGTAGTCCTATCAGGTCCTCTCTGGTATCTGTTGTTGCAGGAATCCATATGGTCTTGGAGTTTTCTGGAAATATAAACATATTCTCGACCAAAGGTTAATAAATAAATCTTTTCTATAAATTAGACTTGGGATCCTTCTGATTTTTGTTATAATGGTTTTCCTTTGGCTTATTTTGACACCACAAGATTTTTCATGGGTGTCTTGTTAAAATTAATTTTAGAATAAAAATTTTTAAGCAATTAAGGCTTGATATAATTTACTTACAGGATATTTTTTACAGGATATTATTCTACTATCCTTTTATATTTAATTATTAGGAGGCTTTTGTAAAAAAAATTAATGCAGTCTTGATAACCTTTTACATAGAAATATGACTGCCTTGGACTCATTGTATGTTAAGCAATTTTAGCATGAAATGAACTACAAATAGAAATTTTAGTTAATACTTTAGGAACAGCTTTTGTACAATTAAATTTTCTTAAATATTCACTTATTTCATTTAGCCAATTTAAATTAATCTGAAAACTTGACTATTATTTTTGTCAAATTTAATATTTTAACAACGATCTTAGTTTACCCTGTAAATATTAATGGAAAGAATTATTTGCATCCTTGAGAAAGTTCTAAGCATTCCTAGTGTTAGGCTAGATTAAGATATATCAGCCACGTCTCTGTTGCCTGGGTCCCGATCTGCACTGGGCCTAGTCTCTTTCTATTATCTGAGTCCCTGTCTGAGCTGGGTATGGGAAGCACGAAGCAGCCATGGGGGGCAGGAGACTTCCCTCAGAAGGGTGAAGTTTCAAGCCCCTGCAATGTTGGGGGGGAGGATCTGTGCCCTACCTCTGTTGATCCCCAAATTCTTTCCTGATGGCCCCTCTGCAACTGTGCCTGTTTTAGTTTGTTCCTTCCCAGAGGCATCTTTCCCGTCTTTGGCTAACCAGCCATCCTCCGGGACCAAGCAGGGTGATGTGAGGTTCAGTTCTGTCTCCTTGGTAGCCTAAGCCCCTGTGGCCTTCATGCCCAGTACCTGCCTTGGGTCCCCTCACCTGCTGGCGGTGATCACATATCTTGGGGAACCCAGGTTTCTTTTCTAGAGAGGGCATTGTGAGAAGAGGGTCCCTCTTGGCAAAAAGGGCCAATATAGAATGCTTAAGTGCCTTCCCAAGAGGCCTTCCACACAGTGGAAGGGATTAAATTCTCTCATGTCCTTTTAAATTGCTGCCAAACATTCAAAGAATTAGTTTTTTAAGTTTGTTTACAATATGCTGTTGTAAAATATCATAATTATAATGACATTGTAGAATAATATCATGTTAGGATATTCTTTGCTCTAAGCCAATTATTCAATTTCAAATTGCCTATCAATTATTTAGTTACTTCATTTTGCTCTTCTTAAGAGGCCAAAATCTTCATAAAATTTAAAATAAAAGTATAAGTAAAATGTACTAATTAGTTTTTATTTGATAAAGCTTTCCATGTGATTCCAAGTATCAATCAGTTTAATTAAAACTGTATTTCTTTTAAGAGAGAACAGACTTTTGAAAAACATTTTGGGGCCCCATGAAACATCCAAAAGTTACTCTCAAAACCTTGAAATACACTTGGAAAGATCAAATATAAATATATATATATGATTTAAAGATTACATACTTAAATTATCTTAAAATATCAATTACATTTAAACTGGATCATAGAATTAATCCTTTTCTTAAATCAGACCAATAAGTAACATTTTTTGAATTCCTAATTATTTAAGAGAAAATATATTTTATTTTCTCTAAAACAAGTTTCTATACTCTAGGCATTTAGTTACCACAATTATATAACTTCTCCCAATTCAATCTGAACCTTAAACGTTCAGAGCTTGCAAGTCAAATATTCAGCAGTTCTTTATTAATGACACCTTTATATTCTTAAGAATAAATTTTAAAATCTAATAATTAACTTTAAACCATGTTTTTGTTTTTTTTTTCTGCTGGAGGAAACTGAGAAACTAACTTGTAGGTATTCACATGTAAACTTGTCCTTAAAAAAATGGCTACTGGCAGGAAGCTGATTTCATTTAAAATATATATATATATATTATTGATTTTTTACAGAGAGGAAGAGGAAGGGATAGAGAGTTAGAAACATCGATTAGAGAAACATTGATCAACTGCCAAGGTACCAGGGTACATGCCCTTGACCGGAATCGAACCTGGGACCTTTCAGTCTGCAGGCTGACACTATCCACTGAGCCAAACCGGTTTCGGCGGGAATCTGATTTCAAAGGAGCCACCTTCTTGCGCTTAACCTTTTCTGGGAAGGGCAGCTACCAGAAAAGGTGTAGCCATTTAAATGCAAATTAACACATTCTTTAAAGATGGCAGCTGGCAGGAACCAGCCTACCTGCATACTAGGAGATGCACCCCTTCCTCCATTAAAAAATGGGTGAAGCTTTAAAACCTCTCATGTCGCCGAGACCGGTTTGGCTCAATGGATAGAGTGTCGGCTTGGGGACTTAAGGGACCCAGGTTCGATTCCGGTCAAGGGCATGTACCTTGGTTGCGGGCACATCCCCAGTAGGGGGTGTGCAAGAGGCAGCTGATCGATGACTCTCTCTCATCGATGTTTCTAGCTCTCTATCTCCTCCCTTCCTCTCTGTACAAAATCAATAAAATATATTTAAAAAAATAAATAAAACCTCTCATGTCAAGAAAGGAAACCTTAAACTTTCAGTGCTTTAAATTTTAGGTAGCAAAATTAAATACTTAGCATTTCTCAAATCAATAATACTTTTACATTTTTAAGGATACATTTTAAATAAAATATAAGGCATATTTAATTAATAGATTAACATATCATCTAGACCTCATATAAGGCATACTCAGTATTATAACAATTCAATACATTTATATGAGTAAACTTAAAAGTTTTAAGTTTCCAGCCAATAAGCCTGGCACAGCTGTTAACTTTTAAAAGAATTTTCCTGCTGGGAAGCCAAGAAACAATCCCATAACTATTCACATGTGAACTTGCTATCTACTTCCTGGCGGCTAATTGCCGCTGGGTGGGAAAATTCAAAAGAGCCTTGCGAAGCCCTCCTGTATCCGCCATCTTTAAAAACAGTGGCAGATGAGGCCTTTTAAATGGCTTTCTCTGGGAGTAGCGTCCATATTGGATCACTACCTGTCTCCCTTCCCCCACCTTCTTGTTTCTTAAGGGGGAGATTCAGTAATGGTCTGGCTTCTACTATTTTTATTTTATCTATTTTTTTCAATTTTTATATATTTTTATTTTTTAAGGAAAGAAAAATATTTTTTTTAAGATAAAGAATTATTGGCAGTTGCTGAGAAATTCCTTTAATTTTTTACTTGGTTTCAAGTCTGTGGTCACAGGAAGGACACGTGGAGGCGGAGGAGGTGCAGATGGTATTCTTAAAGATTCACATCCTTCCACTTCAGGCTGTAAGGCCGTGGCTGCACCCCACTTAGATGTTCTTTTTTTTTTTTTTTTTTTTTTTTTTAATATATTTTATTGATTTTTTACAGAGAGGAAAGGAGAGAGATAGAAAGCTAGAAACATCGACGAGAGAGAAACATCGACCAGCTGCCTCTTGCACACCCCCTACCAGGGATGTGCCCACAACCAACGTACATGCCCTTGACCGGAATCGAACCTGGGACCTTTCAGTCCGCAGACCGACGCTCTACCACTGAGCCAAACTGGTTTCGGCCCCACTTAGACGTTCTTAAACTCACCTGTGCTAAATCAAGATCATCACCAATTAAAATAGGAATTCTCTCTAGACTTGCTGCTGAGTATTGGTCATGCAACTGCTTTCTAACCTTTTCCCAGGTTTCATCAACAAAACTTAAGAAATCAAGAATCTGACTATGATAAACAGAATGTCTTTGAGCTATGAGTGTAGTTTAAAGCATTTAGAAGGATTACCCATGTTTTACACCCAGCTAATTTAATTTGCAATACACTCCCCCTACCTTACAATTCCTTAAATCTGTGGTGCGTGCAATTCTTGGGAGCGATCCCTTGCCTCTTGCCTCTTGTTGCCTCTTTTGGCCCACATTGGGTGCCAGAATGTGGGGGCCAGACATGCGGGGATCTCCATTTTCCTCGTCCAGCACAGAAAGAGAGATGAACGAACCGGTTCTAAGTGGAGGCCGCCAGGGATTGAAAATAGAAATAAAGAGAGAAGACACAGAGATAGACTTTAAGCTGGGAGCTGGGCGGGCACCATCCTGTCTGTTGGAGAGGCAGGAGGAAGATGACGACCCCTCCCAGCACATTTATTTTATAGCCCAATTCCAGGAAGTAGCACCAGCTTATTTGTATTCTTAAATCGGCCCTAGCATGCCTGGATTTACATATCTAGTCCCGCTCCTGCCGACCCCTGGGCTGATATGAAGGCCAAGCTGACAACACGTCCACCATGTTGGGGGAACACGTTCCCAAGGTGTGGCTCTGCCTACACCTTGAGTTCAGCTGATGATAATTAAGGAAGTTGCCCATGTGCCTTCCCAGGCGGCCCTCTACAGCCTTCAAGTGGACGTTTTTATTGACCGTCCGCTGGACCCCAATTTCATGTGGATTCTGGCTAATTGGGGCTGAATGCAAACCATGGCAGGTAGATCAGTTAATGAAGAATGATTCTGTACTAAGAGAGAGAGTGTAGCTAGGACCCCAACATTCAAACAGCATCAGCAAGGTCTTCGTGGTGTCATGGAGCATCTGTCTTAAAGGAAAATCCCAAAAGGCAGCTCATTGAGTGCCATATACCTGGGTGGGGGGAGGTGGGAGGAGGGCCTGTGCCTGGGTGGGGGGAGGTGGGAGGAGGGCCTGTGCCTGGGTGGGGGGAGGTGGGAGGAGGGCCTGTGCCTGGGTGGGGGGAGGGGGAGGAGGGCCTGTGCCTGGGTGGGGAGAGGTGGGAGGAGGGCCTGTGCCTGGGTGGGGGGAGGTGGGAGGAGGGCCTGTGCCTGGGTGGGGGGAGGGGGAGGAGGGCCTGTGCCTGGGTGGGAGGAGGGGGAGGAGGGCCTGTGCCTGGGTGGGGGGAGGTGGGAGGAGGGCCTGTGCCTGGGTGGGGGGAGGTGGGAGGAGGGCCTGTGCCTGGGTGGGGGAGGTGGGAGGAGGGCCTGTGCCTGGGTGGGGGGAGGTGGGAGGAGGGCCTGTGCCTGGGTGGGGGAGGTGGGAGAAGGGCCTGTGCCTGGGTGGGGGGAGGTGGGAGGAGAGCAGCTGTGATCAAATTCCGTGTGGGACCTCCAGGCAGCGGGCAGCGACTGGCCAAGGAAGAGGCTGACAGCGGACTGGAGCTGGGACAGGTCAGCTCCCTCCAGGCCCTTCCCTCAGGCTCTGGCCTGGGCTGGTGCAGCTGCCTGATCAAGCTGCTGCCACCAGGTGTCGCCAGCACCCCATCTCAGAAGGGCGGTGCTCGGAGAAGGCTCTGCAGAGGGGACCTGGCTGTGCAGATGGCAGCCCGCTGATTGCTGCGTCCCTGCTCCCTCTCTGCCTCCCTGACCGTGGCCGTCACTGTGGCCACCTAAGTGCTGGGCGGTCAGGCCACGGGAGGCTATTAGAAAGCTCGCATTCCTGCTGTTCAGGGAAACGGTGCCCTTCCTCGCCTGATCATGACGTGTGTGCACAGACCCGCTTGCGCTCAGGGCCAGGTGGGAGGTGACACTAGGGCTCTGGCTTTCTCCGTTGTCCGGTGGGCAGGAGGTAGCATCCTGCGTGTCGCTGTGGCCACTGCCTCCCGTCTCCCTGGACTCCCGGCACGGCCAGTCAGTTGTGCATTCGCCGCCCTGGGTCCTCTGTCCGCTGTTGGCTGCCCACAGGGAACCCTCTCCCCGGAGAGAGAACGGGCCTCCCTCACGTCCGCGCAGACCGCCTTTCTGGCGGGGCCTCCAGAAGTTGGGCCGGCCCGCTCTGAGCAGCAGGTTCTCTGGGCGGCAGCTGAGTCAGGACATGGGTGCCGAGAGGCACGTGTGGGTGACGTGCGGTGATTCTCGGGTGATGCCCCCCAAAACCAGAGAGGAGGGGGTCCTATTCCTCGCAGGGCCACACAATTCCCCCTTCTGCCATGGGTGAGGTTGCTGCTGGGGCACTGTCGGCCCCGAATCTGGTTTAATGCGCACTTGCGTTTGCATTCCACACCCTGTAGACGCAACTTTGCAGAGAGCCCTCTCACTCCCGACCCCTCGGGGGATGTCGGAGGGACCCCACTCACTCTGCAGACGCTGGGGAGGGACTGGGGGAGGTTGGCTCGAGGTGTGTCCGGCCCGTCTCGCCCAGGCCCACCGGCCACCTTTAATGACTTTCCTCAGTCACTTATAAACTAGATCAAACACAGTCCTCCTCAGCCGCTCCTTCCGGCTTTGTTTGCTTTGTCTTTTCAATAATTATAATGAGCTCAGAGGTCTGGTTTCAGTTTGCAAAAGGAGGAGGAGACAGTTTCTCACTGATAACCATGCGGAGTGAGAGGGATGAACGGAGGCAGAGGCTGAGGCTGAGCGTGAAGAACCAGCCGCAGCGATCTCTCTGAGACGGCCAGGCCTGGGGGCTGGGCGGGCGGCAGCGGCGAGTGCAGGAGGGTGGCATGTGTTGCCCTTGAGCCATCGGAGGGCAGGTTGCTGAAATCAGCGCACATTTCAGAAACGCTTTCACCCAGGATGTGTGAGGGGAACAGAGGTGGCTCGTGTGTCTCCAGGGGAGCCCCACATTCAGGGCGCTGGGCGCTCAGGCTCCTCCCTGAGCGGGGTGCCCGGCTGGGGTGCACCTGCTCACACCCTCCTCCACCAGGTCCTGTCGGGCGCCCTGACGCTGGCTCTGTCCGGGAGATGTGACCGGGACGTGCTGCGTCTCCTGCTGGCCTTGCCTGAGGACGGGAAGGCGCGGTTGGCCGCTAAGGAGCTGTGCGGCCTGCCCGGGGCCGGCGTGTACTCTCTGCTTGCGTCCGTGAGTCGCCACCTGGACCTGCGCAGCTTTGTTTACAAGGTGAGGCACCCACTGGCGTGGCCTGTGACGTCCGTGGGCTGCCTCTGGGGGTGGGGGAGAAGCCAGGAGAGAATAGAGCAGCAGGTGCTCGCCGCTCAGATGCCCCTGAGAGGAGAGCGTGGTGGTGGTCACTCCATGTGTGTTTTCCTTCCAGACGCTCATGCCGGCAGAGGCCCAGGGTGTGCTCAGCTCCCTGCTGGCCATCGTCTCCAGGCTCAGCCACTTGCTCCCCAGGGCCAGCCACGTCCTGGAACACCTGCCCAAGTTTCTCCACACGCCCAACATCACGGCCCTGCTGGACCTGCTCACCGCTCGGCAGGTGTGTGTGACCGGGCCTCAGGGGAGCCTTCGGACAGGCTGGGCCTCCGGGCCTGCTGCCTGCACCTCTTTTGCCTCATCTGGTTCTGCCCTAGACCAGGATGTAGGACAGGAAGCCTCTGAAGGGCTCTGGAGGCAGCAGCACGACACAAAGCAAGGCCGGCAGCTCTGAGGAGGAGGCTGGGCCGTTTGTGCCTGGTCTGAGTCAGCACAAAGGAGGGTCCCCGGCCCGCGGGCCTAATCAGAGAGGAACTTGCTTTCACAAACCTTAAAGCAGTTCCTTCATGTAAACAATCAGCATACAAATCACAGATCATTTCTGCAACATAGGCAAACTCAAATGAGGTTAGTGGTGTGATATTTGTCTTGGCTCAACTCTCTCTGCCTGGGATGGAGCTGACTGGAAGGGAGTGTGGGGGGTACGGGCATGGGTGCAGGATGTGGCAGGTGGTGGGATGAGTTCAGAGCTGCCCATCAGCCAGGGGACAGTTTGGGGATAGAGACCACACTGAGAGTGTTAGTCTGCATTAGCGATATTTGTGGATTGAAGCTCATCGCTGGGCAGGGATTGGCTGTGTGTGTGGCTCACTGAGGTGTGTCTCCACATGCTCTTAGGCTCCCCCCGGGGCCCCGGCCGCAAGCTCAGCCCTCGGCTCCTTCCAGGCTGTGGTGACGATGGTGTGCCAGGAGCAAGAGTCCTTTCTTAGCAACTCTAACATGTTCCTTAACCTGCCCAGAGTTAACGAGCTCCTAGAAAGTGACAAAGAAAAATTCAACATTCCTGAAGACTCAAGTAAGAACACTGTAACCCATGATTGCTTAGATTAAGTTGCATATCAACCATTTGCTTTGCTTTATACAAAAGACCTTGTGTAGAAGGTTGGCAAGGAATTTCTTTTCCACCCTCTAACTTTTGTCCTTCCTTTTTATTGGAATTTTAAATTTTCACTTACAGTTCACATTCAGTGTTATATCAGTTTCACGTGTGTAGCATAGAGATCAGTCATTTATATAATTTATGAAGTGATTCGTCTCCCCTCGCGCCCGCCCCCATTAGTCTAGTGTCCACCTGGCACCATAGATGCAAAAATTCTCAGCAAAACATTAACAGATCAAACTCAGCAATACATTAAAGGACCCACAATCAAGTGAGGTTCATTCCTGGAATGCAAGATTGGTTCCATATCTGCAAATCAGTTGACATGATACCCACATAAACAAAATGAAAATCATATGATCGTACCAACTGATGCAGGAAAAGCATTTGACACGATTCAGAACCCATTCATGACAAACTCTCTCGGCAACGTGTCCTTCCTTCTCAGGCAGGCTGCCAGCGCTGGCGTGGCAGCTGCATATACACACGAATATGTCTCTTCTGAAGTCAAAGTCGCTCCTGTCTGCATTAAGCTTATAATTTAAAGCGAAAGATGTTAAACTGTCAGAGCAAGCTCTATAATTCGTGCTTTAAATTCACTATGGGCTCATGCTCTTACTTTACATTTTATGGGATTATTTCTATCGAGTTTATAGTACTTTTTGAGTAAAAGCACTTGTTTTTCTTTTCACCTGGTGGACGTGGAAGGAGATAGCTACAACTGTGCTTTTCATACTTGGGTGTCAGGAGTCGGGGATCGACGCCGAGAGAGCATTTCCATTGCCCATGCTCTCTTGGGGCCAGAGGGACAGGAGCACTCGCCAGCTTCAGGCCTGACCACACTTGATCCTAATTGCTATGGCGAGGCAGGCTCTGCCTTCATTCCTGCCTGTGGTTGAGCCCAGCAAACGCCCGCCGCACCACCATGAGGAGTGGAGGATCTGAGAAAACAAGGCAGTTTCACATATCAAAGGAGTACATGCCACAGCTCTGTATAGTGCAGCAAAGAAAACCCAGTAGCAATTTATAAAGCAAACTTTATTTAAAAAGTCTGTGCTGGTCCCCAAACTATACCGGGCTCTCTGGACCAGGGGCCTGGCTTCCCTTTTCTCCGTTTCCGTCTTTGGTGTCCCTGCCGGCCCTGGAGCTCTCATGGACAGCTCGGTGTGACAAGTGAAGGCCACACTTCGTTTCTTTCAAACATGGATGAGAAAGTGGTCCCTGAGGCTTCTCATGAGACAAGAGCCACTAAACACAGCCAGGAACCACGTTCCGGAGTCTCCGCCCAAATGCAGACTTGGGTCCCTCACTCACTGCAAATGAGCCCCCTCACTGGGGCATCCCATCTGGGTAACACTGTCTGTTTTAATCGCCACAGCGCCGTTTTGCTTGAAGCTTTACCAGGAAATACTGCAGTCTCCAAACGGCGCTCTGGTGTGGGCCTTCCTGAAGCCGGTGTTACACGGGAAGATCCTGTACACACCCAGCACCCCGGCGGTGCATGAGGTCATCCGGAAGGTAAGCTGCAGGACGAGGGGCTGGTGAGCCACAGGGCCGCACTCTGGAAGCCGCCTTTAAAGAGAATGGACGTCATGGTCACGCGGGTGGGATTCCCTAGGGCTCCTCAGGTTGATTACAGCTTATTCTGGCCAGTTTCCCCGCTCTGCGGCCGTTACAGTGGGCTCTGCAGTCAGGCTCTGAGGGGCACTGGAGGCAGGAGGGGTCGGATGCAGTACTAGCCAGGTGAGATGGACAGACAGGGGGCCGGGGCGCGAGCACGGGTGTCGGTTCGCTGGTTGTGCATCTGGTGACGGGAGTGGCCTTGGGCATGCTGTCAGGGTAGGCCTTCCCTGCGAGCTGGGCTGCACCCCAGGGCGAGGGCGGGGGCGGGGCTGGGGCGGGGCGAACCCAGCACTAGCGCCTGTGAAATGCTTGATTTCCCTCCTTGCTGCTGACTCCTCAGCGCTGACTCCGGCAAGACTCTTATTGCCCACACGTGCACTTTCCCTTGAGACAGTGGTCGGCAAAATGTGGCTCTTGGGCCACATGCAGCTCTTTGGCCCCTTGCGTTTTTAGCAAAGGCCAGCTTAGGAGTGCCCTCATAAAGTTAGTAACAATGTACCTACCTATAGTGTTTAAGTTTAAAAATTGTGGCTCTCCGAAGAAATGTCAGTCGTTGACGGTGGATGTTTGGCTCTGCTGCCTAATGAGTTTGCCGACCGCTGCCTTAGGTGCCGCGCTGCTTTCGTGGGGTCTTGTTGTGGCCCAGGGGCGTCTGAGCCTGCGGTGCCGTCAGGTCACCACGGAGGATCCCGTGTAGGCCCGAGGCGGGGGGGGGGGGGGGAGGGGGGGGGAGCGAGGAAGCGAAGGCTGGCGTTAATTTAGTCAGCCAAGGTGTATCGGAGCTATCTACTGTTCTAGACAGTGAGGTCAACATGGGGGCCCTGTGGGAACAGGTGGGGGCCCCGAGGAGGTGGACGGTAAGTGGCGAGGAATCCGGGACACACGTCAGCCCCAGGGCCTGAGGGGGCACATGGCAGACCTGCCCCGGATCCAGCCCTTGCCGCTCTTCTCTGCGGGCGCACGGCTGGCCTCCAGCGGACACAGAGGCGTAGCCAGATGTGCTCTGTCCGCAGGCCAATTACACTTTCGTGTATGTGGACAAGCTGAGGGCTCTGTCAGAGACGCTGCTGAGCGTAGCCAGCAGCGCCCAGAGCGGTGGGCACGGCCGGACGCTGGGGCAGCTGCAGGTGAGCGGGCTCCTCGCTGGGGGGGGGCGGTGCCGGGAGGGCGTCCAGGAGGGTCTGCAGCCGCCGCGGCCGGCTTTCCCGCTGCCTGGCGACCCTGACGCACAATTGGCTCCATGTGTCCGGGCTTTCCGCCCGGCGCAGTGATCCCCGGGGCGCGGCGGCTGTCCCTGTCGCCTCTGTGGCCCCCGGGGCCTCAGGCCTCTTTCAAGACGACACATGTTGTGCCTTCCTTGATCAACAGTGAGCACCAGCTCAGTGAGAAAAACGACGCGTTGTTTTCGGTAACCACCTTTTCCTTTAGGAAGCCCTGAGAAGCAAGTTTATAAGAAACTTTGTGGAAAGCCAGTTACACATCAACGTAGACACACTGACTGAGAAGCTGCAGACGTATGGTAAGTGTATGTGAGTGTGAGTGTGTGTTAGAGTGTGTGTGAGTGTGGCTGTGTGTGTGAGCGTGGATGTGAGTGAGTGTGTGTGGATGTGTTAGCATGGATGTGTGTGTGTGTGAATGTGTGTGTGAGCGTGGATGTGGGTGAGTGTGTATGTGTGTATGTGTGTATGTGTGAGCATGGATGTATGTGTGAGTGTGTGTGAGCGTGGATGTGTGTGAGTGAGTGTGTGTTAGCATGGATGTGTGTGTGTGTGAATGTGTGTGTGAGCGTGGATGTGGGTGAGTGTGTATGTGTGTATGTGTGAGCATGGATGTATGTGTGAGTGTGTGTGAGCGTGAATGTGTGTGAGTGAGTGTGTGTGAGCGTGGATGTGTGTGAGTGAGTGTGTGTTAGCGTGGATGTGTGTGAGTGAGTGTGTGTTAGCGTGGATGTGTGTGAGTGTGTGTGAGTGTGGGTATGTAAGCGTGTGGGTGTAGGTGTATGAGACTGTGTGTCCCTGCGTCTGCAGTGTCCAGGGTGGGGACGGCAGGCGCTGGGCTGGGGACGCCGCCATGTCCGTGCTCACTCCTCAGCAGGGGGCCTGGGCCGGATGCTGAGCCGCCTGGGCACCGCCGACCTCCTCTCCCTGGGCCCCGCGCTGGCCAACCTGTCCTCCTGTGTGCTGCTGGACCGCTTCCAGGGGCTGCCGTCCGCCGCCGCCCTGGAGGCCGCCGCCCACGGGCTCCTGCAGCAGAACCGCCTCCTGGCCAGTGAGTGTCCGGCAAACCGCGCTCAGGCCGAGCCGGCCGCCCCCGTCCGTCCTCGCCGGGCTCCCTGCGCGCTGCTCGGGTGACGGCGGTTGTCCGTCTGCCCCTCAGGCGTCATCTTCAACACCTCGGGGCGCCGCTCCGGCCCGCACGCCCCGCTGCCGCCCCGCGTGGCCTACACCATCCGGACCAGCCTGCTGTACAGCGTGCGGACGGACCAGGCCGGGAACCCCTCCTGGAAGTCCCACCCCCGGAGCCTGCCGGCCGACGGCTTCCAGTACAACTACGTCTTCGCCCCGCTGCAGGACATGCTGGAGCGGGCGCTGCTGCGGGTGCAGACCCGGCGGGCGGCCGTGGGGCCCCCGGCGCAGGCGCAGCCCATCCCGTACCCCTGCCACAGCAGCGACCTGTGAGTGCCGCCCCCCCCCCGCATCCCCTCTCCCCGTGTCCCCCCCACGTCCCCTCCCCCCGCGGCCCCTCCCCCCGCGTCCCCTCCCCACACGTCCCCTCCCCCCGCGTCCCCTCCCCACACGTCCCCTCCCCACCGCGTCCCCTCCCCCCGCGGCCCCTCCCCACCGCGTCCCCTCCCCCCGCGGCCCCTCCCCACCGCGTCCCCTCCCCCCGCGGCCCCTCCCCCCGCGTCCCCTCCCCACACGTCCCCTCCCCCCGCGTCCCCTCCCCACACGTCCCCTCCCCACCGCGTCCCCTCCCCCCGCGGCCCCTCCCCACCGCGTCCCCTCCCCCCGCGGCCCCTCCCCACCGCGTCCCCTCCCCCCGCGGCCCCTCCCCACCGCGTCCCCTCCCCCCGCGTCCCCTCCCCCCGCGTCCCCTCCCCCGCGTCCCCTCCCCCCGCGGCCCCTCCCCCCGCGGCCCCTCCCCCCACGTCCCCTGCCCCCGCGGCCCCTCCCCCCCGCGTCCCCTCCCCACACGTCCCCTCCCCCCGCGTCCCCTCCCCACACGTCCCCTCAGAGTGAGGCTGGAGTGGCCCCTCCTGGGCTCTGTGTTTCACCTCCACATCGGGGACTGGCCGGTCTGCTCAGGGACTTAGGGGGCGCTTCTCAGGCCCCGGGCCCGCTGGGGGGACAGTTGTGGGACAATGCCACGCGGCAGCTTGAAAGACCCTCAGGTCGGGGTGCAGTGGCCCCCTCCAGGCTCTGCAGGGCTGACTCCCAGGCCTCCTGTGGGAACGAGGGAAGCAGGAAGCGGGTCTCCCGCAGATTTTTAAAGACAGGTGTGCTGCCCACGCAGGCCAGAGTGTGACAGAGCCTGCGTAGCTGCAGGGAGGGGGGTGTTCAGGCGTGGCCAGTGTGCACTCAGGCGGGATAGTGTAGGGGGCACGGGGGCCACTGAGGCCCTCCCTGAGGCAGCCTCCATGGAAGGGGTGCAGCCAGTTAGCCAGACTCCGGGAGAGGGGAGGGCGGGAGGGAGAGGCATGCAGATGCCCAGGAGTCCCTCTGTGGACACGAGGGAGGTGGGCAGTGGCTGGTGGGGGGCTCTTCCCCCCTCCCCCCCGTCCCTTCTCTCTCCCTTTCCCCCTCTCTCCCTCTCCCATTTGTCATGTTAGCAGCCAGGGCTCCTGCTCTGAGGACACACGTGGGGAACGCTACTTTGCGTGCAGGTGGGACGGGATCGGTTCTCTATAAAAGTCAATGTTCCCTTCAGCGTGACTCACGGTGGTCCTGGCAGGACGCCTTTGTGGTGCGCTTCATGCACACAGAGAATTTCCATGTTAATGTGCTGCTTCAGAGCGCAGGCAGAGGGAGGCTCAGGAAACGAAACAGCAGCTGCAGAGCTGTTTCACCGGCACACCGGCTCCTCGGCTCCTCAGAAGGGCACTGCTCTCTGCCCCCTGCCCAGGCCCTGCTGTCCACAGGAGTAGCTGGTCCGGGGGAGGGGGAGCGCTGCTCTCCTGAGGACCTGGGGGGGCTTCCCTCCTGAGGACTTGGGGGGGGGGCTTCCCTCCTGAGGATCGGACCGGGAGGGAGAGTGCTGGGGGCTGTGCTGGCCGCACTGGTCCCCTCTGTGACCCTGGCTGTAGGAGTCAGTGGTTACCAGCTGAGAGTGGGAAGATGGAGGAGGATGGTAGCCCAGCACCTCTAGCCGGCGGGTGTTGTTTGCCCCTCTTCGTGGGCGATGCGTGTCGTACACACGGAACCACGCCGTGCCCGGGGTGCAGGCGCTGCTCTCACTCCGTTGGGACCGCGTTGATGTGTGCGTGGCGGTGAACAGTGGGTCACGGGCCTCGGATGCCGGTGACCGGGCTTCTCAGGACCAGAGAGCCTCAGGCCGTGGTCTGCTGGGGCCTCTGTGGAGCGAGTCACCACAGGGGCAGGCGGTGGGGCCACAGCCCTGTCAGTAGCCGTGTCTCCTTGTGAGTTTGCACAACTACTGAGTCAGGACCCCAAAGAGCTGTCCTGCCTGTCACAGGCCTGCTGCCATGGCCGAGGGAGACTGTTCAGACAGGGCTCAGTGTGAGGGGGCAGCGTGGGGGCAGTGTGTGTGGGAGGGGGCAGCGTGGGGGCAGTGTGTGTGGGAGGGGGCAGCGTGGGGACAGTGTGTGTGGGAGGGGGCAGCGTGGGGACAGTGTGTGTGGGAGGGGACAGCATGGAGACAGTGTGTGTGGGAGGGGGCAGTGTGGGGACAGTGTGTGTGGGAGGGGGCAGCGTGGGGACAGCGTGGGGACAGTGTGTGTGGGAGGGGGCAGCGTGGGGACAGTGTGTGTGGGAGGGGGCAGCGTGGGGACAGTGTGTGTGGGAGGGGGCAGCGTGGGGACAGTGTGTGTGGGAGGGGACAGCATGGAGACAGTGTGTGTGGGAGGGGGCAGTGTGGGGACAGTGTGTGTGGGAGGGGACAGCATGGAGACAGTGTGTGTGGGAGGGGGCAGTGTGGGGACAGTGTGTGAGGGAGGGGGCAGCGTGGGGACAGCATGGGGACAGTGTGTGTGGGAGGGGGCAGCGTGGGGACAGTGTGTGTGGGAGGAGGGCAGCATGGGGAGGCATGCTCAGCGCAGTGCTGCCCACCGGCGCTCACAGGCCACTGGGCGCCTCCTCACAGGTTCCTGAACCACGTGGGCTTCTTCCTGCCCCTGATCATGATGCTGACGTGGGTGGTGTCTGTGGCCAGCATGGTGCGAAGGCTGGTGTACGAGCGGGAGATCCAGATGGAAGAGGTGAGTGGGGGCTGCCTGGGGGACGCTCTGCCCCTCCCCTCTGCGGGCTCCGCGTGGAGAATCTGTCCCGGGAAAGCATCGCCAGCCGAAGCCCGTGGTTCAGGTGTCCCTGTGAGCTCGGGAGGGAGGTGGGAGGAAGTGAAGGCACATGATGTTGGAAGAGGAAACCTGTGTGCTCATTTAGCAGTTGTATATTTTTATCTTCCCAGGAACATGTTTATTGGAGAGAGAAAGGGCGAGAGGGACAGGGGAAAGAGAGACACCCATCAGCTGCCTCCTGCACTCACCCCACTGGGGATCGAACCCGCAGTCTAGGCATGTGCCCTGGCGGGAAGCAAGCCTGCAGTCTTGCGGTGCACGGTTGGTGCTCCAGCCAATGGAGCCGCCGCCCAGCCCAGCCAGTCTCATTCCCCTCAGGACACAGAGCAGCCAGCGTCCCTCCTCACCTGGAGCTGGACGCTTCAGGCCCAGCCGTGCTCTTCCTGCCCAAACCTAAACTATCAAAACTGCTTTTAACCAGGCAGGTGTCCAGGAGCCCTCCCGCCTTCAGCCACAGGAGGGCGCAGCAGGAGACACAGGCAGTGCTTACCTTACTTACTGTTTGTTAGGCACAGACGGGCGTGCAGGTGCCCGAGCTCCGCCCCGCTCCATGTGGTGCTGCCCACTGCTCTGCACGCCTCCCCCCTGGGCAGGGGGCCTGGGGTACGGTCAGTCTCATGGGCTCCCAGCTCCTTGGCCAGAAATCCTTCCTCATATTCAGTATCGCGATGTCATAGACGAGCAAGTGAATTAATTTTATTAAGCTACTTCAAATTGAATGACTTAGCAAAACTCACTCTAAAACCTATGCATAATCCCTGGAACCTAAGGAAAAGTATTTCTCCCTTCATTTTTTAAAAATATGTTTTATTGATTCTTTACAGAGAGGAAGAGAGAGGGATAGAGAGTTAGAAACATCGATGAGAGAGAATCATCGATCAGCTGCCTCCTGCATGCCCCCCCCCCCCACTGGGGATGTGCCCACAACCATGGTACATGCCCTTGACCGGAATTGAACCCGGGACCCTTCAGTCTGCAGGCCGACACTCTATCCACTGAGCCAAACCAGTGTTGGCCCATTTTCTTTGTCCGTATTAAACAAAACCAGCACAGGCAAGATGGAAAGCAGCACGAAATGGAGTGAAAGCGAACCACGGGGATGGGAGGCACGGGGCTGCAGCGGGCGGCCGGGCGGGACCTGCCCTGAGCGGCCCCGCGTGGTTTTCTGCGAGGAGCTGTTCCCACGCCCTGGCTGCCCTCACGCGGGACCCGCCTCCTCTGTGGGCTCCTAAGGACGACGCGCAGGCGCAGGGACGTGCCTGGCACAGAGCCCTCGGGTGGATGTCCCCTGGGGCGCCCGCCTGCCAGCTGCCTTCCCCAGGGCGGACCCCTCTCGGCACCCCCTGTGTGGTGACGCTTCCTCTCCCGGCAGTACCTGCGCATGATGGGGGCGCCCCCGGCCTCCAGCCTGCTGGCCTGGTTCCTGGAGAACCTGGCTGTGGTGGCGGTGGGCAGCGCTGCGCTGGCCGTGGTGCTGAAAGCCAGCGGCATCTTCGCACACAGCGACGCCCTCATCCTGTTCCTCTTCCTGCTGGCCTTCGGGGTGTCGGCCGTCACGCTGAGCTACCTGCTGAGCGCCTGCTTCGGCCGCGCGGCCCCGGCGGCGCTCTGCGGCAGCCTGCTGTACCTGGCCAGCTTCCTGCCCTACATCGTGCTGCTGGTGCTGCGGGGCCGGCTCAGCACGCCTGCCCAGATGCTCCTGGTGAGTGAGGCCGGCTCTGCCCCCCACGGACAGCAGCCCTCACCGCCGCCTTCCCTGCCCTTTCCTCAGGCCTCCTTCCCTCGGCCACCCCGGAGGGAACTGCTGTGGCTCAGGGGCCCTGCGGGTGCTGGTGGCAGGCAGCTCGGATGGGTCTCCCCTCACAGCCCTCCCGGGGAGACGGGGCGACCCCCAGTACCCACGGAGCATGGGCAGGCACGGGGTCCCATAGCTGTGGCAGCTGTCAGCCCCAGCCTCCTCCTGAGCTCCGCACCTGCCAGCGCACCGAGTGGGAGGCTGTCCGCCAGCAGCGCCGGCTGCCACACTCAGTGCACCCCACTCAGTGCGCTGCTCAGGCCGACGTGACTCGGAGAGGACAGCTCACCTTTCATGACTCCCCTGGCGCGGTGCCGCTCGCGGGTGGGCACGTGGTCGGCGGGGAAGGGATGGAAGGATCATTAATGGGGTCAGGCTCCGTGCACACATGGGCTGTCTCATGGTTCACACCCTACAGGTGCGCCACACTGCCTGTGGGTCCGTGGTGGGAGGCCTCCTTGTGCTGAGCCGAGGGAGAATGTTCTGTGTGAGCCACACCCCTTCCTCCAGCATCAGTGGACCCCTCTGGGCCCGGTCCCCGCTGGCCACGCACACAGCACAGTCCGAGTGCAGGCAGACAGGCGCCCCTGTTGGGCGGGCATCGTGCCCATCACCTGGTACCCGTAGTGTGACCGCTTGCCTCTCCCTGTAAAACCCATGACCTCGGTTTGGGCTACTGTCAGTCAGGTTTTCAGGGGAATGAAAGCTACCCGGCCATGCGGGGCCTGTATGCTCTACACGTGGAAAGGCCTGGATTCTAGGCACTGTGCTTGTTTCACTCCCACCTCGGGGAAGGGCTCCGTGCACACACAGTGATTTCCTTTTTGCAAGTTCAGGTCCGTTATGTTTTTAGTAACACAGGCGCCTTTTCAGCCGCCTTTCCTGGCGTGGGCGCTCCCCTGCGAAGCGGTTCCCTTGGCGCTCGATTGTCCTGGCCAGGACACGTGTGCCATCCTCAGTCTGTGCTGGGCGGGGGTCCCAGCTCAACACAGAACATAGGAAATGCCCTTCCCACGGCCGTGTGCCCGTGTGTGTCCCCAACGTGGGAGCTCTCTGCAGGCTCTGTAGGAAAGAGAAATAATACCTTTTAATGTTAAAAATGAGCTTGTCCCACGCGTTTCCGGGGGCTGACAGTGGGCTGGGTGTCCAGGGACGGACACTGGCTTCCAGGGGTCCGAGAGGAATGGCGTGGTGCTCTGGGCATCCTGTCCCGGCATGCACCAGTGGCCGTTTCTCTCCCTCATGCCGGCAGTGCCTCCTCTCCCCGACGGCCTTTGGACAAGGAGTGTTCTTCGTCACGTTCCTGGAAGGGCAGGAGGCAGGTGAGACGGTGCGGCTCCAGGCGCTCTCGTGGTTGGGGGTAAGGGGTTTGCATGTCCTGTTGTGGGCGGACAGCAGGAAGGCCCCACCACAGAGCTGGGCCTGGGACGAGAAGCTGGTGCTCACGTGACTGTTCAGCACCCGCGCGCCCAGCTGCCTGGCGTTAGGAGCCTCAGGAATAGCCGCAGCGCCTGGTCCAGCCGCTGCAGGGCCAGCCCGCCAGCCACTGCCCGGCTCTCCTCATGGCACCCCGACACCCCGTTCCCTTAGCAACCTTCCGAATTCTTCAAGGAATGGGGTGAGCACACGCCATCTCAGGGTCCTGTCGAGCTGGTACCTGCCTCCCTGTCCCTGCCCACTTCCCCACTTTCTCTTCCCACTTCTCTTGTCACATGTCAGCATCCACTGGGGTCTGCCCGCTCTCATCTCTGCGTCCGGAAAGGGACTTAGCCAGGGCTGAGAGGGTAAAGTTATCCGCTTCACGCCCAGGACGGTATTCCTTTAATTCGGCCTAAAATAACATTTAAAAAATGGATTGGCAGCCTTTCTCACTTACCTTGAAATGTTGACAACTGACATCCTAAGCCGGGACAGACATATATTTCTTACATGTTTATGTGGTTTTTATGAACATTTACACTTAAAATATATGCAATAAATGGACTCACCTCCAGCTACTGTATATTAGCCCTTTCCCTGGGCGCTGGTCTTGGAGTTCTCAGACATTTCAGCAAAACACTCAGTTTATGGAGACCGTGCCGAGACAGCAGAGCGAGCCCAGGCCTCCTGAGTGCCTGCAGAGGCGAGGAGACAGTCACTGTTAGTCCTTGGAGTGTTTCGGACTGAACTCGAGCAAGTGTTAGAGTGTATTTAAAACAAAATATTTTATTGATTTTTTACAGAGAAGGAGGGAGAGGGATAGAGAGCTAGAAACATCAATGAGAAAGAAACATCGACCAGCTGCCTGCTGCACACCCCCTACCGGGGATGTGCCTGCAACCAAGGCACATGCCCTTGACCGGAATCAAACCTGGGACCCTTCAGTCCACAGACTGATGCTCCATCCACTGAGCCAAACCAGTTTTGGCGTCAGCGTGTGTTTTATATGAGAGTTCCAGGCTGGTCCCTGAGGGAACCGAGGAAGAGGCTATCTTACTTAGCGGATGCTTTAACCCAGCAGCAAATTGCAAATACATTGTAAGAAAGAAAGAGTGGTCCTGGCCCATCCCAGGCCTTCTACGTCCTGTTTCTACGTTTCCTAAGTGCACAGACCACGATATAACGTAGGGCTGGATGGGCAGGAGCCTTCTGTATCTTTTGTATGGCACGCCTGTTTTCTCCAGGAAGGGAGGTAAGCGCCTTCCAAACACTTTAAATGCTGGACATTAAATATTAATGTTGCTGTGCCCGTATCATCGAACCCAGCGCCTCCTTCGGCTTCAGCTGCTGCCAGCTGCGCCAGAGCCTCCAGGACTAGCACCCCGTCTCCCCGGGTTGACTCTGCCCTCCCTCCCTCCCTCCAGGGGTCCAGTGGGGCAACCTGTACCAGCCGTCAGAGCAGGCAGGCCTGGCGCTCGGCTGGGTCTGCGTGATGATTCTGGTCGACTCGGGCCTTTACTTTCTATGTGGCTGGTACCTGAGCAACTTGGTTCCTGGTAAGACTCCTACCCTTTGTAATGAAGCACTGGCCGTCTTGTTCCAGTAGCCTCTGTGTTGTAGAAGCTGCTGTTTAAAGTTTCCCACTGAAGCAGACGGCTCCTTGTTCTGTTAACTGACTGCTATTTGGCTTCTGTGAACAAGCTTGCTTGAATCTTTGCTAATGGAAGGGTCTGGTTCCTCCCACACCAGGTACCTTCTGGTTAGATCTGAGTTGTGCTGTGCTCAAGGCCATAAGCTTCCTGCAAGGTAGTTAGTTACTAGGCACACTGACCCCCCTCACCCAGCTCACAGGACTTCTCTCATTTTTTAAAAAGGCTTACAAGAGGTCTGGAAGTCTCATTCCATATTTGGAAGACAAAGAGACCTAGAAAATAAAAGCGTAAAAGCTTCCTCAGGTTTCGGAGCCAGAATTCCTTTGGTGAAGGAAGACTTGGGCATGTTTCACAAGTTTTGGAGCCGTTTGGCGCTCCCATTCCTTTACATTAATAGACCAGCGAGGGGTATCTTTAAAGTCTACATCGGTTAGAGCGGGGATGGTCTAATTAGCAAGTCACCATTAATATCCAACTTACTTCTGACGTCTCTCTCCTGACTCTGAAAGGCTCTCCCAGCTGCCCTCTTCCCACCTGCACTGCCACCTGCTCAGGAGGCCGCGGGGGCAGGGACGGAGGCCCGGGCGTGGCCTGTGCGGGGAGGAGGGTCGGGCCCGATGACTAGTCCACGGCGTGCATGGAACATGTCGGCAGGGACCAGTGCTTTGTGTTCACGAGGTAGGACATCCTGCTACAGCTGCATGTCTGACGGCGGCTCGTTTCTCAGGCGCCGTGGGTGTTCGGAAGCCCTGGTACTTCCCCTTCACGGCCTCCTACTGGAGGGGCGCGCGAGGCCTGGCCACCCGGAGGCCGTGCGCCCGCGGTTCCGGGCCCTTCTCCCGCCGTGAGGACGCCGGGCACACAGGTCTGTACGGAGCACGTGGGGCACACAGACAGAGGGTCCTGGGCTCCCCTCATCCTCTCCTGGGCTCCCCTGGAGGCCCGCCCCGTTCCTGCTCCTGGGAGCTGCCAAGGACAGCAGGAGGGTGCTCCCGCCCCAGTCCTGCCTCCCTGGCCCGTCGGAGGACGGCAGGGGTCCGAGGGCACTGGCTCTCAGGACAGTTCACTCCCAGCCCGTCTGTGAAGTGCAAACAGGAGCTTCTCAGATCGGCCCTCTCTCTCCTCCCAGAGTAATGCTTGGGACTTTTTTTTTTTTTTTTTAATATATATTTTATTGATTTTTTACAGAGAGGAAGAGAGAGGGATAGAGAGTTAGAAATATCGACGAGAGAGAATCATCGGTCAGCCGCCTCCTGCACACCCCCTACTGGGGATGTGCCCGCAACCAAAATACATGCCTTTGACTGGGATCAAACCTGGAACCTTTTAGTCCGCAGGCCGACGCTCTGTCCACTGAGCCAAACCGGTTTCGGCTTGAGGACGTTTTGATGTGTTGTCCTCTGCATATGCACATGCACATGTGTGTCTGTGTGCATACACATGAGCGTGCATGCTTGTATTAGGGTGTGTGTATGCATGTATGTACATGTGTGTTTATTTTTAATTTTTTTTAAATTAAAGGGGATTAAAATTATTGATTTTTTTTACAGAGAGAAAGGGATAGAGAGCTAGAAACATCGATGAGAGAGAAACAACGATCAGTTGCCTCCTGTACCCCTCCCCCTCACTGGGGATGTGCCCACAACCAAGGTACATGTCTTTGACTGCAGCTGAACCCGGGACCATTCATTCCTCAGCGCTCTATCCACTGAGCCACGGGTTTTGGACATGTGTGTTTATTTTTGTTTCATTACAGAATAGATACCATGAGGGTACAAACCTTTGTAATCAGAAGTTTCGCTTAATTTTTGCCATTATATAGCTTGCCTCTCGATTTTGGGGAAGACTTTGCATGTTTCACATGTTTCGGTACCAGAATTCATGCCTGAGGCCGCCGCTAGGTCACTGCACTCTGGGGTGCCATTCTCTCGGTGTGTTTGCATCTCCACAGGGTCATTGCCTCAGCATGGGAACGGGGAGCGGGAAGGAGGCCCCCCTGGTGTCACCCTGGTGTCTGTGACCAAGGAGTACCAGCCCCACCGGGCAGCCGTGCGGGACCTGACCCTCACCTTCCACAGAGGCCAGATCACCGCCCTGCTGGGGGCCAACGGCGCCGGGAAGACCACCATCATGTGCGTCCCCTTCCACCTCGCAAAACTTGGGGCTCCCCCTCCGAATGCCCATCCACCCAGCAGCGAGGCTCGGTTCCTTTCTCACGGAGGAAGCACTGCCCTCTGCCCCTGCCTTCTGCCTCTGCCCCCTGCCCCTGCTCTCTGCCTCTGCCTCTGCCCCTGCCCCTGCTCTCTGCCCCTGCCCTCTGCCCTCTGCCCCTGCTCTCTGCCCCCTCTCCTCTGCCCTCTGCCCCTGCCCTCTGTCTCTACCTCTGCCTCTGCCCCTGCCCCTGCTCTCTGCCCCCTCTCCTCTGCTCTCTGCCCCTGTCCTCTGCCCCTGCCCCTGCCCTCTGCCTCTGCCTCTGCCCCTGCTCTCTGCCCTCTGTCCCTGCCCTCTGTCTCTGCCTCTGCCCCTGCCCCTGCCCTCTGCCCCTGCCCTCTGTCTAGCTGCTGTGCCTCCCCAGTCCCCAGCCACCCTGAGGCCTGGGGCAGGCACTAGGAGAGGGTAACGGGTTCTAAAATCTTTAATTCTTCCTGTTTTCCCTACAATGAACTCACCTGCTTTTACTTGGATCTTGGAAAGTTCTAGGGCCCTTTTCATTGTTCTCCTCAGTTAATTGTGTTTGCTTTTCTGCGGGAAGGGGACATTCGGAGCCAGTTTGTAGTTCTCTGACACCTGAATAGTTTTTCATGTCCTGATTTTGTGTGGCTGGCTTTTTTTTTTTTTTTTGATTGGATGTTTAGTTTAGAATCCAAAGGCTATGCATCTGGTTAAAGAATCAAGCCTTACTGTCCCAGAGAAACAAGAAGCTCAGATGTTCGAGCCACAAAACAGCTGAGCGGCCTGTGGGACGGAGGCCCTTTAGGCTGAGCCTCTGGTGATGGCGGGCGGCCTGGGGAGCAGCCGTGTCTCTGCCCTTCAGCCGCTGACGGTGCTTCTGATGCAGCTGACGGGCAAGGAATGCACACGAGGCTTCAGAACCTCAGGGCAGCATGCTAGAAGGGAAACATGGGTTCCTTCTCTCCGTGGGCCTGGCTGGAGCCTGGCCCCTGGGTGTCCCTCTCAGCAGCTCTCAAAGGACAAGCTCCAGGGCCCGCCCCTTAGCAGACTGATCATTACTGTTTTGTTTGTTTGTTTTTAATATATTTAATTGATTTTTTCACAGAGAGTAAGAGAGAGGGATAGAGAGTTAGAAACATTGATGAGAGAGAGATATCGATCAGCTGCCTCTTGCACACCCCCTACTGGGGATGTGCCTGCAACCAAGGTACATGCCCTTGACCAGAATCAAACCCAGGACCCTTCAGTCTGCAGGCCGATGCTCTATCCACTGAGCCACACTGGTTTCGGCTGATCATCACTGTTTAAAGCAAAAACGCCGAGGCACGCAGCAATGGGAACACCCACCCAATGGTTCTCCCCGGAAGTCTGAAATAGCAGCAAACAGCTGGTCACCGAGGGCTTTGGAGTGCAGAGCCCCCCGCCCTGCCCCCTGGTGCCCATGCCCCTCCCCCGGCCCCCCTGTGTCCCTCCCCCGGCCCCCCGTGCTCACAGACCCACCCGCACCCGTGGCCGGGACTGACCCGCGGGCACGTCTTGTCTGCAGGTCGCTGGTGACAGGGCTGCAGGCGCCCACCTCTGGGACCGTCCTCGTCGACGGCAGGAACGTGCACACGGACTTGGCCGCGGTCAGGAAGGAGCTGGGGGTGTGTCCTCAGCGCGATGTCCTGTGGGATCGGCTCACCGCCCGGGAACACCTGCTGCTCTTCGCAGCCATCAGGTCACCGCAGCGGAGCCGGGCAGAGCGGCGGCAGCAGGTGGACCAGTGAGTGGGGCCCCGGGGGGGGGGGGGCACCTCTGTGGGTGGGTCAGTGACGCCTCAGACACATCAGTGCCTTCATCACGAGAGGAGATGAGCCAGCAGCTCCGACCTGGTGTTGGCCCGGCCGCCAGCACGGCCCAGAGGGGCGTCTCGGGAGGACGTCGCTCGACTGGCCCTCGAGGGGGACGGAGGACACAGGCGCCGAGGGCGGGCTGTCAGGGTGAGCCGGGGACGCGGACCTGGGTGCAGGCGGGGCCTGGAGATGAGAGGCGGGACGAGGGCCCGGGGTGAGGGCAGGAGCTGGAGCTTCGTTGGCACGGTGACCCTGGCAGCGCAGGGGTCCCTGGGGTCAGAGCGGAGAGCGGAGCCAGGGCCAGGCTCCTGGAGGAGGGGAGAGGAGTTGGGGGCCTCGGCCGGGCCTGGGTCAGGAGTGTTGTCGGCAGCGAACTCAGCGCCTGGAGCTGCGGACGCGCTGGGCCCCGCGGAGGCTGCTTGGTTGGATGGGGTGGGTGTAGGGCACGTGTGTGCAGTGGACAGCGGGAGGCTAAGGACCGGGCCCTTGTCCCTCCGCTCGGAGAGGCTGGAGAGGGGAGGGACTCAGCGGGGAGGAGACACGCCCATTGAGAAGGAGGGCAGGTGCATGGAGCTGAGGTCCACTCAGTGAAGAGGTGGGATGACTGGAGGGAGAGTGCCGGGCCACCGGTGACCGCCGTGGCGTGTGGAGGAAGGTCACATGGTCAGTAACGGAGCAGAGGAAGGGGTTTTGCTGCAAAGGAGCAGAGAAACAGGACAGAGAGCGATGGGAGAGGAGGGAAAGGAGGCATCGCCAGGACAGCGGGAGGCAGAGGAGGGCGACGTGGAGCCCCATGTGGCGGGGGTCGGTGAGGCGGCCGGACATGGGCTGGACGTGTGGCCTGAACCCACAGGAGAGGCTGGAGCGGGGAACAGTGTGTGGGGCTGAGTGACTGCGGGGCGGTCAGCGGGGGGAAGGGGTGTCGGGAGGGACAGGAGCCTCTGCAGGGGGGCCAGGCTGTGAGCCTGAGGCTGGGTGAGGGGAATGGGCAGAAATGGAGGTTTGCTTACAGAGCACCTCTGACTTCCTGTGGCTAATTCTCTTTTCTCAGCCGCGGGGTCTCTGGTTAAGTGATCCAGGGGGACCTTGTAGCTTTACTCCCTGCTGTGTGGGTCACCCTGTGTGGGTCACCCTGTGTGGGTCACCTGTGTGGGTCACCTGCCGGGCTCCTGGTGGGGGTGCGGGTGGTCAGTCCTCCTCGCCCTCAGCCTGCGGGGGCCGCAGCGGCTCCTGAGGCGGGCCGTTCTCACGTCAGGGCCCTCCGGGACGTGGGGCTGACACCACACCAGCACACGCAGGCCGGCGCCCTGTCCGGAGGCCTGCGGAGGAGGCTGTCCATCGGCGCTGCCTTCCTGGGCGCCCCGCGGACCGTGGTGCTGGACGAGCCCACCAGCGGGGTGGACCCCTGCTCCCGGCGCAGCATCTGGGACATCCTGCTCCGTCTCCGAGAAGGTGGGCTCCGCGCTCCTGCTCTCTCTGGGCCCGGGCCCCACACCGCGAGGCAGCACCGCCAGCGGCCACCCTGCCCGCAGTCCACCTGCCCAGCGTCCACCCTGCCCAGCGTCCACCCTGCCCAGCGTCCACCCTGCCCAGCGTCCACCCTGCCCACAGTCCACCTGCCCAGCGTCCACCCTGCCCCAAGTCCACCCTGCCCAGTGTCCACCCTGCCCAGCGTCCACCCTGCCCGCAGTCCACCCTGCCCATAGTCCACCCTGCCCCGAGTCCACCCTGCCCGCAGTCCACCCTGCCCAGAGTCCTCCCACCCAGTGTCCACCCTGCCCAGAGTCCCCCTGCCTGATGTCAGCGCAGGCACCACCAGAGTCCACCCTGCCCGAGGCCAGCGCAGGGACTATGCAGAGGGCGGTTGGCAGTTGGCCCTTCTGCAGGGTTGGTGCTCCCTGGCCTCCTCTCCGGTGCTCACCGGCTGCCCGCCTGCCTCCCAGAGCACCGTCCGCCACTCCGGCTCCCGGTGCCAGTGCTCCCGTCCTCTCACAGGCGTGGTCCCAGGTCTCCAGGCCCCGCTCCTGCCTCCACACGGCCCCGTCCACTTCTCACACAGCAGCGGCTCCGGGAGGAGCCGTCCAGGCCGCCAGGCTGTAGCCGGAGGATGCGTCAGGAGACAGGGACGCCTGGCGCGCTCTCTATCCTTTTTATAAACATCTCCTCTGCTCGCAGCAGTGTGCCAGGCCTAGCGACGGCAGGGACGCAGGCCCTGTGCCAGGGGTTTCTCCCGGGGGCCCGTCTGAGCGCCCGTGGTCTGAGGGGGGACCTTGGGAGCTGGTCGCCACCCTGAGGCCTGCAAGGAGAGGGCCAGGGCCACGCGGTCCCTTCTCCAGGCTGCTTCTCTGGTTAAACGCGTGGGCATCCTGGCATTGCCCGCTCCCACTGCCCGTGCCAGGCTGGCTCTGATGCTGCCTTTCCTGGCGCAGGTCGGACGATCATCCTCACCACCCACCACCTGGACGAGGCGGAGGCGCTGAGCGACCGCGTGGCCGTGCTGCAGCGGGGCCGGCTGCGCTGCTGCGACGCCCCCCGGGGCCTGGCCGAGGCCTGCGGCCGGGGCCTCCGCCTCACACTCACCGAGCAGGTGACGGCCGCCCGGCGGACGCTGACGCAGTGGGTGCGCTGGGGGCACGGGCCCTCATGCTGCTCCCCGGCTTTGTTGGCAGCCCTCCCCTCCGGAGCGGGACGGCCGGCCGGACGCGGCCCCCACCACGGCCCTGATACAGACCCACGTCCCAGGGGCGCTCCTCAGCGCCCGCCGCGGGCACACGCTGACCTACGCCCTCCCCGAGGACGCCGACCGCACCGCCTTCCCGCGGCTCTTCCGGGCGCTGGAGCAGGACCGGCGCCGCCTGCGCCTGGCGGGCTGCGGGCTCGCAGACACCGCCCTGGAGGAGGTAGGCTCCGCTTGTCCCTGTCCTGTTAGCGGCAAGGCGGCCGCTGAGGGGAGGGCCGGACTTGTGTGTGTGTTTACCCTGCGTCTGACGGGCAGCAGGGGGCAGGCCAGCTCGGACTCCACACACCCTCTGAGGGCCGCGAGCACTCCTGCATCTGAGCGCGGGCGTCTGATCCCGAGCCAGCGATGTCCATGCTGTCAGGGCCGCCCGGCTGCTGGGCTTTCCTCAGGGAGGCGCCCTCCCGTTCACTGCGGACCTTGCTTTGCTCAGGAGCTCTGGGCAGAGACACCGAGCAGAAACCGAGGCCAGCAGCTGCATGCTGCTGCCCGTGCCGGCCCCGGCCCCCTGCCCCGCCGGCCTCTGTGGGGGTCTGAGGTCAGCGCGCATGTGGTCACACAGCTGGTGGGGGTCCTCCCTCCCCCCGCACCCCTTGCCCCCCAGGGGGCTGGACCCGATCCCAGGCAGCTGGTGTGGGCTGAGGCTGACTCTGTGGAAATGGAAAGGGGAGGCTTTCCATTGCTAGAAGCTACAGAGGCCCTCAGTGTTTAAAGCAGCGGTCGGAGCTGAGATTGGAGCAGGAGCGGGAGGCTTGCCCGCGGTCCCGCATTGCCCGGGAGCAGCGCAGACCTGGGTGGGTGGTGGTGGCTCTTGCACTCTAAGCAGCGTCCGGAGCTTCCTAACCAGCTCTTAGGGTGCCAGAGCTCCGACCCCCACGCAGTGTTCGCGCACATTACCCGCAGCGGCAGCACTGAGCACAGGCTGCGCAGGGAGGCACAGTGGGCTTCTCAGCGTCCCCCTGCCTGCTGTCCTCCGGCAGGGCCTGGGCGTCTGCAGCCGGGCGTTCTGGGTCAGAGCCTGGGCAGGCGCTTCAGTGTGGAAGGGGTTTCGTCTCAGCCAAGCTTCTGAAAACCCTCTTGCTGCTGTGTTTCTGCTTACTACTCACTTTTGTTCTCCAAAATATTAAAAAAATGTTTAAGCATTTTTATTGATTTCAGAGAGCAAGGGAGAGGGAGAGGGAAATAGAAACATCAGTGATGAGGGTGAATCATGGATCAGCTGCCTCTGTGCCCCACTGAGGATGGAGCCTACCACTGGGCATGTGCCCTGATGGGAAATCGTACCCGCACCGGCTGGGCTCCAGAATATTTTCATTTATACTCTGCCCGTCCACGCTCCTTTTGGAAATGCCTCCATCTCCCTCTTTGCTGCTGTTGGTAAAAGGCTTGGTTATCTATGAAGTTGCACATGGCCGGATCCACGCCCCTCAGCCCTGACGAATGCTCAGGTCAGGGAGTCACACACAGTGTTGGGGGCGCCGTGCACCCGCTGTCCACAGCGCAGTTCTTCCAGCAGCTCCCCCGCACACCTCCCCGGCCCCGCTCCTGCCCCGCCGCTCGTCACCGAGCCGGGCCACAAGCCCGGAACAGCTGCCTGGCTCCCTGGAGAGGCTCTGCTCCCCCTGCCTCTGGCTGCTTCCACCTGCTACGCTGGGCGCGTGCTTGGCCCTTCAGAGGCGCTAATAAGCACCATTGATCAGATTGTGCCTCCCCTTCCTCTCCCTCACACAGACGCTAAGAAAAAGTCTGTGTGAGGGACAGCCATAAGCAGAGGATCCAAAACTGCACTTAACCAGATACAGTATGATGTACGCTGGGCCCGTTTGGGAAAGGTGTCTTAAATGGGAGAAGATTAAGCACTCAGAGCGCTCTCCTTTGTGTGTGCAGTCTATAAAATAGCCGCCAGCCAATCCCTCCTTCACACTCGGCAAGTATTGACGTTCCCATCTCTGCCTGCTATCGACCGCACGGCCTGCCGGCCGCTAATTGCAGTTCTGCCCCGGCCGCTCGGGGAGGGTCCTGCCAGTCACACCGACTGCGGCCGAACCGCAGGGCGTGCCTCGTAAACATGGCCCCCAAGGAGACCCCAGCCAGCGAGGTTACGTGTGAATCTGACACTGCTGTCACCAGTGTCATTACAGAGCGGACACTTCCCTCCTTCTCCCGCGAGCACCTGTGTCTGCCGGGTGTGGCTGGCCGGGTGCCCGGGGCTCCGTGGCACAGGGTGGCGCTCGCACAGTGCCCTGAAGCCACACGGTCTGCTGACACAGTGCAAACAGTCCAGTTCCAGTGGTGGGGGGGCTTGTTAACCATTTTCGGAGCAGTTCTGGGTTCACAGCGATAGTGAGCGGAAGGTCCAGACATTGCCCATGCGCCCCGCCCCACAGCACAGCTTCCTTGACCGGCACAGGCTGTGTCTTCTGTGATTCCGAGGTTTAGGTCACAGGCTGGCTGCGGTGAGGTGGGCCGTCTGCTCGCCCACCCGCTCTGCTCCGCGGGTCCCTGTGTCAGGAAGGAGCTGGGCGCCAGAGGGGGAGCGTGAGCTCAGATGCCCCACCTGCACGCAGGGCTGGAGCTTGGGTCTGAGTGACAAAGATCAGATCCAGGGGCCCCAGGGCCTGACATGGTGGTTTACGCTCTGCGAACAATCAGTAAGAACAGAGAACTCCTGTTGGGTTCACGCCTCTCTGTCCCTCTGTCCGCACCTTCTTGCTGATGGAGGTGGGACTTGCGCTCCCAGCACAAAGCAGGGACCTCAGGCCTTTCCCTTACAGGGACCGCCTCAGGGAGGTCCACACAGAAGCTGAGGCGGCAGGGGCCCATGCCCGTCCGGCTCTGGGCCTCCGTGCTGCAGGCACCGCGGGTCGGGACTGGGAGGTGGGGCGCGGTTCTGTGGTGGCTTTGTCTCCTGCGTCTGCTGGACTGACCGGTCTGCCGGAGTGTAAGGGTCACGGTCAGGCCACCCCCTCTCAGCCGCCCAGAGCTCCGTGGCCTTGGGTCGCCCAGGGAGAGGAATGAAGACGTGGGTCCGGAAGCTGGTGGGTGTCTCCGTAGGACCAGTGGGAATTAAGGCAGAAGGAAGCGGTGTGTGTGGAAGGAGCACATGTCATGTGAGGCTCTCTTCATTCTCAAAAGGTGTTTCTGATGCTTCTGCACGATCCCAGCAAGGAGATGGATGCGGCCCCAGGGACAGGGCTGGAGGCGCAACGCCCGAGGCCTCCAGGGCCCACGCCCAGCTACCACGGTGAGTACCGAGTGCGGGGCCTTCCCGAGGGCAGGGCCTAGTCCCCCACAGAGCCCTGGCTTTGGGGTTGGACAGAGAGAGACTGAGGCAGGGCCGGTGTGGCTGGACGGGAAGGAGAGGTTTGAGCAGGAAGCTCAGGGTTTCCCCTCTCCGGGCTGCGAGTTGGGAAGTTCAGGTGCCTCTGCTAGGGCCTCAGGCCTGGCTTATACGGTGCCTGTGGCCGCCCACGCCGTCACAAGGGCCTGTGCACTGGCCGTGGAACCAGTAGCCCACACTCCGTCCATCGCCCTCGGTGGACACACGGATGTTCCCACAACTCAGCTGCAGGGAATGTGCATGCAGGCATCTCTGTGAGATCCTGAGGCAGACTCTCTCGGATAAATGCCCAGAAATGGGCCCCTGGCTCCCCACAGCCCCAGGGAGGGTCTGTTCCCACATTGGCGAAAGCCAGCAGGGCTGGCGGCAGCGCTTTGCAGACAGCAGTCTGCGCAGATGAAGGGGATCGACATGGGCGTGGGCGGACAAATGCTGGGCAGATCGGAAGCAGCGGCTCCTATTAGGGCTGTGGGGGTCGGGGAGGCGAAGGCCTGAGCCCCGGTGCAGCGCAGACCAGAGCTGCGAGAGCATGCCAGGTGGTGACAGGCGCTCTGGCCCTGGGTGAGGGCCACAGGCATGTGGTCCTCCAACCGAGCCCCATCCCCTTCCCGACTCCCTCCTTCCTGAGGACAGGCGCCTGGGAACGTCCGGGCAGCCCTGCCCTGCTCACCTCTCCCAGCTCCTCCCCACCTGCCAGCGGCACCCGTGCTGGGCTCCCGCCGGCCACGTCTGTTCTGCTGACATGTTGTCCTGGTCCGACTCCCTTCCAGGTCCGAGAGCCCGAGCCTGTAGTCAGAGAGGATGTGATGTGGGCCCTGCCAGTGCTCACGGGCAGCGAGCACCAGCTTTGTTCCCACACTGAGCCCTTCTCCGCCCCTCCCGAACTGGGCGCATTTATAAACGAGACATTTCATTACACCCATTTTAAGGTTCATTTCAGCTCTAAAACTCTGCAACTCACTGAACACTGATTAAGTTTCTATTTCATAAAACCGGCTTCATTTTTGGAATAAGTACACAGCGCTTATTGATTACAAGATGCCCAAATACTCATTGTGGAAAAACCCCAGAATGTTTTGAAGAAAAAATTTAAAGTAGCCATGTTTTTATCACATAAAAAATATAAACGTTGTAAGTCGGTTGGAGATGCATGAGCTGCTTTAACTTCTGAACACAAGCCATCACGCAGTCACAGGGCCCAGGGGGAGAAGCTGTTTCGTGAGAGGCGGCGTATTTCGTGGGAGTGCATGCATCCACATGTGTCTTCTGTGAGCGATGTCTGTCCGGCGCTGCTCTGTCACACACGTGGCTCATCTGACACTTTCCTACGCACACAGTTCACGTTTCCACCCTCTCATTTCCCGGCCGTGTTTCCCCTACCACCGCTTTACAGTTAGATGTTCCTCCTACGAGCACACGTCGTTCATTCATGGCGCGCCGCGGGCACGCCCTGTCGGCATGCGGGGCCTCCTGAGGGCGGGCTCAGCTCACTGCGCTGGTGTTCACCGGTTCAGTCCACCCCGAGCAGACAGGGAAGCCTTTTCCAGCTCCTCGCTACTGCTTCCTGCGAGATGCCACAGCCCTTGTTTGATATTCTTGACGAATTCCAACGGACCCAGCTGGTCTCCTGCAGAGAGACTGCCCCTGCCGCAGCCCCGGGAGCCGCCCGGTCTCCCACGCTCCCTCTCAGGGTGGCCACCCGTGGTCTCTACCGCACTGGTGAGCTGACACTAACCTCTGCTCTACCTTATGTAGTCGGGTGTGGCCCTTTGTGGGGTGTCTGTAAGCTGCATGTCCATTAATGTTTGAACATCGAAGCCACCAACGCCCCTCCCCCCAAAAATTCTTTGTTTGTTCCCCTGAGCGACGGACCGTCAGGGCCTATGTGGATGCAGTCACGGCTGTGACCGAGTCCTCGGGCGTGATTGTCCTCGTAGGTCAGACGACCACTCCCAGCACTGGGTTCAGCATTTCAGTTCTGTCTGTCACATTATTCATGTGGATGCTGTTATGAGTTAGCCACGAATATTTGGTGGTTGATTCATGGCCATGGACTATCTTGGCCTTTTACTTTCCCATTTACTTTCCAATTAGCGTGGTGGGGGAGGGGAAATTCATTTTTCTTAATGTTAGCGAAGCCTTTTCCCCGACGTACTGAGCCAGTGTGGTGAGCACGTCTGTGACCGAGGCCGACGCTGTCTCTGTTCTGTGGTTCAGTGAGTGACAGTCCTCGTCACTGAGAGGGACTGTCCCCAGTCCTTACAGCTGAGGAAGGACATGCCGAGAGGGCAGGCCATTTCCCAGAAGCCACCCAGTACGTGTGGCTGAAACTCCCCCAGCTGGTGGGTCTCTGGGCCAGGCCATGGGTGCCTGGCCTCCCTCTGCCTCTGCCCCTGCCCTCCACCACCAGGCCCGTTTCTGAGCGGAATCCACACGCAGGTGGTCTGTCTCCTCCTTTCTGTTCCGCCTGCCGCCCGGACAAGAACTCTCACGCCATGTGTCAGAGCCCTTCCCACTGCACCCTCTGAGGAGGCAGGGCTGTTGCCATCGATGTCTGAGGTGACCTGTTGGGTGGGCTTTTCCAGAGCGCTCACTCAGCGAGGGGTCGTCTCTGTTCAGAGCTGCCTGGGTTTACAGTGGACGGGAGGCCAGAGTCTGCGCCCCAGGTGAAGGGTCACAGCCAGGGCCCAGGTGAGGGGTCACAGCCAGGGCCCAGGTGAGGGGTTGCAGCCAGGGCCCAGGTGAGGGGTCACAGCCGGGCCCAGGTGAGGGTCGCAGAGCCGGCTGTGGGGCCCTAGGTGACTGGGCCTGTGTTCTTGTCCCACAGCCGGTGCCCCTGCCAGCGCCCTCACACAGGTGGCCGCCCTGCTGACCCAGAGGCTGTGCCGCACGCGCCGGGCCTGGAGGGGCGCGCTCTGTGACCTGCTGCTGCCCGTCTTCTTCGTGGCCTTGGCCATGAGCCTGTTCCTGGTGAGGCCTCTGGCCACCGACTACCCTGCCCTCCAGCTCACGCCCGGCCGCTTCGGCAAAGCCCAGACCTCCTTCTTCAGGTGAGAAGCCTGCGCCTTCGCTGTGAGGGTGATGCGGCAGCCTGGCCCCAGGTTCCTGTCTCCAGGCACCGCAGCTCCCCAGGTGCCACGCCCCCGTGAGTGCCGCTGGCTGACCTGCCCGGGCCCCGCCACGCCAGCCCACGCCGTGAGCGGGCACAGAGAGCCGGGCCTCTGGACGGGAGGTCTCTGGATGGAGCTCTCACTCCTCCACTCCTTCCTCCGCGCGCTCCCCGCTGGGGCTCATGGGGGCGTCGGGCTCAGGGCCTCTTCCTCCATCAGGGGGGGCCCTGGGCCACGCGCCCCTGCGGCTTGGAGCCTCCGAGGTCTTCCTGGTCCCAGCCCGGCTCTGCAGCCGGCCTTCAGGTCGCAGTCCTGAGCTGCCGACCCTGGGGAAGAGCCCAGGCCCCGAAGCTGCTCATCAGCACAGGCTCCTCGGAGGGGAGTGGGGTGGGGAGAGCACGCAGGCTACTCTCCTCCCAGCCCCCCTTCCCTCCCCCCTGCCCTCCTGCTGTGTGAGCCCCACCTGCAGCAGGGGCATGGGGAGGGACCAGGCAAGGGCACGGAGGCCCTCAGGGTGGTGTGCCGGCCCCGCTCTGTGCAGCAGGTTGCGGGGTCAGGATGGACGTGGCCCTCGGAAGTGCTGTCGCGTAGAGAGCAGGGTCCCCTCAGAGCTGCCGCAGGAGCCACAGGAGGCGCTGGCTTCCACCCCACCCCGTTCCGGGCCCCGCAGAGCAGTCCTGGGGGAGCGAGCTTTGGGTTTTGTGGCAGCAGGACAAGCAAAAGCCAGTGGTTTGTTTTTTCAGTGACCCCTAGCCCAAAGCAACAAAACAGTAAAAAGTAAACCATGGCTTTAAATCTTGTGCTCAGTCATTATTCGAAGGAAACTACCTTATGGATCAATACTTTCTCCCCAGAAGAAGCGTTTTTTCTTGGACTAATAGGTCAAAGGAGGGCAGTGCGGAGCCCTCTCACAGATGGCGCAGGGACATTCCCTTTATGAGCAGCTTTTCGGGAAATGCGTCTCTTTCACTGTGGACCGGCTTTCTCACTTGCCAGAAACTCGAGGGTGTTTGTGCAGGGGCCACACCGCCCACGTCCGGGACATAACGTGGCTGTAAGCGTCAGCGTTTCCATCTCCCAGCATTCTGCCTGCGGCCGTGGGGACTCATATTGGACCAGTCATAAACCATGCTGCCTTAACAGTAAAAAACCCAGTTACTTTTATTAGCAAAAAATTCTCTGGTATTGCAGTTTAGGATAAGGAGGCTGTATCGAAACCAGGCAAGTTGAGCAAACAAAGGAGAGAGAACGTCACAGAGACAGAGAGACAGAGAGAGAGACAGAGGAGGCAGTTTGGGGGGGGGGGGGCGCTGGCGCTGTGACTGCAAGTCTGAAGGAAAAGGAGGGTTCAGGGGGGAGATGGCTTCTCATTGGCTGAATTGGGGGGCTTCCCATTGGCTGAGCTAGTTGCTGGGCAAGGAGAAAACCTTCCTCCCCCGGCTGGGGTTGGACTACAAAGCAAGTCCCTTCCGTGGGCTGTGTCCTGAGGGCCCCCCGCAGGCCCCCACCCCACATAAAGAGGTTTTCCTCACTCGTGTCACAGCCGCCTGAGTAGTCACAGGTGGGGCTGAGCTGAGTCCCAGAAGGAGGTGCTTTGCTGTAACTGCCTCTGGGGTGGGCTGCGGCGGAGCCTGCGTGGTGACGGCTCTGGAGCAAGCTGTGCTCAGCAGAACACTCCATTTCACGTTCCCCCGGAAGCCAGAGGCCAGAGAAGGCCAGCTGCGGGAGGGACGCACCAGCAGAGGCGGAGAGCAGGCCCGCCATTTCAGGGCAGCGGTGACGTCACACCTGGTTCAGCAGGCGCTTTTTGAGAACGTGCTGTGCTCCAGCCACTGCCTCGCTCCGGGACCACGGGCTCCAGGAGGGAGAGTGAGCAGCCAGGCCGGAAAGCCAGTGGAGATGCTGTCAGGGTCCCTGGGCGAGAAGGCTCATGGGAAGGAACTTAGTGCTTCTGGGGGAGGGGAGGCAGTGGTTTCCAACCAAGTAGCAGTACAGGGGTGCCCCTCGGAGGAAGTTTCAGAAGGTGCTTCCGCTGGGAGGGCTGGGTGTTTGTCCCAAGATGTGCAGGTCTGAGAGTGCGGAGGGATTTAAATGCTATTGCCAGGCTCCCCCGTAGGCAGCCAGGAGCCCATGGTAAATTTTGAGCATAAAAATGTCAGATTGGTCTGTTAGAGGCTCAGAGAAGGGACTAGGAAATGTAGGGATCCCGACGTGGGGGGCTGCCCGGCACAGGCATGGTCGTGGCTTCTCATTCGGGGCTCTGACTGCTCTCGGGATGTGGGGGGCAGCAGCCCAACGCCTCGGACGTCCCTGTGCTGAGTGCTGGGAACCATCCAGAAAGCCACTGGCCATGGACAGGGAGATGGAGCAGACACGGGGGCGGAGGAGGACAGAGGCTCTGTTCCCGGAGAAGGAGCCGCTGTTGAAGTTCCTGGACAGAAACGACTGTGCAGGGTTCCTGTGTGCGCTCCTCCCCAGAAGGCCCAGGTGGCCGTCCGCATCGTCATCCTTTCTGCTACAGCGCCCGCGTCATTGTTTTGGGACACAGGTTCCCACGGTGTGTACTCTGGAAGCATTTTATGACAGACGTGATGTAAGCCTTAGACAGCCTTAAACCTGCCTTTGTAATCCTGTCACCCAGAACTGTCATTGATTTAAAGGAGCCTACAGCCCAGCGTGAGAGGACTACAGGGTGGCTCCCCTCCGTTTTCTCACATTGGGATGTTTCCCACATGGATATGGACAGTTTCACCTGGGGTTCCACCTGCCCCCCAACCCAGGAGGAGAGCCTGCCTTCCGCTGGGGGTCTCCCCGAGGGCCCTGGTTCCTCAGGGGCCTGAGCTGTGGGCTGACCCCGGAGACCTGTGTGCCTGCAGTGCCCAGGGTTCTGTGTGGGGACTCCTGGGAGCAGGTTTGAGAGAGAACGCACGGAGCCGGAGCCGGCGACAGGCACAGAGGGTGTCACTGCGGGCGGAGAGGGCGCAGGCTCTGCCCGCCGCTCTCCAGGAGGCACAGAACGTTGGCAGAGACTTTACATAGTGACACCACGTAATATTATGCAGCCTTTGACGTTCATTTTAAAAGCCATGAGAACGCCACAGACGGCGATGTTACATTAAGTGAGAAGATGAGGAAAGGATGCCCCTGAGCAGGTGTGCCAGAGGGTCCTGGTGGGACTTGTGAGCTACAGAAATTTCTCATCTCCTTCCTGGTTTGGCTTTACCATGAAAACCGAACAAGCCGCTTGCCTGAGCTGCCGGAACCAGCTGTGGCCAGCCTGGCCTGGCACGTGGGGTCAGACCTGCCTGTGGCCACCGTCAGACACCCCCCCCCCCCCTTGTCTCCTGACAGCAGTGACAGCGATGGCATGGAGCTGGCCCGCGTGCTTTTGCGAGCCTTTGGAAACGGGGAGCAGCCCTGCGCCAGCCTCGGACCCGGCCCGTGAGTACCAGCTGCCCCCAGGCACCCCGCTGCCACTCAGCATCCAGACGGGACGGCTCCCCCTGACTTGTAGTCACTCAGGGAGCCTCTGCCAGCCGGGATGTAGCACAGAGCGGGGTGGACTCTCAGTGACCTGAAATAACTGCCCAATCGCCCCTTCTGCTCAGTGAACACTGGGCTTATATCATTGGAAACACACGCATCAGTTATTTCCAGGCTCCTTTCTGTGGAGAAACCGAAGCTAAACAGGAAGTAGCAGCTACAGGCGGTGTATTCCTGCCGTCTTCCTTGAGGGAACACGTGTGTGTGTGTGTGTGTGTGTGTGTGTGTGTGTGTGCGCGTGCGAACAGTGAGCTGGATTCTCCTTAACGGAGGGGCTTCTGCCAGTGCTTCAGTGGGGGGGGCAAAGGGCCTTGAGTATTTCTTCCCAGGACGTGAGGGGACCCTACAGGCATGGCCGTCAGTGAGGATTGCCGGAGGAGCCGGCTTTCTCGCTAAGTCACCCCCACCCGTTACTTACTGAGGAGCTGCGTTAGGCAGCGCTGTGGCGGGAACCAGGAGGCTGTGGGCACGGCCTGGTCTCAGGCGTTGATACATCATCGTGGTTTCCATCTCCCACCACCCCTGCCACCCCGACCCCGGGTAGAGCAAATGGGGCGGTGGGGGTGAAAACCACGATGATGTATTAAGGACGGCAGAGCGTGTTTCCAGTGATAAATGTGAAACCCGGACGACAAGGCCCTGCTGGGAATGCCTCTCTCTAATTCACGGTGACACTCTCGCCATTAGTCATGGGGGCCATTAGCTGCAGACGGAAGAGCTGTTAATGGCATCAGCAAGGGGGAATTAATAGAAAATTAATTAGGTTGTCTCCCTTTAGTTCTCTTCTGAAAAACAAGCAATCGCTTAACTAAATAAAGCTCCTCGGCGACACTCTCATTGCCGGGACTGCGGCGAGCAGGACGTGAGATGGCTGCGGGGGGACTCCCGTCTGGGCGCCGTCCCTCCAGGCCGGGCCAGAGAGGGGCGCGGAGAGACGGTCCTGTGGCTGGTCTCTCGAGGGAAAAGGCGCAGAGTCCACGCCAACAGCAGCGCAGGCTCTCCAGTTCCGTGCGGGCAGCAGTTTCCCCTTTAGGTTCTGACGGGCAAGGCCCGGGCCCCCAGCGCCCCCGCCCAGCCTCAGCCACTCGGCCTGTGTCCTGCTCCTCCCTTCCTCTGTACCCACACAGCCTGCTCCTCACTCCCTCCTTTTCCTGGTCAAAGCCGGGCTGCGGCTGCCCCATGCAGGGTGCTGGGCGCCTCCTTGAAGAGAAAGGGACTCCGAGCAGCACAAGCAGCCCGTGGCCGCTCAGTCTGAGCCCACAGCCACGCGCCTGCTTACACGGGGCATTGCCCTCCGGGGTGTGCAGTGTGGCTGAGGCAGCGAAGCCCATGCGCTCCCCCCGTTGGCCCGCCTCCACCCGCTTCAGAGAGCAGGCCGCTGCCTCTGCTGAGACTGAGCGGTCCGGTCTGCAGAAGCCACCCGCCTGGGGCCTGCGCTGCCGAGCGGTTCTCCTAACGGTGTGCGGTCCGGACTGAAGATGTGCGGGCGTTGCTGACTTAGGAACAGGTGGTGGTTTAATATCAGACTCATTTCCCGAGGCGAGCACCCCGCTGACCCCGGACGCTTCCCTCCACGATTCCCAGGCGAAATGGGCCTTCCCCATTCCTGCTGGTCTTGTATCTGCACATTGAAGGTGGAGTTAGCGGTCAGATAGCCCTTTGAACTCGTAAAGCCGCGTGGGGCGGGGCGGAGCTCTCTGTGCAGGACTCCACGGCAGCCACGGGGGGCCTCTCGGTGGGACCCCCAGTCCCGGGCGGCCCTGGTGGTCCTGCGTGTGCTGCCTAAGAGGGAGCGTGGGAGGAGAGCAAGGGAGGTTGGAACAGAGAGGATTCCGTTTGGGGAGAAATGCGCGGTTACAAGCACTCGCTAGCAGCCATGGGAGGCGCCGGCGGGCAGCCTGCTGAGCGGGAGGATAAACGGAGCCCCCTACGGGGGGAAGGATCGCCTCGCAGTTCCACGGAAGGCCATCCCCACGTGCACACTAGGTCTCCAGTGGAGACCCCAGTGGCTGCCCAGAGCAGAATGGAGGTGTGACGTCATCGTTTATACTTTAGAAAACGCGCTGGAACCGCCCTCTGCCAACCTGGTGATAGGAACACCAGCTTCTTTTCACCGGGCACACGTGTCCCTCCGTGCTCCGTGCCCTGTGCTCCGTGCTCTGCCTGCAGCGGAGGTGAAGGGCCGCCTCACCGCCAGGCCAGCGCTCCTGCCTGCGGCTCCCGGAGCCTGGGCCGAGGACCATCCACGCCAGCTGCCTCCCCTCCTGCCCGGTTCCTGAGTAAACGGGAATGTTATCGCTAAAGCAACTTTTGACTTGGAAACGTGTATACTCACAGCATGAGGCTGAGAGGAAACAGCTCTGGGACTTTGGAATGAAAGGGTTTTGCACTACGGCTGCCGGTTGTTCCATAACAACCTGTTGTCAGGCCTCCATGTGGAACGGAGCCGTAGATTCCTCTTTAAACGTGACCGAGTGCGTGTTTGTGTCTGCGTGTCTGCGTGTGCGCGGGGCGACAACAGGGGCTCACATGCATGTGGCTGCTGTGCTGCTGCTGAGGGCGCTGGGATTTGAGACCAGGACTCCCCCCCCCCCCCCCCCCCGCCCCAGTCCACCCCTGGCTGGGCATCCGTGGCCGAGCATTCAGGGAGCCTGTCCTGACATCTGCATGGGGGGACGAAGGGGGCGTGGGGGGCGGTCCCGCTGGGGGGACGAAGGGGGCGTGGGGGGCGGTCCCGCTGGGGGGACGAAGGGGGCGTGGGGGGCGGTCCCGCTGGGGGGACGAAGGGGGCGTGGGGGGCGGTCCCGCTGGAGGGACGGGTCTGGGACGCGCCTGCCGTGCCTCGCCCAGAGCGGTGTACAGCCTGAGCCTCCCTTGGCCTGTTGCTTCCGCAGGACGAACGCCTCCTGTTGGCGCCCGGAGCCCTGGTCTCGCCCCGGAGCCCCGGGGTCCTGCGGCTGCCGGGTAGGTCTAGTGCATTCTGGTTTTTAAACGTCTGCACCTCAGGTACCGATGTTCACTTCCTTATAAATCCTCGTGTCTAACTCTGAGTCCTCGGGGTGGGAGGCCCATCCAGGAGGGAGCTTCCTGCCCTCGGACGTTACGGACGTCACGTGGCTCCCCGCGGCCCTTGTGTACGCTTCGGCCACGCCGGGAAGCTGGCCTGCCTTGGGAGAAACCTCCCCCTTTGCAGGGAAGACAGGCTCCGTCACTCGCTCTCTCCGTGAGCTCTGAGGACGGTTAAAGGCCAGGATGCCGCCCGGTCTCCGAGGTCGCTGATGCCCGCTGAGCGGAGTGCGGCAGAGGCTGGCCGCCCCTGTGAGGCTCAGGTCGGATCCCCTGGAAACTGGTTGGAATTCGTTTCAGAGGAAATCTCAGCGGCAGCTGAGGCAGGCGTCGGCCTGTCAGCCAGTCAGCAGCTCCCGGGGACCCAGGGACAGAAGAGGAGACTCGGGCTTCGGAAGCTGGCACGAAAGCCCAGCCTCACGTCCTGGAGCCGTGAGGGTCCCAGTGCGGGATCTTTCCTGAAGGTCCCGAGATGGGGAGGAGCACAGGATCCAGGTCCCAGTAGCAGGCAGGGCGCCTGTGCAGCCCGCCTCCCTGGTCCTGCCTGGGGCGCCCCCTGCTGGGCAGTCAGGCCCTGGTTCTGAGCAGCGAGGCACCTGAGAGGAGCAGGTTGGCTTCTGCTTGAGGCTCTTCAGAGAAGCCCGCCCCGAATTCACCCTCGTTCTCCTGCCCCCGCCTAGGCCCGGGCTCTCCCCGGGCCACAGAGGCGAGGCAGCACTTTCCCTGTGGAGTGCTCACAGACCGCGCAGGCTTACACGCAGCCTTCCGCTCCCCCGCCACTGCCCCAGGCCCAGGGTTCCGTGTCCTCGCAGACGGCCCGGGGGTGTGGGAATCGGAGCACAGACATCGGGGGACTGAGCGCTGCAGCGATGTCTCACTTAGCAACATCAGCAAAGCTGCTCTGCGGGTTAAGAACCAGATTCTCTTCTCTCCCTAAAAGCCCCGGCAGAGCTGCCCCAACGCCAGTGCCCGGGCCCCCGCCCTGACCGACCGCCGGGGCCACACGCTGCTGAACCTGTCGGCCGTCCACCCCGAGGAGTACCTGCTGGTGCCTGCGGAGAGCCCCAGGTGGGTGCGGCCGGGGCGCGGGGCTCCTTGGGGCGTGAAGTCTCCCAGGCGCTTTGGGGTGACAGGCCCCCGGCCACTGACGTGCCCTGGGCACCCCTGGTCGTGTCACCGCCCAGAGCGGGAGCAGCTCAGGGGCGATGCCCCTCAGACCCTCTTCTCTCGGCGCCCCTCGGGCCGTGTGTGCCCGCTCCCGTGGGAGGGAGAGCTGCCGTGTGTGGGCTCCCTGAGCCTCGGGGGAGCCTGGGCGGGAGCGGGAGGGCCTCCGGTGGCTGTGGATCCAGCCACAGCCCGCCCCGTCAGGGCGCACCCGCACGGAGGCAGCGGGAGCGTGGGCTCCGGATGGCTGGTCTGCAGAGAAGGAGCCTTAGTGGCCATTAGAGTGTGGCCACCGTGGCCACGTCCTGCACGTGGCACCCAGGTCCTCAGCAGGCGGTGAGTGCCAGCAGCCACGGCGGAGCCTCCTGTAGGCCCCTGTCTGAGCAGCTCCCCGACCCGGCCTTGTGAGCTGCCGTTCCTCCGGCTGCTGACCCACCGGTTGGCCATGTCTCCGGGCTGATGCTCAGCGCTGCTCTCCCTGGGCCATTAGGATCAGCGCGGTCCGGACGAGCGCCCGTGTGGGGCCGCGTGCCCTCGGCGAGGCGCTGACCGCGCTCCCTCCCCCAGGCTTGGAGGCTGGTCTTTCGGAGGGCGAGGCCTGGATCCTGCTCAAGAGGCTCACTCACACCGGCCAAAACCAGAACGCCTGGCCAAGGTAGTCGTTCTTGTTTGTTTTACCCGGTCGGAGGCAGTTAGGGCATCACACCTGAGGTCCTGGTACATTGTGGGCTCAGGAGGAACCAGGCCAGTCCCAGTGCGTGTTCCTGTGGAGTCAAAACCGTTCAGGCCTGAGCGAGAGCCACAGAGCACACGGCACTGTCAGTCAGGACCAGACCCGCCAGGACACCGAAGCACACGGGAGGGCTGGTGCAGGACAGCTGGCAGCGCCCCGGGGCCCAGGGGCAGGATTCTCTGAGCCTTAGGGACGGTCCCTGTGTCCCCGAGATCGGGCAGAGGGCTCCTGAGGTGCGGGGAGGAGGACAGGGAGGACGGAGGCCTCCCACCTGTGGGAGCTCAGAGGTGCTGAGTCCCAACAGGGCTGTCCCAGGGAGGCCACAGGCCCCACTCACCTGCACACGCGATCCCCGATGGATGACACATTGAGTTGCTGTGCAGACTGTCCGGCGACCCCTCCTTCAGCAGGCAGCACTCGGTCCATTCCCTCTAGGAACAGTTTAGCTTTCATCGCACTCTCCCGAACCCCGCTGTGCACGTGGGTGCGTCTTTGCTGGCGTCGGGGCCGCCGCCGGCTCCCAGCCTGTGCGGCCGGGTGTGTGGCCCCTTGCGGAGCCGCCTCTGGGCGGAGCTTGGTCTCCTGACTGGCCTGTTGGACGAGGGCCTTCCTCCTTCTGGCGGTGGTTGATCTGAGGACGTCCAAACCTGCAGATAATTTTTCTAAATTTCCTGCAGAGAATTTTTGAGTTTATTTGAGCCCAACTGAAAACCTGCTGGGAAGCAAGACCTCAGACGCCCCGAGGACACGCCACAGTGTCTTTCCTGCGTCTGGAACGGAGGCGAGGCGGGAGAGGGCGGGCGGGACTGTCTCTGTGAGGGTCTCACAGGAGCGCTCACCTGGGGCACAGGGACCGTGGGACCCGTGGGCAGGGCTGGCCTGAGGCAGAGGTGACCGTGGGAAAGGTTACCTGCCTGGGAGCGTCCTCCCTGAGCTTCTGTTAGACTTCGTGGTCAGACGGCCCGCCATGAGGTCGCGGCTGGTAGGCGTGCAGCCGGGCGAGCGGTCCTCGGGGTGTTTGGCGGTACTTGGCCGGGCACAGCCGTGCTGGCGGCTGCCTTGGGCACATGTTTAATTTCTGTGACAGTCTCAGTCGCCGTGTGCGTCCCAGCTATGAGCAGGGGGGCTCTTCACCGCCGTGCCCACTCACCGCTGGCCAAGCTCACCAGCTGAGTGCCTCGTCCGAGCGGAGGGGATGGAGGCGCCCGGGAGGTGCCGGCCGGGGCTGTGGGTGCAGTCCAGCCGAAAGCTCGGGGCCCAGAGCATGGAGCCGGGGAGGCGCAGGCCTGTGTTCCAGCCTCCACGGCCCCACTTTGGTTTCTGTACCATTGTACGGTGTCATTGTTAAGATGAAAAAAGCCACCCTACTTTTAAAACAAACAAGTGAAAAAGGAAACGTGAAACCCCCCTGATCTGAGACAAAGACACCACCGTTCCTGCCTTCTCCTCCGGCTCAGCACTGGGAGGCAGGTCGCGGGCAGTGGGGGTGCCGTGTCCACAGGCAGAGGTGTTCTCCCTTTGGTCCCTCGACCTTCACAGGCTCCCAGGCCTCCGTCACGGCCAGAGCAGGCGGGTGCCTTGCGGGCTGCGGGCGAGAGCCAGTTCAGTCCCGCGTGCGGAGCCTCGCTGAGTGGGGGCAGGAGGCAGGCGCGCCCGTGGTGTGACACCAATCCTTCGGGCGGCACGTAGTCTGTGCTCCCCTGGGGTCTCCAACCTGTTCCTCCCCTGCGACTATTAGCCGGCTGCGGGCTGGCCGCCCGGGGCTCCAGCGGGTCCTTCACTTGGAGCGGGGGGGGGGGGGGGGGGGGGGGTGGCGAGGGCTTTCTCTGCGGCCGAGAAAACACTGAGGAGGCAGGAGAGTGGCCTCTCCACGAGACAGGTCTGCCTCCCGCTGCAAAGGAGGTGGTTGTCCCAGGGAGTGGGGCTGAGGGGTGTCCTTTTTAACCATGTGGACAGTGCGACGAGGTGGGAAGACGGCTCGGGAGCCGGGACGGAGCTGGTCCTGACGCGGCATCAGCTGGGACAGTGTGGCCGCCCGAGCGCGCACTCTGGGAGCGGCCAGCTCCGCAGCCGGTCTGTCAAGGGACGGGCTGTCCGTCAACAGAGCGAGGGCCAGAGTTTGCTGGTTGATGTCCTTCCTCCTCCTCCTCCTTTTTCTTCTTCTTTTTTAAGAAAATGTTTTTTGTTTATTTCCGGAAAGAGAGGAAGGGAGAAGGAGAGCGCAGCATCGATGTGTGAGGGGAACATCCACAGGCTGCCCCCTGCCAGGGACCGAGCCTGCAGCCGGGCACGTGCCTGACCCAGAATCGAACTGTGCCCTTTTGGTGCCCGGGGCGCTCAGCTGCTGGGGCGCACCAGCCCGGGCGATGCCCTGACTTCTTCAAGACACTCGCCACTTTCTCTGGAGGTTGTTCTGAAATTCTCTTAAACAGGAACATTTGGAGACACGGATACTGATGGCTCAGCCGGCACTGCTTATGTTACCTGGTGCTCAGCGCCATAACGTCGCCCGTCTGTCCCCTCCCTTCCCCGGCGTCACTCTCACGCTCAGCAGATGCTCAGCTCCCTTTGTTTTAAGAAACAATGTTCCACATTCGGTTATTAATTTGAAAGTAATCTTTTTTTAGTCATTTTCCCCACTTTTAATTTGCAGGTCAAATTTCATTAGCTTACCAGCCGAGAAAGAAAAAATGATGGCTTTAGTTTTTTCCTCGCTGTGAGAATACAATTATAGAGCAACATTCACATTTGTTCTGGGGAAATTAATCTATTTTTAGCTGTGAATTACATGCGTGAGATAAATGTGAAATGAGCAGACGGGCGCTCACCGCTCACGGTCCGCTGTGCACGGACACGGCTCTGAGGGGAGCGTTCGGGTCCCGCCAGGCAGAGGGACACGCGTGGCCTCGGTCTGAGAGGAGCTGAGGAGCGGAGGGCGGGGCGCCTGAGCTGTCCTCCCTCCCAGGTGTGGTACAGCCAGCAGGCCCCCCACGCCCTCCCCGCCTGAGCTGTCCTCCCTCCCAGGTGTGGTACAGCCAGCAGGCCCCCCACGCCCTCCCCGCCTGAGCTGTCCTCCCTCCCAGGTGTGGTACAGCCAGCAGGCCCCCCACGCCCTCCCCGCCTGAGCTGTCCTCCCTCCCAGGTGTGGTACAGCCAGCAGGCCCCCCACGCCCTCCCCGCCTGAGCTGTCCTCCCTCCCAGGTGTGGTACAGCCAGCAGGCCCCCCATGCCCTCCCCGCCTACCTGAACCACCTGAGCAACCTGCTCCTGTGGAGGCTGCTGCCACCGGCCGAGGACTGGACACAGTACGGTGAGGACTGGACACTGTCCGGTGAGCCCCACGCAGAAGCCAGCCCGCAGCGCGCAGGGCGGAGCCTGAGGCGGGGCCCTGCTCCTGTCGGGTCATCACAGGCTCCTCCTCGGGGCTGGCCTCGCTGTGCGGGGATGCGGGGACGGAGGGCTCTCGCCAGCGGGGCTGGCCTGAGGGGCTGGCCTCACAGGGGCTGGGCGCTCCAGACTCTCCTGCGGGCGGGGCTCTGCCATCACCGGGACCTCGGGCAGGGAGGTCAGCCCCGGTGCCCGGGCCTGGGCAGAGCCCACAGGAGCCCCCGGGCACAGAGGCCTGTGCAGGGGAGGCCCGGCTCACTTTCCGTCTCCCGCAGGAATCACTCTCCACAGCCACCCGTACGGAGGGGCCCTGCTGAACGAGGACAAGATGTGAGCTGAGGGGCGACTGGGGTGGGCGGCTGTGGGACGGGATCCCGGGGTGACGTGGGTTGATGCTGCTCTGCATGTGCCTGGGGGGGGGGCACGTGGCGTTGGTGACCGCTAGCTGCCCCTGCCCTGCTCCTGGGGCTGCTGTCTGCGGGGCCAGCCTCAGTCTTAGCCACAGCCCTGCAGCGGCCACTCGGGCGCCTTTCACTGTAACTGGGCCGGGTTCAGTGTCAGGAGCAGCCCGAAAGCCCCTTCGCTTCGCCTCCTCGGCTATGCCCCGTGCGTGGGCGCAGTGCCCGCTGCCGGGAAGTGGTGGGTGGATGAGTTTCCAGTGTGTCCCCCCCACCGGCCCGGCCAGACAGAGGCCCGCTCTGCGCCCCTGACGAGCTGCTGTCGCCCGCAGCCTGGAGAGCATCCGGCAGTGCGGCGCGGCCCTCTGCATGGTGCTGGGCGTCTCCGTGCTGGCCGCCGCCATTGGCAGCTCGGCGGTCAGGGACCGGGTGAGCGGGGCCAAGCGGCTGCAGCACCTGAGCGGCCTGGGCTACGGGGCCTACTGGTTCGCCCACTTCCTGTACGACATGGTACGCTGGGTACTTCCCAGTCCCCGCCTGCACGCGACATGTTCGTGTGTGTGTGTGTGTGTGCGCGCGCGTTGGGTGCACATGTGTGTGTGTGTGTGCACACGTGTGTATGCTTGCACATGAGTGTGGTTGCATTTGGGGGCTGGCCACCTCAGACTGACACAGCAGGATCATTTCACTGGCAAAGCATTTCGGTGAAGTCCTGCCGTCACCGAGGCTCCTGGCAGATCCTGCCTCGGCCCCGGCGTGGAGCTCAGCCTCCAGGGCCCTTTGAGCATGTCCGTGCCTCAGCGCCGCGGCCTCAACCTTTCCGGCGGGTGTGTGACCCACACCGGGGCTAGGACAGGGACGCTTCCCAGAATGCCTCGGGGCTGCCCGGCTGGGGGACTGTCCGCACACTCAGCCCGGGGAGGTGTGAGGTCTCAGCCCAGACTGAGGGACACTGATCAGGAGAGGACACAGCTGCCCCGATCCACATCCACTCAGCAGGGCCACTGCCCAGGCCTGCTCCCGCCTGTCCCCGTGTCGCATGCGGCTTCCCAGAGAGATGGGCAGAGGGTAGGCCTGAGGGGCCGCACCTCCGGGACCCTGAGGCCCTGCCTTGATGGTGTCCCCATGGCCGCCCTGTGCCTCTGTGTCCTCTCCTCTTCCTGGGGGACACCGGCCGCAGTGGCCTTGGTCCGGCCTTCCTCTCCTCTTGCCGGGATCACCCTCGGCAAGCCCAGCTCAGGTCCATCTCCAGGACCCCCCCCCCCCCCCCCCCGGGCTCAGGCCAGCCAGCCCTGGAGCCTGCGGCGGCACCACAGGACCATGCAGCCTGGCGGGTGTGTGTGCGCCCGTGCCGCAGCCTCCCCTTGTCTCCCAGCTCTTCTACTTGGTGTCCGTCGGCCTGTGCGTTGCCGTGGTCGCGGCCTTCGGATTGCCGGCCTTCACCTTCCGAGAGAACTTGGCGGCCACCGTCCTCCTGCTGGTGCTGTTCGGGTGCGTGACCTGAAGCCTCACGGCCGCTCAGCCTGGCCCGCCTGGAGCCGGGAGCCGGGAGCCGGTGGCTGAGCCGCCGTGGCCGCGTGCTCCTGGCTCCCTTCTAGCGAGGAGGCTGCTCCCACAGGGAGCTGCGGGGCCGAGGGGCCGAGCCGGGGGGTGCCAGGCCCCTGGAGCCAGGAGACGCCCCGGGTGTGGAAGGCGGGGCCGCCCCGCTCCGTGCACACAGGCAGGAAGTGAGCACGTGTCCCTCACTTCCAGGTATGCGACCCTCCCAGCCATGTACCTGACGTCCCGGCTCTTCCCCAGTGTCGACGGCGCCTTCATCGCCTACGTCTCGCTGCACTTCGTGCTGGGCCTCTGCACGCTGCTCATGACCACTATGCCGCGGCTGCTGGCCGTCGTCACCGGCGCCCAGGTGGGCCCAGATTCACCAGACCCAGTCACCTCCCCGCCCACCCCGGTGCCAACGCAGGGTCCGGGCCTCCGGTGTGGATATCAGGGCGGACACACTCAGTCCATACGTCCCACCCTGACTCCCCACGTCCTCCTCACAGGAGGAATGCATTCATGTCAGCCCAGTAGACCGGAAGTCCTCGCTCCTTTCTGTACCAGCTCTGAGTCTGAATCTCCCCTGAGCCCACAGGCCAGGCCTGGTGACTTGGGGACATTCATCCTGAGAATCCCCTCCAGCATGAGCCCGGGAGACACCTGAGCTCCCTCCCTGACCAGCAGGGGGTGGGGGGCAGGCGGGGGGAGGGCAGCATGGGAGAGACACTCTCCGACAGGGAGACCCGGTCCATGGGGTCCCACCCAGCCAGTGGGTCCTCAGACCAGCTCGGAGTGGACAGTCCGCTGCGCCGGCCGCAGGGTGTGACAGGCGGGGACCCGGCAGGGGGGTACTGGGCAGGGGGCCGCAGGAGAGCCGGCGTGGCGGGAGCACTAAGCGGGCTCGTTCCTCTCCTCCAGAACCTGCAGGCCATCTACGAGGTCCTCAAGTGGGTCTTCACGCTGTTCCCCCAGTTCTGCCTGGGCCAGGGCCTGATCGAGCTCTGCTACAATCAGATCCAGTTCGACCTGACCCGCGGCCTGGGCGTGGACACCTACGCCAGTCCCTTCCGCATGAGCTTCCTGGGCTGGGTCTTCGTGCAGCTGGCCGCGCAGGGCACGGGGCTGCTGCTGCTGCGGCTGCTCCTGCACGGGGACGTGGTGCGGAGGGCCAGGTACCGGCGTGCGCCTCGGCGCCAGCGTAGAGCGGGGCGGGGGGGGGGGGGGGGGCCCTCCGGGAGGTGCAGACGGACCACGGCCGACCCGACCTGATGGGCGGCTCACGGTCCCTGCGGTTTGGGCCGCGTCACGGACACGAAGAAGGGCTGTGTGAGACCTCCGCTCCCGGGCGCTCGTCCCAGGAGTTTCCCTCTGCCCGCGCCCAGCCCTCTGTCTGCTGTGGGGTGCCGGGTGACAGGCCAGCACGCTGGCGGCACGTGTGGGGGTCCTGTAGCAGGAGGGAAGGAAGGAGGCAGTTCCTGGTGGCGAGAGGCTCCCGGGGGGCCGGGCGCAGGGCCCGGGCAGGGAGAGAGCAGCCTAAAGGCACTGTAGACCTGATGGATTTTCACCAGCTGGACACGCGTGTCCCTTCCCCGGACCGCGTGCTGTCAGCCTCTCAGGCCCTCGGGACGTGGGCGGTGCTCTGCAGCCGCCATCCCCTCGCCCCTCCCCGCCCGGCTGCACACATGGCTCCGTGTGCGGGCCATCCCCGGGCCCGATGCTTCTCAGCAGCCGTGCAGTCCGTGGAGTAGTGTGATTTCTCCATGGGCTTCAGAGGCAGTGAGGCTGGCCACGGAGATTTTATTTTATTTAAACACCCGTCACTTTAAAGCAGTTGGAGACACAGGAAATTGCCAAATGGGTACAGAGCCCGCGTCCCCTGCGCCCAGCCCCTAGGCTGACAGTGGGTCATGTGCTGACACCGCACCCCTGGGCAGGACCCAGGGTGGTGAGTTGGGGTTGCCCAGTGCAGCTCATGGATCGGAGATTCCTGGTCACACACCCATTAACCATCAGGAGGAGGAGCGAGGGGGAGCAGCTCAGGTGCAAGTGAATTTCATCCACCTGACGTCACGGTGAACGCAGGAGCGGCTGTGCGAGTGCTTGGGCTCAGTCCTCCTTGCTCCTCGCACGGACGGGCGTGTGACTACAGCCCTGGGCCTGTGCGTGCAGCCCTCAGTGCGAGTCGCGGTGTCCCCTGCAGCTGAGGGGCTCGGGGTGTCTGCCCGCTGTCTCTCGGGCACGCGTGTCACCTTCCCTCCTGGGGACCCCGGCGGCCATGATGGGTCCAGCGTGGCCGAGCTGCCGGCCCGTCTCCAGGCCTCCTCGTTGGGACATCTGCGCCCTCCCCTCTCCGGTGCCCGCCCCGTCCCGGGTCCCGGGCCCCGGGTCCCAGGTCCCAGGTCTGGTGTGGGTGACGGGCTCTCTCCTCCAGGAGGCGCTGGGCCGTCCAGGGCACCGTCACGGCCTGTGGGGACGCAGACGTGGAGGCGGAGCAGGCGCGGGTGCTGAAGGGGAGAACCGGCGGGGACCTGCTGGTGCTCTGCAACCTCAGCAAGAGCTACGGACGCCGCCGGCCGGCCGTGCGGGACGTGACCCTGGGCCTGCGAGGCGGGGAGGTGAGGGCCGGAGGCCCTGTGTGACCCTGTGACCCTGTGGAGGGGGAGGGGAGGCCAGGTGTGGGACTCGGAGCCACGCACACCCAACGGGACGCGGTCAGTCCCCGGACAGCAGAGCCCACAGTCAGAGTCTGAGATCCGGGAGGCAGGAGCCCTGGAGCCGCAGACAGAAGGTCGCTCTCAGGAATGCGCACCTCACAGGGAGGGGGACCAGACCCAGAGCCGCTCGTTGACCCACCAGCGGGGTGCTCAGGCCGGGCCCAGATGCCGGGGAGGACCCGGGGCAGGAGAAAGAGGATTGTCACCTGCAGGGACCTTGCAGGCAGCAGATGGTGGGGGGTTTGCTGGCTGTCTCCCTGTCACTCATCTGGGCAGGAAATGGGACTGGCCCTTCTGCCTTTGTGGCTGTGACATACGACATGGCCGAGCCAAGAGCTGGCTGGGTGCTGGGAGTCAGAGAGCAGGCCTGGAGGCGCCAGCGGGGGGGCAGTGATGGGGGGCAGTGATGGGGCAGTGATGACGAGGGGGGAGGGGACAGTGATGGGAGGCAGGGATGACGAGGGGGGGGACAGTGATGGGGGGCAGTGATGGGGGCAGTGATGACGAGGGGGAGGGGACAGTGATGGGGCAGTGATGACGAGGGGGGAGGGGACGGTGATGGGGGGCAGTGATGGGGCAGTGATGACGAGGGGGGGGCAGAGATGGGGGGCAGTCATGAAGGGAGGTGGCAGTGGTCTGATGCTGTGCCTTACAACAGACTAATGCCTGAGGGAGACACTGGGCGCTGCTGGTGGCATCCTGTGGCCCTGAGCTTGCACACGGGGTCCGTGTAGTGGTTTCCTCTCGGACGCCGTGGGCCGCTTTGTGCAGAGGCTGCTTCTCAGCGCAGACGCCCGGGCCGCCCGGAGGGGTGCCCGGTGACGGACTGTCCTCTCCCTCCTCAGTGCTTCGGGCTCCTGGGCGTGAACGGGGCCGGGAAGAGCACCACGTTCAAGATGCTGAGCGGGGACGAGGCCCCGAGCGCGGGGTACGCCGTGGTCAGGACGCCCGCGGGGTGAGAGCCCTCCCCTTCCTGGCGGCACCAGGTCGGCTCCCAAGTGATGTCCTCACTCCCTCGGGGCAGAGCCTCCGGAGCAGGATGGCAGGCACAGGCGGCGCGGGGAGAGCAGGGCCCCAGGGGCGCAGGGGGGGTGCTCGCTGGCCCGGCACTCGGCGGGGCAGGAAGTGGGGTGAGGGGCTGGCCCTCTGCCTTCACCGGCCAGTTCAGCTCCAGGTCCCCGGGACTGACGGGCTGCAGACCTGGACAAAGCTGCCCTGGAATGGCTCTTCGCCAGCCCACGTCTACCCAGAGGGCCGTGCGCTTCTCCTACGGAGGAGACCATTTTCTCCCTCCCTCGGCCCATTCCCCGTCCTCCTCCCATTGGCTCCCGGCCGTAACGGTGTTGCCCATTGGCTCCCGGCTGTAACATTATTGCTGCTTGCAGGCAGGAGATACAGTTACACATAGGTTAGTCCATATCAGTGGAAACAAGTCAATGTTTCAGACTAACGTGTGCAAGAACCGCAAACAGGGTTTGTTGAGGGAGCGTGTGGTGCGTGTGGAGTGAGCGGTGCTGCAGACCCGGGGGCACCGAAGTGCGCAGGCTGTGCTGCCGGTTTCCCTGCTGTCGCAGGAGTCAGCCGGTGTGCTGGTGATTGGGTGGTGTTTTGTTTTTTTGTTTTGTAACTTCCCTGTGTACAAGTACAAAAGGGCAAAATCAGAATTTAAAAGGAAACAAAAATAGATGGTTTATTTTCTCATCCCTGGGAGGCTGTCTCCTTTGTAATCTCGATCCATCGTTTCTAAAATAATTGGGAAATGGAATTCAAATCGCTGCTCTCAGAAGCAGCCATGAACGCACACTCCACAATCCCCTACTCGCTGCATGCCTGTGCAGCTATTTAACTGTGACAAAGCTCCTTGCATTCATCATAGTTCCAACCTCCCTGATGTGTAATGCGGATTGTACATTGTATTCAGGGAATTAAACGGGTGATTAGGGCACTCAGTGTGCGTGCCTTCCTGCCCACGCAGCTCACGCATGTCCTCCGGACGAAGCCTGTGATCCCAGACGCTCCTGCCTGTAAGGTTCCCGCGCAGGGAGCGGGCTCTTCCCGGTTTAACGGGTTGATGTGAAGCCGGACACCGCACGGTGTTCAGCCACCGATGATCTAGGGTCCTGTGAACGGCCTGGCGCGGAGACACCGTGGCCAGGCTCGGCCTCACTCACGGTGCCCGTAGCACACGTAGCCGTGGCCGCGGTCTGACCGCAGCTGCTGCTGCTGCGAGTGCCTCCCTCTAGGCAGCCGTCGGCGCCGCCGGAGCTGGGGCGGCCTGGTCTGCCCGGGGCTGGCTGACGCCTCTCCGCAGGGAGGCCGTGCCTCTGTTCACGGCGGGAGCGGCCGGCGTGCGCGTGGGCTACTGTCCGCAGCAGGACGCGCTGGACGGGCCGCTGACGGGCTGGGAGCACCTGCGCTACTACTGCCGCCTGCGGGGGGTCCCAGGGCCCCGCGTCCCCCAGGTGAGGCCGAAACCCGGGAAAGGCCCAGGGACACCTCTGCTCCCCGAGACTCCCAGTCCGGCCCCTCCTGGTGGGCTGCTCCTGTCTGCCCTCAAGGCTGTCTGTCCGGTTCCACCGCACCGGCTCCCTGGGCTCCGGCCCAGCCCTCTGAGGGCGCACAGGCCCGGAGCCCGCCCTGCCCTGCCCCCGGAGCCCCAGTGAGCCCGGTCTGGTCTGTTCTTTCTCACCAGAGGGACGAGGCGGGCGGGACGGGGGCCTGTGGTGGCTGTTCTCAGGCTCCTCTCCTCCAGGTGGCCGGGGACCTGGTGAGGCGCTTACACCTGGAGGCCCACGTGGACCAGCCGGTGGCCACCTACAGCGGGGGCACCAGGCGGAAGCTGTCCGCAGCCCTGGCCCTGCTGGGCAAGCCCCACCTCCTCCTGCTGGTGAGTGGGGTCCGAGGCTCAGCCTCCGGGGCCCAGGGGCACGTCCTGGCTGCTTGCCAGGGGCTGAAGTAACTTCTGGGGCCAGGTCCCCCCAGCCGGACGGTCCCCGGGAGTTTACAGAAGTGACGTTTATTCCGCGATGGCCGCTTTCTCTCATCCAATGGAAGATCCAGTAGACGTAGATGAAGAACAGCATTTCACCCGAATTCACGCGGAGCTGACACCCGCCCGCTGTCCTCGGCCCAGCGGCCGCCTTTCCCGTCTCGGCCACAGACCGAGCGGGATGCTGGGGCCTGTGCCCGGCTGCGGTCTGACAGGAAGTCAGGTGTCACCGGTCCCCGCACACGGCTGCGCTGCGCTGGCTGCGGCCCCCGCTGCCCAGTCTGGGGGAGGCCGGTGCCCTGACCACAGGGGGGCGCTGTCTAACCCTCCCTGCCCGTGCGCCCGGGGAGGGCAGCCTGAGCTCTGGGGCTCCTGTGCGGGGTTCCCGGCCTCATGGCCAGAGATGCCCCTCAGCACGTCAGCCAGGCGCCAGGAAGTGGCCGGTACTGGACGTTGCTGAGCAAGTGGAGCCTCCTCATGCTGCCAGACGGCCTCCTCAGTGTCTGCTCGGAGACCTTGTCGCAGCGGAGGGTGCTCGCCCCTCTGCCCCGCGCCAAGGAGCTGGCACGGGTGCCGTGGGGAGCACGGGGAGGCGGCTCGGACAGCGGCCCCGGAGCCGGAGCCGGAGCCGGAGCGGGCTCCTCATGGCTGCCCCTGGCCCATCCCTCAGGACGAGCCCAGCTCCGGGATGGACCCCTGCTCGAAGCGGCTCCTGTGGAAGGCGATCACCGAGGAGATTCGGGAGGGCTGCGCCGTGGTGCTGACCTCGCACAGGTGAGCCGGGCCCGCCGTGTCCGCAGCAGCCTGTGCCCTCCACTGACCCATGGCCAGCGCGTGGCACAGCTGGAATCCGCACCAGGGTCTGTGCGGCCCAAGGTCACCGAGCTGGGCCCTCCGGGGCTTCTGTCTGCTTGGTCCAAGGTCACCCCACGCAGCCTGCTGTTTAGCTGTTTGCCACCCCTCACTAACCCCCTGCCGGCCTGGTCGTAGGCAGCCATCTTGTGAGGGCATGAGAGTCAATTTGCATATTACCTCTTTATTATATAGGATATAGTAAACTTTTAATACAGTTTATTTACCAATCACATTTAATGTTTATGCTTACCATATTTAACACTTAAAGTTACCAATGATATTTTGTATTATAAGAATTTTGTATGATTTCTCACTATAAACATATCTGTTCTTTTCCTTTTTTTAATGCCTCTCTCCATTGGTTGAAGTCTTCATTTAAGTCCTTAGTAAACTCGTTTCTTTCCATAAATGTCTCCGCTGTGGAGGCTCCTCCCTGCGCTGCACTTTGTGCTGCTGATCGCACTTCGCTTCCTGGGCTGGAAACGCTCAGGCGCTGGTTATTGTGGGGTCAGTGCCCACCCTGAGAGGCGCTCCCTGTGATGCTGACTGGGTGCCGGCTGGCCTATGACCTGAGGGCCGGCTGACCTATGACCTGAGGGCCGGCTGACCTATGACCTGTGGGCCGGCTGACCTATGACCTGTGGGCCGGCTGACCTGCGGTGTGGGTGCCGGCTGACCTATGACCTCAGGCCGGCATCTCGCAGCCTTGCTGACGTGCTCCCTCCTCCTGCAGCATGGAGGAGTGTGAGGCCCTCTGCACGAGGCTCGCCATCATGGTGGACGGCAGCTTCCGGTGCCTGGGCACCCCCCAGCACATCAAGGACAGGTACGTCCGCCTCTCCCGCCAGCCCGGCCTGGGCTCCTCGCCGGAAGGAGGTGAAGGCCCGGAGGGGGGATGGCCTCGCTCGGGCCCGGCCCTCCCCTGCTGCCCCTGCTTCTCCTTCCCGGGAACGGGGCCACTGTGGGCTCCGGGAGGCTGGCATGCATGGCAGAGCCGGGATGAAGATGGACAGGCTGTCCCGCAAGGCTGTGCCCGCGCCCCTGGCCTCGGGAGCCGCCCCTGGTGGGAGGGCAGGAGCCGGGCGCCATGGGTGCTCCCGTTTGAAGGTGAAGCCGAGGGCGGCCCTCCCTGGGGCCACAGGGGCCCCTGGGGTTGGAGGTCTCACCGCGGGTGGGGGTGGCAGTGCTGATTCAGTAACAGCTGTGTTGGCTGATTGCTCTCCTTCCCTCACCTGTCCTTCCCGCCCACCTCAGTCCTGCGGACCTGACAGCCTGAAGCCGGGGTGGAGTGGGGGCGGGGAGGACAGGGGCTCCTGCAGCTCAGCTTCCACCACTCTGGGTGTTGCTTCCAGGGTTTGGCGGTTTTTAAGATTAACTTCGTTTCTGTGTCAATGTAAGTTGAATTAGAGCAAACTACATAACTGGGCTATAATTTCTAATATATATATATATATATATATATATACACACACATATACACGCTAGTGACCTAGTGACCCGGTGCATGGATCCGTGCATATTGAAAGGAAATAATTAGAAGAAAGATTCATGTGGTAATTACATTACTGCAAAAAAATTACATGTCAGGAGAGTATATATAACATAGTATTATAAAATTAAAATGCAAAATTAAATTACTAGTGCGTGTCATATGTACCAGCCGGCTGGTCGGTTGGATGAACATACGGTTTAGCCTTTTATATATATAGATACATTTTAAATATATTTTATTATTGCTTTCAAAGAGGAAGGGAGAGGCAGAGAGACACAGAAATATCAGTGATGAGACAGAAGCACTGATCGGCTGCCTCCTGCACACCCCACACTGGAGATTGATCCCACCCCCGGGCACGTGCCTTGCTGGAATCTAACTGTGACCTCCTGGTCCCTAGGTCAGTGCTCGCCACTGAGCCACGCTGGCCGGGCCTGAATATGTGTCTGCGCATCCTAGACGCCAGCATTTGCAGTGGTTACTTCTCTTCCTGCCTCCTGGGCAGTGGGCTCAGAAGGTGCTGTCTGGGTCCTGAGCAGTAACACGCTTTCCCCGTGCACCGCTCAGGTTCGGGGCCGGCCACACCGTCCGCGTGGGGGTCAGCGCCGGAGGAAGTCAGCACGAGCTCTCCGAGCGCCTGCAGCGCCGCTTCCCAGGCGCCCGGCTTCAGGTAGCGCCGGGCCCGCTGCTGCGCCTCGTCTGCAGGAGGCTCCTCGGGGGACGCGTGCTCCGCCGGAGCTGGTGGCACGGAAAAGGGGGCGCCCTGTGGGTCCGGGGTGGGGCCCAGGAGACTGTAGTCGCACCCTGTCCTGGGCTCAGCTCGTAGCCTGGCTCCCTCCATCCAGGACAGATGGCGGCCCTCACTGCCTCCTTCGTGCGCTGAGGGCTCAGCCTGCTTCCCCGCTCCCAGGGACACAGTGCGTCACACCCACAGCCTCTCCCCACGGGGACACAGTGTGTCACACCCACAGCCTCTCCCCACGGGGACACAGTGTGTCACACCCACAGCCTCTCCCCACGGGGACACAGTGTGTCACACCCACAGCCTCTCCCCATGGGGACACAGTGTGTCACACCCACACCCACAGCCTCTCCCCACGGGGACACAGTGTGTCAGACCCACAGCCTCTCCCCACGGGGACACAGTGTGTCACACCCACAGCCTCTCCCCACGGGGACACAGTGCATCACACCCACAGCCTCTCCCCACGGGGACACAGTGTGTCACATCCACACCCACAGCCTCTCCCCACGGGGACACAGTGTGTCACACCCACAGCCTCTCCCCACGGGGACACAGTGCGTCACACCCACAGCCTCTCCCCACGGGGACACAGTGTGTCACACCCACACCCACAGCCTCTCCCCACGGGGACACAGTGTGTCAGACCCACACCCACAGCCTCTCCCCACGGGGACACAGTGTGTCACACCCACAGCCTCTCCCCACGGGGACACAGTGTGTCAGACCCACAGCCTCTCCCCACGGGGACACAGTGTGTCACACCCACAGCCTCTCCCCACGGGGACACAGTGTGTCACACCCACACCCACAGCCTCTCCCCACGGGGACACAGTGTGTCACACCCACAGCCTCTCCCCACGGGGACACAGTGTGTCACACCCACAGCCTCTCCCCACGGGGACACAGTGTGTCAGACCCACAGCCTCTCCCCACGGGGACACAGTGTGTCACACCCACAGCCTCTCCCCACGGGGACACAGTGTGTCACACCCACAGCCTCTCCCCACGGGGACACAGTGTGTCACACCCACAGCCTCTCCCCACGGGGACACAGTGTGTCACACCCACACCCACAGCCTCTCCCCACGGGGACACAGTGCGTCACACCCACAGCCTCTCCCCACGGGGACACAGTGTGTCACACCCACAGCCTCTCCCCACGGGGACACAGTGTGTCACACCCACACCCACAGCCTCTCCCCATGGGGACACAGTGTGTCACACCCACAGCCTCTCCCCACGGGGACACAGTGTGTCACACCCACAGCCTCTCCCCACGGGGACACAGTGTGTCAGACCCACAGCCTCTCCCCACGGGGACACAGTGTGTCACACCCACAGCCTCTCCCCACGGGGACACAGTGTGTCAGACCCACAGCCTCTCCCCACGGGGACACAGTGTGTCACACCCACAGCCTCTCCCCACGGGGACACAGTGTGTCACACCCACAGCCTCTCCCCATGGGGACGCAGTGTGTCACACCCACAGCCTCTCCCCACGGGGACACAGTGTGTCACACCCACAGCCTCTCCCCACGGGGACACAGTGTGTCACACCCGCAGCCTCTCGGCCGGACTGGTGGGACCTGCGGCCTCCGAGTCCAGGTTGAGCTTTGCCTGCCTGCCTTGAGCAGCGGCAGCCCCGGGCCCATGGCTCCAGGCTGGCACCCCCACTGCACTGCCTGCAGGAGGGGCCGCCGGCCGCTGTGACCACCGAGTCCGTTGGTGACGGAGGTCTGCCAGGCAGAGCACGCGGAGCCACCGGGACCTGTCCAGTGGCCGGACGCAGTCGCGCCTGGGGCTGCGGCCGGTGGGAGGCCAGCAGAGCTAAGCAGCTGCGTGTCCTGCGCCTGGCGGGAACCGGCCCTCTCGCCTGGCGGCCGGGGTGGCGGCTGCGGGTGGCTGTCGGCCGTGTGCCAGGTGAGCTGTTCGGTTGCAGGGGCGGCGCCCGAACGTGCTGGAGTACCAGGTGCCCGCGGACTGGGCCGGCCTGGCCGACCTGTTGCAGGAGCTGGAGGACAGCAAGGCCGCCGGACACATCCACCGCTACGCCCTGGCCCCGGCCTCGCTGGAGCAGGTGGGCGGTGAGGCTGTGACTGTCGCTCTGCACCGGGTCCGGCCTCGGCTGCCGTTGCTCATAGTTACCACCTGGGAAGGGGTGTGGGCCTCGGGGCCTCGCCCACCCTGTAAAGAGAGGGCACCCGTTAGCCCTCCTGTCCCCGACCTGCCTGCCAGTCACGGGACGCCCCTACAATGAAGCAGGCGCTCACTTTGGGTAGGAAGAGAGTCGGGTGTCAGATAAACCACAGCTTCGTTCTCCAGGCTGGACGGCCCAGAATTCAAGGCCATGCCTTCCTGCCCAGGGGGTGATCCTCCCCGGGGTGCTTTCAGTGGCTTTACCTGCTGAGGGGGACCTGGGAGGGGTGGGAGGGGTGGGAGAGAGAGGGTCTGGGAGGGGGAGGGAGTGAGGGTCTGGGAGGGGGGAGGGAGAGGGTCTGGGAGGGGGAGGGAGTGAGGGTCTGGGAGGGGGAGGGAGTGAGGGTCTGGGAGGGGGGAGGGAGAGGGTCTGGGAGGGGGAGGGAGTGAGGGTCTGGGAGGGGGGAGGGAGAGGGTCTGGGAGGGGGAGGGAGTGAGGGTCTGGGAGGGGGGAGAGAGAAGGTCTGGGAGGGGGAGGGAGTGAGGGTCTGGGAGGGGGGAGGGAGAGGGTCTAGGAGGGGGAGGGAGTGAGGGTCTGGGAGGGGGAGAGAGAGGGTCTAGGAGAGGGAGGGAGTGAGGGTCTGGGAGGGGGAGGGAGGGGGAGGTTTAGGAAAAGCTGGGCGGAGCTGAGGGAGGGTTTCCTTGTTAGGACATTCAGGAACCCATGGCCAGCGTTGGGCAAACAGCGGCTGGTGAGCCGCGGTTTGCTGCTCTGCTGAGTCTGCCGACCAGTGTTGCAGGTTAACAATCACGCTCACTCTTCCTTTCAGGTGTTTGTGGATTTTGCTGCTGAGCAGCAGCCGGCTCCTCCAGCCCCTCCCGAGCCTCCCGCCCGCGGCCACCAGCCACCGCCCCTGCCTGTCTGAGCCCAGGACGCTGCTCCAGAGGAAGGAGACTCCCAGCCGTCAGGCCGCAGGCCAGCGCAGGGAGCTGGGGACACCGGGCCTGGGGCTCCCCTGCCCTGCATCTTCCACTCCAGCCTCTGTCATTAGTAACCAAGGCTTGGGCGGCTCCTCCAGCACAGCATCCCTGTGAGCTCCGGGCAGGGGGAACCTCCTTGGTGAGGCAGGTGTGCGTGAGTTCTCAGATGGCTGGGCGCTGGAGAGGCCCAGGGAGGGCTCTCACACACTTCCCCTCCCAGCCTGTGGGACCCGAGGCCACGCCCCTCCCAGTATGTGAGGCCCGAGGCCACGCCCCCAGCCTGTGAGGCCCGAGGCCACGCCCCTCCCAGCCTGTGAGGCCCGAGGCCACGCCCTCCCAGCCTGTGGGGCCCGAGGCCACGCCCCTCCCAGCCTGTGAGGCCCGAGGCCACGCCCCCCCAGTATGTGAGGCCCGAGGCCACGCCCCCAGCCTGTGAGGCCCGAGGCCACGCCCCCAGCCTGTGAAGCCTGAGGCCACGCCCCTCCCAGCCTGTGAGGCCCGAGGCCACGCCCCTCCCAGCCTGTGAGGCCCTGAGGCCCCGCCCCCTCCCAGCCTGTGAGGCCCGAGGCCATGCCCCTCCCAGCCTGTGAGGCCCGAGGCCATGCCCCTCCCAGCCTGTGAGGCCCGAGGCCATGGCCCTCCCAGGCTGTGAGGCCCGAGGCCACGCCCCTCCCAGCCTGTGAGGCCCTGAGGCCACGCCCCCAGCCTTGAGGCCCCCGAGGCCACGCCCCTCCCAGTCTGTGAGGCCCGAGGCCACGCCCCTCCCAGCCTGTGAGGCCCCGAGGCCACGCCCCCAGCCTGTGAGGCCCCGCCCCTGCCCAGCCTGTGAGGCCCGAGGCCCCGCCCCCGCCCAGCCTAGGTCCAGGAACAAGGCCCGGATTCTGCTTTAATTTGTCATCTTTTTTCCTGGGAAAGCCTCCTGTCTAAGTGAGAATTCAGGGAGTTAAAGGGCATTTCCTTGTACTGGGTGATGGTATGTGGCATAACATGAAAAAATCGCCTTTCTTTTCAACTCAAAGCTGCTGTAAAAAGGATTCATGCTTTCGCAAAATTAAGTGATTTGAACGTGGTGGTCTGTATCGATGATAACAGTTTTATCAGAATTTCACGGAGGATAACGTTAGGGTATACAGAGCGATGGGATGTAAGTGCGTTTCCTTTTTCTTAGTTGGGTCAGCAGTCACCATTTTAAACCCTTTAACTCAGCGGCATCAGCAGCTCCTGGCGCTTGTCCGGAGGCAGGTGGCCCGGGCCAGCGGCCGTGGGGGGCCCTGTGACCTGAATCCTAAGTAAGTCCCCCAGCGACTGACCGCCTGCCAGCGACACACACAGCCGCACGGCGCACAGGCGGACATTCATGCGGCCTTCACAGCCTCCTGAGGCCCGCGCTGTCCCAGTCCGGCCTCCGGTGTGAGCGCTGATCGCTACCCCTGGCCTCTGAGGCAGTCCCTGGGCCACGCGTCCCCGCTGAGGAGCCCCCATGTCCCCGCTGAGGAGGCCACGCGTCCCCGCTGAGGAGGCCACGTGTCCCCGCTGAGGCCTTGTGTCCCCGCTGAGGAGGCCACGTGTCCCCGCTGAGGCCTTGTGTCCCCGCTGAGGAGGCCACGTGTCCCCGCTGAGGCCGTGTCCGGCGGGGGGTGTCTGCGCTGACACTGCTCAGTCCGCTCTGAGTGACCCTCAGGCCTCTGCCGCCTTCACTTCCGTGGAGCGGCCGCCAGTGGCCCGGAGCGCTTCGGAGCCTGTCTGCCGGGCACAGCTGGGCGCCTCCGCACCGGGCCTGACGGAGGAGCTGCGGCTGAGTGATCCTCTCCCCGCCCACCGGCTCCTGGTCCCGGGATGTAACCCTGTTACTGCTGCTGGTGAATCAATGAAGGAAGTGGGACCGACCTGCTGAGAGCGAGCTGAGCCTGCACTCCCGGCCTCAGAAGGGCTGCGCCGGGCGGGTCACCGGGCAGCCAATGCCTCCGCCTGGGGCTCAGCGCCCGGAAGGCTCCGCTGGTGCCGCTTCCCTCGGCTGCGTCTGCTCAGCTCCTCCGGGCCTGCCCGGCCGGGAGGAAGGACCACTGTGCTGGGAGCAGGACCCCAGCAAGCAGGCGAGTCCGTACACGCTTTCCACCTGCTGGGCGTGCAGCTGTCTGCTCTGAGCTGCGGGCGGGAGGCGGCAGGCGCAGCAGAGCTCCATAGTTCCCTGTGACTGACCTGCCTGCGGGGCTGGGAGCACCCGGGAGGGCGCGCTGGGGGCCGAGGCGGCTGCCGCCGTGGGGGCTGTGGACTTGGAGGGTGTTAGGGAAGCCCGGCGTGTGGACTAGCCCGGGAAGGAGTCCGCGGAGCTTGTGCAGGGCTGGGGCCGGGGTCTGAGGATCCCGGGTTGAGGGAGAGCCGTGTGAGCAGGTCAATGGAGTCTCAGATCTGTCTGCCCTGGGCCCGCACGCTGTGTGTGCATGTGTGTGCATGTGTGTGCATGTGTGTGTATGCATGTGGGTACATGTGTGTGCATGTGTGTGCATGTGGGGGGATGTGGGGGAGCGCTCAGCCAAGGACAATGGCTTCTGCGGTCCCCTGGGAGCTGCCCGTCAGCCCGCCCTGAAGCCAGGCGGTCCCGTTCCCCCGAGTTCCTCCCCCGGAGCCCACGCGAGTGTGGTGAGAGTCTTGCTCAGGCCTTGGAGAGGGCGTGGGGTGCACAGAGCACGTGCAGATGGCCTGGCCCAGCCTTGAGTGAATGGTCTCAGCGGGCCCCACCCGCTCCGAGTGCGAGCTGCGCTTCGGGGAGCCGGACTCCGTAGCTCCTCCGGTTGGAAGGCCCAGCCCTGGTCCTGCTGCGGGCAGTGCTGGGCGCTCAGGGCGGCAGCAGGAGGTGGCTTGGGATCAGAAGGACCTGTTCCTAAGTTGTGCCTCTTTCACTGGAAAAGGGGGGCCCTGGCGTGACTGCCGCCTCTCACCCTCCGCTCCACGTCTCTGACTGGATCGGCATCGGGCGTCTCTAGCAGAGTGTCTCTCCCCCGAGAACCATTGTTTCAGACGTGACTTCTCCTTTTTGTTTTATTAAAATACCAGAGGCCCGATGCAAGAGCAGGCCTCCCTCCCCTGCTGCCGGCACTGGCTGCCCTCTGGCACCTGGACCTGGGCTTCTCTCCGGAAGGACATCTGGGATGACATTGGGTCTAATTAGCATATTACCTTTTATTATAGACTAGAGGCCCAGTGCACGGATTTGTGCCCTGGGGATCCCTCAGCCTGACCGGCAACGGAGGCCTATTGGGGGAAGGGGGGCTGGCCAGCAGTGGGGAGGGGCCATGAGAGGTTGGCTGTGCGAGCACACTGACCGCCAGGGGGCAGCTCCTGCATTGAGCATCCGCTCCCTGGTGATCAGTACACATCATAGCAATTGGTCCACCAGTCATTCCAGTCCTTTGAATGACTGGGGGCATGGTTTGGTGGTAAAGGTGGCTTAGGCTTTTATATATATATATATATAGATAAATTTTGTTGATTTCAGAGAGGAAGGGAGAGAAAAACATTAATGATAAAGGAGAATCATGGATCCGCTGCCTCCTGCACACCCCACACTGGGGATGGAGCCCATACCCCAGGCCTGTGCCCCAATGGGGAATTGAACGGTGACCTCCTGGTTCACAGGTTGACACTCAACCCCTGAGCATGCCGGCCAGGTGGGCATTTCTCATTCTTTTCAGTTGTTTAAGACTCGAAGGCAAATCTGGTTCCTGCTTCCTCCATCATATCAGAAACCAGCCTCCCGTGAACACCATTTTCATCAAGGACAGTGAAAACCAGAGGTAAGAACACTGGGCGCTTACGCTGTTAAGGAACGATGGGTCTCACTTTGTGGTTGCAAGGGGCCTCTTTAGCAGGAGAATAAGCGAGAGCACTGGCAGAGAGTGCATGAGTATTTGAATTCCACCTCATTTAAGTAGCAAAGTTTACGTCAAAATGTCCGGCACAGGGTTTGGCCAGATTGAAGACATACTGGGGGAGGTATTCATTTCCTCCCATGACATTCCTCTTGTTCGGAGACAGGAACGATTCTGGAACCACTAGCCTCACAGTCACAGAGGTCTGTGCGAGTTACTTGGAACGCCTAGCTGCCTGTTTTTCTTTGTCTGTGGGAAACAATCTTAAGATTGGAGCTAGGTTATAATTTACAATGTGAATATACCTACTCTAATATAATTTTTCTTAATCTGAATCAATGTCAAAACATACGTTATTGCAGAATCTGGGTATTTCCAAACTATATTTATGAGACCTAAGGAGCTAGGTGTATTTTCTGTGAATCTTCTCAGAGGAACGCTCCTCACGCAGATCCCCAGCACATCCTCATCTTTATTTTGCTTTTAGATAATGAAGCAATGCAAATTGTTTTTCATGCATATGGATTAGAACATTCAATTAGTTTTCAATTATGTACCCAACTGCTTTTAAGAAACTCCCAATTTAAACTGTGCTAACACCAGCTTCTTCTTCTTCTTCTTCCCTCTCCCCACCCCCACCCCCCCGCCCCGAACTTATTTTAAGACATTGGCTAGCAACCCTGCAGCAGCTCATGGACTGAGGAAGAAAGAGTTCATGAGACTTCAAAATAAAGAGATGGCCTGTCAGAGAGGTAGGTGGAAATTGCTAGAAGAGCACAGAGGAAGGACATCCTAGCAAACTGGAGACCAGTATCTACTCATCCATCACCCACCCACCTACCTATCTACTCATCCATCCATCCACCCACCTACTCACTTACCTACTCATCCATCCATCCACTCACTTACCTACTCATCCATCCATCCATCCACTCTCCCACTTACCTACTCATCCATCCATCCACTCACTTACCTACTCATCCATCCATCCATCCATCCACCCACCCACTTACCTACACATCCATCCATCCATCCACCCACCCACTCACTTACCTACTCATCCATCCATCCACTCA